GTTTTCTCTATTCTCTGCTGAGGTGCAAGTAAACTGTTACTGTGCTGGTACAAACAAGAGACTGATGAATACAGATGACAAGATGTTAGATACAAGCGTGATCCAAAGAAAAATTAAATCACTGGATGGAGACAAACAGTCCATAGTCCATAATCAATGGCCTATGTCCTCTGTGTTGTTCAGCTGCTGATATAACTGATTGATGGATTCCTTGAAAGAGCATACAAACATATATCAGACAGAAACCTCCTGCTCTCTTCTGTTTTGCTCTGGGATTATCTTGATGTTCTTTTTCCAAACCATGCGGGTCAGATTTTAGTCTGAAACCAAAATGAGGCCATATTTCACAATTTGTCATTGTGAATAATAAAATACAACTCAGTGACTATGACTTTATAACATGGCAATAGCAGAGAGCTGGCTGACTAAACAATAAAAATGAAAATAACTGCTTCATACACCCTGAACTTTGTCTGCAGCACCTTTCCAATCAGACTTGAAGTGGCATGTTGCACTTCTTTGTGTTGTTTCCGTCCTGTCCAGATCCTTGCATGTGTTGCTCTGACCCTAAGATGTACACCACTGCGGGCAAAAGTGTCTGCTAAATGCAAGTGTAACTGGAAAAAAAATGAGCTTGTGTAGGGGCAGCCTGAAATGAAACACTTAAGTCAGAGGCTGTTATGAAGGTTTTGAAAGACACCAGCCTGAGATTTACAGTTTTTCATCCGTAAAACATATAAAGCTACTACAGAGGTATCAGAAGGACAATAAAAACTGTGTAAAACCATTTCTTTAAGTCCCTCTCTGATCATATTTTTTTTTATTATTTAAAGTATTCTCAGTGGTTGATAAATTGTGATTATGAATTTTTAGCCAAAATCGCGTCACCTGTGTCATTTTTAAGGGCTTTTCTTCTGCAGAGCTCCAGTAGCTCATTGGCAATTTGCCTCAGAGTCGTGGGTGGAGGCGATGCTGCTCTGTACACTCCTCTCTACGTTAGCTTCCAGTCTAACATTTCTGGTGTAGTAGAAGTAGCAGGAAACATAGGAGCTATTCAGCTCTCTGACACTAATGTCTTTGGGGACATGATGAAAGCTAATATCATAATCAGCTTTCTGACGAGCATTAAATCTCAGGGTCTGGCCTGCAGAGCGGGGCCCCGGGGGCAGAGCTTGGACTTGTGAGGTAGAAAATCCCACAGTATCTGTACCCGTCATTTAGGGCTGCTCAAGGTTCACAGCAATTCGAATACAGAAATACTTAAAAATGTAATTTTGTGCTTAGTTTTCTCATGATATGTCCTCTAGCGTCAGAAAAATGCCATATGAACATGTAGACAACAAAAAAAACAGGATTTCATTGGAGTGGGTCTTTAACGTATATTTAAAACCAGACATGCAACAAGATTACAAAATACGGATGTAGCTTTTGTGCAGCTTTCTATTTACAGTGAAAATGAGACCCACAAGGATCATATAAAGGCAACCCTGATAATAAATACACCGGCAAAATGGATAAATTCATCATTAAAGACTCCTGTTAAGGTGTCATTAGACCCAGCTTCCAGTGAAGTTACATAAAAAGTCAATAACCAGGGTGCAGCATCTGTGCTACTTTGTATTCAGAGTGTGTGAAGAGAAACAGAAGAATTTATCCCTAAGGACTTTGTTTGGGTTTCTGTTCAGATTTGATTAGACCCATTTTAATAAAGTTACACAGAAAGTCCATAGCAAGAGTTCAGTGTCTGTGAGGAACAGTTTCTCCCCAGGAACTGCAGTGGCTTGTTCCCTTTAAAGAAATCTCACTCTGGAAGAAGAATAAAATAAACAATAGTGTTTGTTTTGCCTTCATTTCTGGAGAGGCTAATTCTTGTATGGCTTTGGATCTGGACACACTGTAATGATCATACATTCAACCCCTTTAGAGTGATGTAACACAATATTTTTCCACTTTTCTCCCAAACACTTCTTCAGAGTAAGGTCCTTAAGAACTTGTTTTGGCATCGTATGATCATTGTAATGCTAAAAAAAACTAAAAACCTTGGATCTATCAGTCTTGTGGTTTAAACATTTCTGACAGCTGATCTTCCTAATATGTTGTAAAAATGAATCCTGAGATTGATTTGTCTATGTGTTTTTATGTAGGTATCAAAATAACCAAAAAATGCTCAAAATAAGTACAAACTTAAGGCTCAACAGAGATTCTGAGGGAATTTTGCCAAGCCTGTGCAGGTATTTATGAACATGACACATTGAGTCTTGTCAAAAACACTTGGCTGAGATTAAATTTTGAAAAAGAAGGAGGAAGAGATTTGATTGGGGCATGGGAGGAGACCGAGTAGAGATAAATGGCAGGATTGAGAAGCAAAATAATGAAACAAGAAAGAGAGAAGCTGATAAATAGAAAAGAGAAAGAACATAATGAAAAAATGTATGATGACCAAGGTAAAAAAGCATATAGAAATCATCAAAGGATGGAGTAGGCTGGAGCTGCTACAGGAGGAGGGATGGAAACGAAAGAGGGGCTAAACTGAAGAGAAACAAAAGGAAATATTAGGTTGAGATTGATGTCTTCTGTCAGCAGCTGTTTCCAGGAAAGAACAGCTCACAGTGTGTGTGTGTGTGTGTGTGTGTGTGTGTGTGTGTGTGTGTGTGTGTGTGTGTGTGTGTGTGTGTGTGTGTGTGTGTGTGTGCGTGTGTGTGTGCGTGTGTGTGTGTGTGTGTGCAGATAGATGTGGGAGAGGCCCACACTCTCCATCAGCTGTCAGCCAGCAGACACCAGTGCAGACTGACACTATGAGTTTAAACAGACTAATTGAAATCCTCTTCTCTCCTCTTTTTTCCTTCATCATTCTTCATCATAACTCACACAGTTCCCCGCCCTCCCTTTTTTAATCTTGTCTCTTTATTCACTCAGATTTTACCCCCATCATTCTCTCTTCCCTGTAGTCTATACTTTTCTCTACCTACTGACTGTCAGTGTTCATGCCTACTCTCAAACACACACGCACCTCTAACTTCATCCCTCTTTCTCTGTCTTCTTTCTTTGCCTTGACAAATGAGATTGTCTGGGTGAGCAGACATACGAGACCAATCAAATCAGTCAATTAGACAAGCTGCTGTCTCAACGAGACTGACAGAGCCACTATGGACTTGTTAGTTGTGAATGTGTGAGTGCATGTGTGAAAGAGAGTGGAGCATTAACAGCATAGGATGTTTATTCAAAGATAGCTGCTTTTATTTTGCCTCTTGAGAGCTAAAGTCATGAAAATATGTCACTAGTTCTTGTCTTTTAAGAAAGACAGAGTGTTTCAGTGATATTTGTGCATCTAAACCACTACTTACCTTGATTTAGGATATGGAAACTCTTTTAAAATAACAGTTCAATAACTCATTATGTGAGTTTCTGGAGTCTTTTTCGCTTTGTGACTGTAAACCAATTTTTTTAAAACCATGCTTCCAACACTCATTTTTGAAAAAAAAACAAAAAAAAAACAAATCAATCAAAATGATAAACCAGGAATACAATCCTTGGTTGGAGGCAGCCTTTCATATCGTAAAATCTGACACCATGGAATGAGTCAGTTTAACTTTGTTTTTCATCTTTAAAAATAAATATCAGAACTTTAAACATTATTGCTACAATTATTACCCCACATAGTTTAAGTTACTTTGAAGCCATCAGTATTTCACTGCTGCCATTGCCTGAATTGCAGGACAGGATTTGGCTCCATTTGTCCCTCCCAGAGATGACTGGGGTTCAGTAGCTAGTCAGATAACATGTAATTATTTTCTGACTGTTACAACCAGACACAGACAAAAACCCTTTATATTTTTGCCACAATTAGCACATTTACATGCTTGGAAAAATGGATTTATTGCAGCAGTCCTACTAAAATCATGTAAATACAGTAGTCCAACTGAAATCGTACTAGATTTAACCCGTTATCGTTGGACCAACATACCTGGACAGTGCAGTTGAGTGGGGATCGGTTTTCTCTTCCATGTATACAGCTCTGTCAGACTGAAACCTTAGTGTTCTGTGCATGCTCCAGGGTTCAAATGCTGGGTTCTAAGCAGGTAGTTGAATGGCATAGATGCATTGCTAGGAGGTCAAGTAGTAAACAAAACTTCACAAGACAAAGTTGAGTATGAATCACTGTTGTTGCAGGATTTTGACTAAAATTATGTACTTAGTACAGCCAGGTTATAACACTACTGAGACATGCATGAGGCAACATCAGGAAAGAGACAAAAGGTGCCTCATGTTAAATATATTTATATTTTCATGTTTGTAGCTGGACTTACATTCTTGTTTGGTTGCACTACACAAACAGAAGGTTCAGCTTAGCTTGTAGGACATCCAAGCTAACAAAAATGTAGAGGCAAAGATGGTGTTATCAGTGATAACACCTTCAGGGGAATTCTCTTTTTTTGGAATGGTTAAAGACATGAGTCAGACATGTAGCTGGACTTACATTCTTGTTTGGTTGCACTACACAAACAGAAGGTTCAGCTTAGCTTGTAGGACATCCAAGCTAACAAAAATGTAGAGGCAAAGATGGTGTTATCAGTGATAACACCTTCAGGGGAATTCTCTTTTTTTGGAATGGTTAAAGACATGAGTCAGTCGAGTTGTGCCTAAAAACATCAGTAACATAGGGCCTGATCTACTAAAGGTTCGCGTGTACAAGAACTGGTGCACCGAGGATTGCATCTGTCAAATGAGCAAAACAGCCGCGAAATCTGCATATACATGAAGCCGCGTTTGCCTTTGTATATGCAGATTGTGTGTAGCTCATCAGACCATGCAAAATTCTGGGAGGAGCAGATGCAAATAGAATCATTTAGCACCCGCAATGTAATTTATCAAACCTGGAAACGGATTGCGGTCGCTGTTTTGCATCTATATTTAGCACATTTGAAAAGCATGTGCAAACTGGCTGAGTGTTGCGCACAAATGGCTGCAGTCGTTGGGGGGAGAAGGAGGCAAAAATGCAAAAGCGTTTTTCTAGTAAGAGACGGTTCTGATAAATGATTAGGTTAAACACGGAACAGTCGCAAAAATCTATCTCTTTGTCTAATTGATTTTAAATTGTTTGAATCTCTTTTTTTTATTTCAAATATATTTTCTTGCATCTGTAAAGCACTTTGAATTGCCTTGTGTAAAAATGGTGCTATACAAATAAACTTACCTTGGCTTTTATGCAGTTGCTGGCTTCCCCAAAATGATAGGTGCAACTCCATGGCTTTAAACTTAATTTTTCATCTACAATCACTCTGCTCTCATAAACTCACCATGGAGACGGCCGATAGGCCATTCAAATCCTCATTTAATGAGGGCAGTCTGCACCACTTTTGCTCCTGTTATCAATTGCACAGGCAATAATAGTAGATCATCCACAACACGCCCACTAATAGCACAAGCAATTTTTTAGTTTGCACATGCAATTTAGTGCTCGCTATTTGAGATCTTAGTAGATCAGGCCCATAGAGTGGTGAAAATGGACATTACAACTAATATCTATAGAACGGTAATCTGTCATTGTGCTGATAAAAGTTGCTGTTCATTGGGAGACCAACTCTACCACTGAACCATCAGTGCCCTTTACAATATCAGCTCTTAAAAAATGGATATGACATAGGGTCTTGTTGTAAAATCCACTCGCTTCATGAGACTGGCAGCTATCCATTGATCAACTCTTTGGGCTCTATTTTTGTTCCCGCCAGCGGCGCAGCAGAGAGTGGCGCACCCCACACTGTGGTATTTTCGTCTGGTGGAGCCTGGCGCACAGCCAGTTTGGTATTTTCGTAGACTGGGGTGCACCAAGGTCCCCCAAGCTGGGCATGGTGGCGCAGTAGGTGGGAGGTGTCAACAGAATCATCAGGCGCAGTGACATTTTCGAGCCCGCCAGCAGCGTGAAAAGTGTGCTAAAAGCTTGCAGATTCATACCTGGTCAGTTTTCAGAGCAGGCAGAGTGCAGCTGGTCTAGTGGTATTTTAGTAGACCGGCGGTGTAGTGCGCACACGCCACCAATGCCTCACAGGCAGATTCTTCAGTGTCAGGCACATTTCTGTGCAATAGATAATCAACAACAACCAATATTCAGTGCGACTATCTGAGTCAGCACATACATTTAGATCTATATCTTTATATTCTGGTCTATATCTGATCTGATGAGCGCGTTTGGCACGTGTTTGGACACTCAATGTGACCGAATTAATGCAGCTGAAACCTGCGGCTGAATGTTTTTTTTTTTTTTTTGTACTCTTTCTTCTACTTGTGTCTCTCGCTTCCCCCTCTTAAATTGCTCCCAGGTACCAGGTTGCTGAAGTGGGAGGGGTGTCATGCAGGTGAGGATGGGGATATAAATGATAAGCATTGGGTAAGTTTTCTTGGGAGAGTAAAATGATATTGTGAGCCTGGGTAAGTTTTGTAAGGTAAGATGTAAGGATAATGGTAATATTATATTGACAATGAAAAAAAAAATGTAGGTAAAGTAAAATGCCATGACATAGTAATATTAATGAAAAGAAAAAAAAATTAATGTTTTTCTCTTGTTTTGTATTGGATTAGTAAGTTACAAGTGAACCTTGTTTTCAGAGGGCATTTTTTGTGGTTCCAGGGATGGGAGCCCCATTTTTATGGAGGGGGGTGTGACGGCCTCCTGCCCGTGACAGCCTCCGGCCTCCTGGGTTTGCTGTTGTGTTCTGTTGTCTTTTGTCTCCCCCTGGCAGGTTGGTGGGTGGGCTTAGCCACACCTGGGTGGATCTGGCCATTCCACCAGGTGTTAAAAGCCCTCATCAAGGACCAGTGTCTCTCTCTCCCTCCAGTGATCCTCGTGGCACAATGTTTTGTTTTAGTTTAGAAGTTCTGTTAGTTTAGTTCTTTTCTTGGGTTGTCAATAATTTAATTAATCTTGGTTGTTAATAAATCTTTCGTTTTAAGTTTAAACCCGTACGCCTCGCAATCTTTGTCATGGACTTTGAGCTGGGTCATGACAGCATTAAATTGAATATACAGTAAATAGTCACAGATGATGAAGTTAACAAGTTTTTTTAAATTCGTCTCCCCCCATTTTCCTCTCTCCCTCTCCCTCTTCCTCTTCTTTCTTGTGCAGCTCAACCCGGACATGTCTCCATGTCCTCTCCCCATCATGCTGCTGCGTTGGCAAAGCTGAACAGATGATTTATTTTAGCATTCAGATGAGTTATTTACTTACAGAATAAAAAGAACTTTCATTCAAAATTACCCGCTTATGTGATGTTTTCACAGCCTTAAAATTCTGTGAATATTCAATCCGGAGTTAGGCTCACATATGAATATTATAATATTCAGTTGTGTTAGCAAAGTTCATTTTATATGCCAACATCAATGAAAGAAAGAGCCGGGCCATGGAGCGTGATGCGTCCTTTACGCACAGGTGGTTCCAATTTTATTGCCATTATTGGAATTTGTTTATGTTGTGATCTGTGCGCACAACCTACCTTTGTCACGTGAGGTTTAAATATATGCAACTTCATGTGAGTGTTTTTATTTGTGGAAAAGGGTGTTTGTCTTACCAGTGGGTCCAACATTACATACACCAAATCCATCTGTGCTCATATGAGAGTGTGTGAAGAAAGTTTACCGCAACACTTGTTGAGGGGCTGCCTCCTGTCATCATGGTGTGGTATTGCTGTCCTCAGTCATCTCTTGGACTACTTCACGAAAGTTGTAATACGCCTCGCTGGTTGCGCATTTAAAAGTGAGGAGAGGAGTTGATGTGATTGGTGAAAACAGGACTCGGCTGTGTTGAACCCACTCCACACCTCTATCCCCTCCCCCTCTGCTACTTACGTTGCAGGGACAAGCTGAGTTAGGGAGGGGGGATACTTACGCCAGGCTGCGCTGCTCACCAAAATACCAAAGTGTGCTTGGGCATGCCTCATCAGCGTGGCTGACCTGACTTGCGCGCTGCCAGCGAGGCACGAAAATAGAGCCCTTTGTGTTTGGGCTGTTTGTATCCAATCCCTTAAAAACATTAGTCTGTGATGATCTATGGGTTAATTCTAGAAATAAAGTAGTTTCAGTAATTCAGGCAAAACTGATCATGGCATTGGTGTCAATAAAATCATATCAATCCTCATCCCTAACTCAGAGTAAGTAACACATGCTGAATTAGATACTGTCTCAGCTGGTGCAACACCTTAAACACCAGTAAACTCTGTAAACTTTTTTCAAACAAGATCATGTTCAAATCCAAGCTGGTGCAACACAGTGCAAATACGCAGTTTGACAAAGTAAGCCGATCCTCAAAAATCTGTGTTTTTTCACAATCACATTGGTATTGAATGGATATTCAGTATCTACAAATACATATGTCTAGGTACCAGGTACTCTCATCTACAAACACACTCTTGTATTTTATGTTAGACCACTACATAATTCAGCATCACTGTGAACAACTCCAACAATATTGACAAGGAACATTTAGTATCAGCAGTAATCTAGTCATAATACAGTCTGCAATAGATTCTGCAGCGTCGTGAGACACGATATCTCCAGTCTTAGCTGCAGGTAATATTTCTTTGTAATCCCAGCCTTCTATCAAATAGGAAATGGGGAAAGTGTGATGTTGAAAATTATTTTTTTTAATTATTTTTGGTATTCTGAAGTCTCAGAAAAGGAAGAAGAAGAACTTTATTGAACCCCAAAGGTAAATTCAATTGTCTGTAGTCTCATTTGTCATGTCTCAAGTCATCTACTATTTACAGCAAATTTATAAAATAAATAAAAAATCCTCTGGATCTTTCAGTCCTGCAGCGAAGAGAGAGGAGCTGTCCACCACCATTGGCCCTTTGCTCCATCAAGGTGTTACAAAGTGGGTGATCCATGTTCTTTAGAATAGTTTCCACCATACACCGTATAAATTATGGACAACTTGGCTCCGCCTCCCATCATTATACGAATTTGAAGCCAAATTGCTCTCAGTATTTCCGTGACTTTCTCCACTTCCTGGAACCACCTCTTGCGCCGCAGCAATGTATGCATTCGGCGGTAGAGTTGCCAAGAGTCACTGTGATGACTCTCGGCTCAAACAGTATATCTCCGAATGAGCTACGCTACCTTCATACACCCATAGGCTGTATCAAGTGTCAATCATAGAAAACATGAACCCCGTGATAACTTTTGACAATGGAGCAGTACAGAAAAAAGAGGACTGAAGCACAAACCAGTCTTATAGTAACTACATGTAAATATCCTGACCAGTGGGGAGAAAAATTTATATTCTGTGTAATAAATTTCCAAAGTTTGTCCACAGCTCCACAGGGATTGCTGGATGAGGCGGGATTTATGTTCTATTCTGCAGCCCGTCACCAGAGGGTGCTGTTCTTGCAGTAGCTTCATCCAGCAAGGAGGCAGATGGCGTCCATTCAATATACAGTCTGTGGTCTCCACCTTCCACATTGTAGATCTCTCCACCACATCCTCCACTGAGTCCAACTTGAATCCAACCACAGAGCCAGCCTTTTTCACCAGTTTGTTCAGACGTCTTACATCTTTGTGTTTGATACTTCCTCCCTAGCAGACTGCAGCATAGAACAGAACACTGTAGACATCATGGACTGATAAAACATCTGCAGTACCTTACTACAGATGTTTATTGATCGTAGTCTTCTCAGACTCTGCCCCTTTCTGTAGATGAAGTCTATATTCTTAGACCAGTCCAACTTATTATACAGATGTACACCTAGGTATTTATATGATGTCACCACTTCGATGTCCACTCTACAGGTGTTCACTGGCTGAAGAGGGGGTTTGGATCTGAGGAAGTCTATGACCATCTCCTTTGTTAAGCTGTGGTTGTTTTAGAGTGCTTTACAAATAAAGTTGAGTTGAGTTTGTCTTTGAGGTGTTGAGGAGGAGGCAGTTTTTGTGATTCCAGTCACTGAAAGCTCTTATTACAGTGGGTACGGAAAGTATTCAGACCCCTTTAAACTTTTCACTCTTTGTTTCATTGCAGCCATTTGCTAAAATCAAAAAAGTTCATTTTATTTCTCATTAATGTACACTCAGCACCCCATCTTGACAGAAAAAAAGAAATGTAGACATTTTTGCAAATTTATTAAAAAAGAAAAACTGAAATATCACATGGTCATAAGTAACCAGACCCTTTGCTGTGACACTCATATTTAACTCAGATGCCGTCCATTTCTTCAGTACCACAAAGTCAACTATTACTGCAGCCCTCCACCAGTCAGGGCTTTATGGCAGAGTGGCCTAACGGAAGCCTCTCCTCAGTGCAAGACATATGAAAGCCCACAGAGAGTTTGCCAAAAAACACAAGAAGGACTCACAGACTATGAGAAATAAGATTCTCTGGTCTGATGGGACCAATATTGAACTTTTTGGCATTAATTCTAAGCGGTATGTGTGGAGAAAACCAGGCAGTGCTCATCACCTGCCCAATACAATCCCAACAGTGAAACATGGTGGTGGCAGCATCATGCTATGGGGGTGTTTTTCAGCTGCAGGGACAAGACTCTTGGTTGCAACAAAAGGAAAGATGAATGCAGCCAAGTACAGAGATATCCTGGAGATATCCTGGAAGAAAAACTCCTCCACCTTCCAACAAGACAACGACCCTAAGCACACAGCTAAAATAACAGGAGTGGCTTCGGAACAACTCTGTGACCGTTCTTGACTGGCCCGGCCAGAGCCCTGACCTAAACCAAATTGAGCATCTCTGGAAAGACCTGAAAATGGCTGTCCACCAACGTTCACCCTCCAACCTGACAGAACTGGAGAGGATCTGCAAGGAAGAATGGCAGAGGATCCCCAAATCCAGGTGTAAAAAACTTGTTGCATCATTCCCAAGATGACTCTTGGCTGTACTAGCTCAAAAGGGTGCTTTTACTCAGTACTGAGCAAAGGGTCTGAATACTAATGACCATGTGATATTCAGTTTTTCTTTTTTTAATAAATTTGCAAAAATTTCTACATTTCTTTTTTTCTGTCAAGATGGGGTGCTGAGTGTAAATTAATGAGAAATAAAATGAACTTTTTTGATTTTAGCAAATGGCTGCAATGAAACAAAGAGTGAAAAGTTTAAAGGGGTCTGAATACTTTCCGTACCCACTGTAGATCTCTGTACTCAGCTTCTTGTTTATTTCTGATACATGCCAAGATAGCAGTGTCATCTGAGTATTTCTGGATGTGGCAGGACTCAATGCTGTATTTTAAGGCCCAGACTACACGTATATAGCTATTTATTTATCAGGATATTTTTGTACTCCCGTCTAAATAAATGTATTTGTCCACACGTGTTAGTTCTCAAAAATATCTGCGTCCACACGTAGCCTTCAAACCCAATCCTATCTGGTGCCACTTAAAAAAAAATTCAGAAACAAAGTTACCTGATTGGCCGATGAATCGAACAGCGTGACGCGTCATGCATTGTTTGCAGAAGCTACGCTAGTGCATCGGGTCCATGTGACGGCTGTAACAAAGCAGACGCCTCTGTGAGCTGGCTGACTGGTGGATGTAATTGCATAAAACAAGGTTCACTTGCAAGGCTGAAATTAGCCCCAAAAGGGCAAAACAAATGTAAAGAATACCCTGTATGTCTGCCATTGTTGTCGTTTTTCTTTTTAATTCGCATGCGCGAGCTGCGGTTTGACGTCATCGATCCGTAAAAGTCCAACCATACAAATCCACTACGGATACGGGATACGGATATTTTTTTATTTCTCCACTTGTTTTTTCGGATTCAGATTTATCCGGTTTGAGTGTTCCAAACTCCCATTTTGGTGTGGTAGGGAGGCCTAATCGGACATAAATATGTGCGGTTTGAAATATATCCGCATTCGTGTAGTTGGGGCCTCAGTCTGCTGTATACAGTGAGAACAGGAATGGAGCCAGGACCGTCCCCTGTGGAGCCCCTGTACTGCTCATTAATGTTCAAGTCAATTCATGTCACAGCTGTCTCCAGATCTGACAGGGTTTCTCCTCCTTACACACAAATCTTGCAGGTGACTGATGGATTCTTGGGGTGTAATAGTAGAAAAGGCCATGCACTGACAGCAGCCTGGAGACTGAAACAAACCCGGCACTTATAATGCTGTTATGCTGAACATTCGGTCTTTACTGCTGAAGTGTTAACCCTGTGATTGGTTTTGCAGAGACCTAAAAGATTAATCTTCTCCTGCATGTAAGTGTGAGTGTCTATTGATTATTTTGGGTGTGTGTGTGTGTGTGTGTGTGTGTGTGCGCGCGCGCGCACTTGTGCAGGTGTGTATGAGTATATGTGTGTGTGTGTGTGTGCGCGCGCGCTTGTGCAGGTGTGTATGAGTATATGTGTGTGTGTGTGTGTGTGTGTGTGTGTGTGTGTGTGTGTGTGTCACGGTGTCCCAGAGGTCTAGTTATAGTATTAGAACAGAGGAGTAACAGCAGGCTTTAGAGGACAATAAAAATTAGAGGATAATAAAAAAACAGCAAACGCTACAAGGCACACACACACACACACAGGTTTCCTGACACTGAGTGGTTATCTGGGTTAAGAAAGCAGGAGGCAGACAGGAAGTAATTATGGGAATAAAGGAAGGCTCTTGAGGCTAAAGGAAGAAAGTTTCAGCTGAATCACTCAAAGGCCAGATAAATCTAAACATCCATTTATTTGAGATAATGCCCTGTTAATGATTTATCATTTTAATAAACATCATAACAAACAAACCTACTTCCCATTTAAACCATAATTGTATAAATATAGAGATGGGTAAGATTTATAAAACTTGGAGGTCTATACCAGAGCAAAGTAACACTGTGGAAAACCTGTTACGACTCAAATCATGTTTCAAAACATTCATTTCATGTGTAGTTTGATTTTTAAATTTGACCCCTATCCCATTCGATACTGTTGCAGAGGTTCATGACCCATATAGAGGCCAGTCTGTAGGAGGAGCTCCATATGGAGCAACAAAAACTAAGAGCTGTGCCAGTACGTCACAAGAAACTATTTATCACCTGCTTTGTAAAACACTTGATTCTGATTGGTCAAAATTCCATGATAACAGTGATCGATGAAACTGAAACGTGATCTGACACCTCACATCAAACCAATCCAGAAAAAGGACTCTGCTGCATGTACACAGGTGGCATAGGCTAATAAGTGGTTTCAAATAAGGCACAGTTTAAAAAAAAGCCACAGTTTCAAACATTTTAGCTCATTGCAGTCCTACTTTGAGCTGCCCCCCAAACACAGGTCAGAATAAATGGTAACACTCCATGTTAGCCTTGGTCACTCATTGTACTGTCTTGTTGGTGAACGCTTAAATAGCTGTAGAATAATGAGGTGCTATGTATGTTAGCCTGCTCACGCGTTAAGCTTGAACACTAGGAAAGTGTGATATATTTTTTTAACTGTTTCCATGGAGAGGACTGTAACGGGTATTGACTGGACCCAATTGCAGCACAAACAAGCAGGTTCACTTTAACAACAGTCTTTATTTAACACCCAATCCAATGAAGCAGCAGAGTATAGCAGGTGGGTATGGCAGGAGTCGAACTCAGGTCTTCCGGGTGATAGGCGAGCAGGTTAGCAGTGGACCATAGGTCAGACAAGAATTTTGGACTCGTGAGCAGGGAATTGTCCACAGTCTTAATTTGCTCTACGAGTGTAGAGAAGTGGAAAACGCTCAACTCACAGCTGGAGGAAGATTTCTTGGAGAGTGGTTCAGGTGAGGACTGGGTGAGGATCCAGAGCTTGCAGAGGAGCTGGCAGAACCAACGTCGGCAGAGGAGGTGAGTTGGCGAGGTGAAGCTGACGAGAAGGGGGATCTCAACAGAGCAGGAACAGGCTGAGTGCCATTCAGCCGCAGGCAGACGAATAGCAGGAAACAGGCAGGCAAAGCTCGTAGTCAAGGACAGAAGGCAGGTAGGTTTACCGGGGCTGAGGCGAGAAGCAAAGGTCAGGGGCAGATCAGGTCGATAACAGGTAAGCAGTCCGAGGATAAACGCTGGAGAGTCAGGCATGAGAGCGAAGACAATCTGGCAAAGAGTGAGGGGAAAGAAGCTGCATATATATCCTGGCCTGATTGGAGATGATGAGCAGGTGAGAGCAGCAGGTGGAAGCAGTCAGCTGATGAGGGGTGTGGCTGAGCAGCAGAGCAGGAGAGGGGCAGAGCAGACTGTTACAGAGGACAGCTTATTTAGAAGCATGTGAGTATACATTGAAACTTCTGCAGTCTCATATTTACATGCACTTAAAAGAAGTGCCTCGGCTGACTTAAACCAAACTTTAACAAATCATCTAAATAGAGGTGGTCACGCTTCTGTCAGTGATTCAATTCTTGCATAGTGCTTGTAAACTGAGAAGAGGACAGGAGTCCAGTTAAATCACCCAACTGAACTATGACCATTGCTCAACTTGACTGTGCATGTAAACGTGTAGTGGTTGTCCTTTTATAGGGTACTCAGGGTTTTTATTGTGTATCACTGACTGTTCCAGCCACTAGCCTGTTGGCTGCTGTTCAGCATACTAGCATTGATGCTCCAGTCCTTGTGTAAAACCATGATATTTGTACTAAAAGGTGTCATACTGTTAGAACATTACACTGATGATAGGTTATCAACAGGAAGGACATTTTCATTACCCCCTCTCTCACCCCCTGCTAGGTCTTTTCTCAAACCTACCCCCTGCTCATTATTCACCACCTCTGGTTTACTTCAAGGTTCTTTCAAAGTGTCAAGAGTGGAGAGTTACCTGATTACTGATCTGAAACTGCTACACCAAACATTGTTTTATTAAAATATCATTTAGTGACTTGAGAAGAAACATCTGTGTATTATCTACGGTAATGGAACAGTGTGAAGGATTTGACTCTCTCTACCAAACATGAGGAAGTCTCATGTGAACAGGGAGCCCACAGAAGAACAGATGTTTACTGTGTGTTTTTGAGGTCCCGTGTTAGCAATCCTTCTTTCCCCTGAAGCCATGTTTCCTCTGCCAAACAGATCGCATTGCTGATTTGGTTGTTGGTTAAGCTGTTATCTATGCAGAAAAACTCGGAATCTGATTCTTGTTTTCGTGACAGGGTTCAAAGTCAGGTGATAAATAAAAATCTGCTCTACAGGATCGCCACTGAAGATTTTTTATCTTTTATATTGTCAAGGGGAAAGATACTGCTGCATTTGCAAGCATAAGTCTGATTGTCAACAGCTCTAAAAAACAGCAAAAATCACTCATTGAGGATGGTGACAACCAGCTGGTGCAGTATGTGGACACTTGATTTATGACACACCTTGTAAGAACAGAGGCCTCAAAGAGTGTGACAATAAAGCTTAAAGGTGAAAGAATGGATAAACAGATGTCGAATTTCCCCTTGGGGATAAATGAAGTTCTTCTTATCTTATCTTATTTTATCTTAGCTTAGCTTATCATGTGAAACAAAGGCAGGTCCAAACAGGTGGGTCCGTTACTGCTTTTTCAAAATGTCCACAGCTGCAGTCAGAGACAGTTTAAACCCAGAGTCTCCTTTAGGAGTGACCAGGAATGACCAGCAAACCCTGATCAGGTGACATCAGAGTCCTGCTGGATTTAAAAGGTTTCAGGAGCTCTGTGACTGAAGCTAGAGCTTAAACTGTGGGTTTGGGTAACAGGGGTTTGGTTTGACCTTACATGACGCTGCATACTTGACATGGGGACTGGTGTGTGCTGTCATTAGGCTTCAAAACGCCTCTTCAGAGTCCACAGAGTCCAGAGCGATCTGTGTACTTAGCGGCCAATGGATTTTCGTTTACAAATGAAAAAACAAAAAATCAGGTGACCAGCCGTCTCCTGATGACCAGTGGGGAATTGGAAAATGATAAAAGGAAAACAAATCGTTTTCTATTTTGATCTTAAGAACCAGAGAACGAAAAAACAACTCAGTATTTGACTTTCTTTGATGTGGGTTCAAACGGAAATCGAAGATCAAAATACGTGCGTGAAAACCTTGCGTTTCAAGTTCCATTTACTTGTTTGTCGCAACCTTGGGGTTGTGACTTGAAGCAAGAGGCTCGTTACCACAGTAACACCCTCAGGAATAAGGTGTAAGAAGAATTTTGCTGAGCGGCGCAGCCCGGCGTAAGTATTCCCCCTCCCTAACTCAGCTCCTCCCAGCGGCGTAAGTAGTAGCGAGGGAGGAGAGAGGGCGTGGAGTGGGTTCAACACAGCCCAGACCTGTATTGACCAATAACATCAGCTCCTCTCCTCGTTTTTAAATCCGCCACTGGCGAGGCGTATTACTATTTCCGTGAAGTAGTCAAAGAGATCAAGACATGTCTGAAGACAGTAATGCCACACGATGGTAACAGAAGGCAGCTCCTCAACAAGTGTCGCTGCAGAGGGCGTCCTCCACACTCTCTCATATGAGCACAGATGGATTTAGTGTGTGTAATGTTGGACCCACTGGTAAGACAAACACCCTTTTCCACAAATAAAGACACTTGCATAAAGTTGCATATATTCAAACCTCACGTGACAAAGGTGGGTTGTGCGCACAGATCACAACATAAATTCCAAAAATTGCATTAAAATCGGAACCATCTGTGCGTAATGACACATCGTGCTCCGTGGCCTGTCTCTTTCTTTCATAGATGTTGGCATATAAAATAAATTTGGCTCACAAAACTGAATATTATAATATTCATATGTAGGCTTAAAGTAAATAACTCCTCTGATCACTGAAACATTTCATCTGTTCAGCTGCAGCAGGACGGGGAGAGGACACGGAGACATGTCCAGGTCGGGCTGCGCGAGAAATAAGAGGAAGAGAGAAAAGGAGGAGAGACGAATTACATATCTTGTTAACTTCATCATGTATGTCTATTTACTAGATATTTAATTTAATGCGGTTTCAGCTGTGTTGATTCAGTCAGGTTGTGTGTCCAAACGCGTGCCAAACGCGCTCATCAGATCAGATATAGATCAGAATATATCTATATAGATCTAAATGTATATGCTGACTCAGATTGTTAGTTGTTGATGATTATTTATTGCACTGAAATGTGCCTGAGACTGTGGAAACCTGCCGGTGAGGCATCGGCGACGTATGCCAATACGCCGCCGGTCTACCAAAATACCACTAGACCAGCCACGTTTTGCCTGCGCTGAAAGCTGACCAGGTTTGAATCGGCGAGCTTTCAGCGCACTTTATACACCGGTGGCACGCACGAAAATGTCACTGCGCATGCTGATTCTGTCGACACCTCCCCCTGCCACACCACCATGCCCAGCTTGGCGGATCTCGGTGCGCCTCAGTCCACAAAAATACCAAACTGGCTGTACGCCGGGCTCCGCCAGCCGAAAATACAACTGCATGGGGTCCGCCACCCTCCGCCGCCTCACCGGAAACACGAAAATAGAGCCCATAAACTTTTTTTTTTTTTTTTACAAATAATAGGTAACTCAGAATTTCATGGCTGCAACACGTGCCAAAGTAGTTGGGACAGGGGCATGTTTACCACTGTGTTACATCACCTTTCCTTTTAACAACACTCATTAAACGTTTGGGAACTGAGGAGACTAATTGTTGAAGCTTTGAAGGTGGAATTCTTTCCCATTCTTGCTTGATGTACAACTTCATTTGTTCAACAGTCCATGGTTTCCGCCACACATTTTCAATGGGAGACAGGTCTGGACTGCAGGCAGGCCAGTTGAGTACCCGCACTCTTACTAAAAAGCCACGCTGTTGTAACACATGCAGAATGTGGCTTGGCGTCCATGAAAAAGATATAGCATATGCTGCTCCAAAACCTGTATGTACCTTTTAGCATTAATGTTGCCTTCACAGATGTGTAAGTTACCCATGCCTTGGGCACTAATGCACCCCCATACCATCACAGATGCTGGCTTTTGAACTTTGCGTGGATAACAGTCCAGATGGTTCTTTTCCTCTATGTCTGTATGTCTATTTACTAGATATTTAATTTAATGCGGTTTCAGCTGTGTTGATTCACTCAGGTTGTGTGTCCAAACGCGTGCCAAACGTGCTCATCAGATCAGATATAGATCAGAATATATCTATATAGATCTAAATGTATATGCTGACTCAGATTGTTAGTTGTTGATGATTATTTATTGCACTGAAATGTGCCTGAGACTGTGGAAACCTGCCGGTGAGGCATCGGTGACGTATGCCAATACGCCGCCGGTCTACCAAAATACCACTAGACCAGCCGCGTTTTGCCTGCGCTGAAAGCTGACCAGGTTTGAATCGGCGAGCTTTCAGCGCACTTTATACACCGGTGGCACGCACGAAAATGTCACTGCGCATGCTGATTCTGTCGACACCTCCCCCTGCCACACCACCATGCCCAGCTTGGCGGATCTCGGTGCGCCTCAGTCCACAAAAATACCAAACTGGCTGTACGCCGGGCTCCGCCAGCCGAAAATACAACTGCATGGGGTCCGCCACCCTCCGCCGCCTCACCGGAAACACGAAAATAGAGCCCATAAACTTTTTTTTTTTTTTTACAAATAATAGGTAACTCAGAATTTCATGGCTGCAACACGTGCCAAAGTAGTTGGGACAGGGGCATGTTTACCACTGTGTTACATCACCTTTCCTTTTAACAACACTCATTAAACGTTTGGGAACTGAGGAGACTAATTGTTGAAGCTTTGAAGGTGGAATTCTTTCCCATTCTTGCTTGATGTACAACTTCATTTGTTCAACAGTCCATGGTTTCCGCCACACATTTTCAATGGGAGACAGGTCTGGACTGCAGGCAGGCCAGTTGAGTACCCGCACTCTTACTAAAAAGCCACGCTGTTGTAACACATGCAGAATGTGGCTTGGCGTCCATGAAAAAGATATAGCATATGCTGCTCCAAAACCTGTATGTACCTTTTAGCATTAATGTTGCCTTCACAGATGTGTAAGTTACCCATGCCTTGGGCACCAATGCACCCCCATACCATCACAGATGCTGGCTTTTGAACTTTGCGTGGATAACAGTCCAGATGGTTCTTTTCCTCTTTGGCCCTGAGGACACGACATCCACTATTTCCTAAAAAACAATTTGAAATGTTAGACCACACAACACTTTTCCACTTTGCATCAGTCCATCTTAGATGAGCTCGGGCCCAGAGAAGCCGATGTTTTTGATAAATGGCTTTCACTTTGTATAGTAGAGTTTTAACTCGTACTTACAGATGTAGCGACGAACTGTATTTACTGACGGTGGTTTTCTGAAGTGTTTCTGAGCCCACATGGTTATATCCTTTACACATTGATGTCAGGTTTTGATACAGTGCCGCCTGAGGGATCAAAGGTCACGGACATTCAATGTTGGTTTCCGGCGGTGCCGCTTACGTGCAGTGATTTCTCCAAAATCTCAGAACCCTTTGACGACATTATGGACCGTAGATGTTGAAATCCCTAAATTCCGTGCAATTGTACTTTGAGAAACATTGTTCTTAAACTGTTCGACTATTTGCGCATGCAGTTGTTCACAAAGTGGTGAACTTTGCCCCATCCTTGCTTGTGAATGACAGAGAATTTTTGGGGAAGCTGCTTTTATACCCAATCATGGCACCCACCTGTTCACCTGTGGGATGTTCCAAATAGGTGTTTGATGAGCATTCCTCAAATTTCTCTGCATTTTTTGCCACCTTTCCCAACTTCAATGGAATTGGGTTTTTTATTTTTTTAATAATTTTGGGGAAAATCTGCCAGAATACGAACACACCTTCACCTTTCACAATATTGCACCTGCATGGCTGCAAGATCACTTAGCTTCTGCAGTTCATGAGCAGCTATGTGTATTTCACCTGAAGCTGACACTTGAACCCAGACACATTGATGTGGGACATACACTATATGTAGCAGCGGCAGGAAGCAATGGCGTGCAGGAGCAGCACGCAAAACACGCCTCACAGTCTGCCTCAATATCCTACTTTCTCTGCTAATATATTATACTTCAAAGACTGCGACGAAGTCGGGGTATGATTATTATAACATCTCTCTGGATGGGGATGGGGACACAACAACAATAGCCAACAACAAGCGGCTTGGCTATGGCGCCAATGCAGCACTCGTCCACCTTCTGCAGAATGCGTGGCGGCCACTCATTGCGGGGAGACAGGGGGACCACAGTGGGGAAAATAATCATCATCTGCTTACTGCTATCTGGCAATGTCCATCCATGTCCAGGCCCTACATCGGGAACAGGAGTCCACCCTGAACTACCCAATGTAGCCCGCACCACCGTAGCTAATGTGGCCAACGCCACAGTGGTCAACAACATCAACCATTGGCTAACGCTGTCAGCCTGGCCCCCGACGCCCCTGCTACCACATCAAGCGGCTACAAAAGCATTAGCATGGCTACACCTACCTCCGCCAGTGTTCCGGGAGCTACTTGGTCTCAATCCGACGACAGCGAGGGACGTTTCTCGGACCCACACCGGTGGGCCTCCGCTGGACAACAGCCGACTGACATTGCCGGCTCCCGGGGCTGAGGCCACTGTGCCTGGAGGTCTCTGTTGCGGAGCTGGGCCACCGATTGTCGGCCTTGCGTCGCCGCCGCCTGGGGCTGTGGCTACAGAGGGCGGTGAGCCGGTTTTGCGGACACCGGCTCGATGTAACCACTAGCTCCCAAGGCTGTGGCCACCGAGCCCGGAAGCCTCTGCTGCGGAGCTGGGCCGCTGGTTGCCAGGCCTGCAACACTGCAGACAGGGACTGCCGTGCTCAGCCTGACCAAAACCACCATCATGTCTGGAAGTCTCCGGGTCGGAGCCAGACCTCTGACCTACAGGCAAGCTCAACGAACCAGCAAGAAACTACGACCAACAACTCATCACACACCTATAAACAATAATGGTTGCATCGAGAAAGGCCCCAGGAATCCTGTTTTTAAAAAAGTATGTAAAACTAAAATTTTTAATACATTAAATCAAGCTAGAGTAGTATGGGACCCCCAGTGCAAACCCAAGGGCTTCTTATGTGGCCACATCAACATCAGGAGTGTGGGTAACAAATCGAATCAATTACAATATCTCTTAGCAGAGTCAAATATTGATTGCTTGGGACTATCAGAAACCTGGCTGACTAGCAAGTCCCCCTCAGCCCTTGTGAACAAACCAGGATACAATGTATTCAGAAAGGACAGCTCACAGGGGAAGGGGGATGGGGTGGCACTGTATATCAGGGACACTCTGGTTTGCAGAGAAATTGTGGTAGCCTCTGACATAAACTTTGAATGTGTGGGGGTAGAAGTATCTCTATCTGAGGAAATGTCGTTTACCGTTATCTGTTTATACCGGCACCCTAAAGCCAAGAATGACTTTTATGATCAACTCAAATCATTAGTAAAGTCTAGGGAATCCAAAAAAGAGACAGTGTATCTTAGGGATTGGAATATTAATTAGGATGATAAACAAAATAGAAAAAACCTCAAATGAATCACAGACTCCTTTAATTAAGGGCAGCTTTTCAATCAGCCAACTAGGGTAACTAACACATCCCAAACAAAAATCGACTTAGTGTTCACAAATAAAGCTGAAAGAATTGTCAAAGTATATAATTTCTTAACTGGTCTGTCCGACCATAATTTAATACTCCTTGCTAGGAAACTCACTAAAAAGAGGTTTGCAATGCAACCCAAAAAGCCTGCCTCCTGCGCAAGTTACATCCCCAAAAACAAGATGCAACAGCTAGGGGAAGCAGTGGGTGGAATCGAGTGGGGTGGCATTCTCTCTCATTCTGATGTTGAGACAAACAGCTCCAAATTTCTATCTAAGATTGAACAATTACTATCCTCGTTCTCCACAAAGGGGCTGAATAGAACCAAGAGAGGGCATGTCCTACCATGGCTAGATAGCAACTGTAGAAATATGATGAGGGACAGGGACCACCTACTAAAACAGTGCTTAAAATCAGGTTTATCAACAGACAGACAAAAATTTGTCTCCAGTAGAAACTCAGTAACTCAGCTTTTAAGGAAAGCCAAGGCAAATTTTTTTATTAGTGTCATAGAAAATGCTAATGGTGGAGCAAAGAAGGTCTGGTCAGTTCTGAATAAATTGTTAGGGAAGCAGACTAGTCAGAGTACAAGCACACTTGAACTAAAGGTGGATGAGGTCACGGTCAATGACCCGTCATCATTGGCCAGCACGTTTAATAATTTCTTCTTGTCTAGTATCACTGACATTGTTAAACTTTTCTCTCCCCCTGTTATCTCACCTCGCCCGATCTCGGTGAAACAGCCCATCCTGGAAGCCAAGGATGCATATGGGTTGGATACAAACTTCCTAAATACTCACAGTGACACCCTAGCTAAACCAATCACCAATTTTTGCTTAACCAGTCTATTAGGCAAAACACGGTTCCTTCCTCGTGGAAGGTAGCTAAGGTCACACCAATCTATAAATCTGGCAGCAAAGTCTTAGTCGAAAATTATAGACCCATCAGCATTCTCCCCAGCATATTTAAGATAGCTGAGAAGTGGGTCGCCAAGCTTGTGATTAAACATCTAAACACAGGGCAGACACCACTCCACCCAATGCAATTTGGTTTTAGATCACAACACTCGACGGAGACAGCAAATAATGTCTTCATAGAAAAAAATCAAAAAGAGTCTGGATACAAACCCATATGTAGGTGCTGTGTTCCTGGATCTTAAGCGGGCCTTCGACACCGTTAATCACCACGTTCTTCTCACAAAACTATCACATTTCAACTTCTCCATAAACTCAATTCTCTGGTTAAAATCATATTTATCTAATCGTAAACAGTGCGTGATGGTTGACGGTGTCAAGTCCCAGTACTTGGAAAACCCAGTGGGTGTCCCACAGGGATCGGTCCTAGGACCATTACTTTTTTCCTTATATATTAATGATCTACTAGATGTGTGCCCAAACGTCAATATACAATTGTATGCCGATGATGCAGTCATCACTATTCATGGTAAGACCACTAAACAAATCTCTGAGAGTCTGACCAGTGCACTTGACCAGGTTCACACCTGGCTTGGAAATGCTTGCCTTATGCTGAATGTAAAGAAAACTGTGTACATGTTGTTCAGCAAGAGAAAGGTAACTATGGAAAGGTCTGGTGTATATTCGAAGGGGGTAGAACTTGAACTTGTTACACACTTATCCAGGAGTCACTTTAGACTCCAAAATGTCACAAACACAATCAATTTTAATTTGCGTAATTTTAGGCAAATCCGACCCTATCTGACCAGAGAAGCAGCTAAAACCTATCTCCATTGCATGATCCTCTCTCATATAGAATATTGCTTTACTAACTGGTTTGCTGATGCAAGAACCATCAAACCCATTGCACAATTATTTAAAAGGGCTATCAAGATACTGGACAAAAAAACAAACTCTTACCATCACTGTAACATCTTGGATAAGTATCACCTTCTTAGTTTTGAAAATTACAGGAATTTTAAAAAATGCGTGCCTAATATATAAATGCCTGAATGGCCTGGCTCCCCCTCCTCTTATGGAGTTCATCCATAAGAAGAGGGACACAGGGCAGGAAACCAGAGCCTCGGCCAGGGGAGACTGTGAAATAGCTTTCAGAAAGACTGCTTTCAGTCAAAACACCCTCTCCATCAACGGATGCAGCTACTGGAACCAGCTCCCAACAATAATCAGAGAGACTCCCACCTACACTGTTTTTAAAAGGCAGCTAAAACAGTGGCTAAAACAATCACAGTCATGTAACCATTTCTAGTGAGGTTTTAATTTTAAATTTACAAACCCGGGCACTAAGCACTTTATGGCACTTGGTACTTTGAAGCACTAGGCACTTTCTATGCACTAAGCACCTTCCACCAGTGGTCTACTCTGCCTCTGTTTTTATATTTGTCATGTTTGTCGTCTGCTACTGTATTGTTGTCTATTGTTGTTGCTTTTCTGTTTGAGGACAATGGATGGAAATTAGCCTTAGCTAACTCCGGCTGGTTTACAATGAGAATAGACATACATATTTCTTGTATCATGTCTTCTTCTCCTTGTCCATGAACTGGTACTGTCCTGTCTAAATAAATGAATAAATAAATAAAATAAACATTGAGGCTCTGACTCTGCTCTACATGCTTTTAAGTCATGTCCAACTCTGTTAACAAGTTGCAACCAACCCTGTAAGAAGATAAGCCTCAGCCCCCCCGCCTACGGCAGTGGCGCTAACACACCAGCTAAAAGCTAGTGTTACCTGCATGAGCCTGTAAGTAAGTGGCTTATGGGTCGTGTAGGCAAGTAACGCAGAGCGTGGCGAGAGTAGGTCTGTCCTATTGGTGTGCATGTGTGTAGCAGCTCTGAATAAAGTAAACCATTCTGAAGTTATGCTCCGTGTTATCCCCCTATTTTCTCCTGCCATGTTAGCTGGACCAGCTAGTTACCAGCATTAAACCAGCGAAAGTAGCTGTCCCATACCACGATTAGGGATGAAGTAGCCAAAAAGTTAACACTAGTATACATTATATGAACCCAGTTCTTTATATCCTCCCCTAACCCCCCAATAGTAGAGGGCGGCAGAATTATAACAATGTCCTGCTTAGAGTGACAGACAATGCTCACACATTGTTTTCATCCGCGATGGCTTTAATAATTGCGATTAGCTTAGAAACTGTGGAAAATGCTGGCTCCGCTACAGATATAACCTGTGTTAATCAAGCAGAACATTGTTTGTTTATTTTTAATCAAATGTTCTGTATTTATAACACATGTTTTGGCGTGATTAATAAAGTAAACTGTGTAAAAATCCATTAAGAAATGAGCAGGATATTTATATTCCATGTATGTCTAATGCCTTTAATGGGAACATTGCCCACACCAAGATGGCTGCTATGAAAGCAGGTCGCTAAGTGGGCTACAACTGCGCGCTGGTGTATCTAAGATATATATCTGTGCGAGAGCCTCTTACTCAGTTGCTCCAAGTCACAACTTCCAGGTCATGGGAAACAAGTGAATAAAACTTGAAACAAAAGATTTCCACGCTCATTTTTTGATCTTCGATTTCCGTTTGGAGCGATTTGAATTCAAAATAAATGTTCTAAAATAATAGAATTAAATTATGACATTTATGCACTTGTTGAAGGGGCACCACCCACTTCTTCTGGTTGGAAAAAGACAAAACAAAGTTCATTTAAGTAATCAAACGTTGAATCAGTCTTAAACAGATTTGAATCAATCTCACATCTGAGGCCGGAATTCTCATTTCACTTCTGGAAGGACCACTAAGAGATGACATCTTAAACTAAATGGACAATTTATTGACAAATGCTAGATGATAACATAAATTCAATAAATGGCGATCAAATAATGAGAAATTAAAAGAACATCTAGTGAATAAATAAAGGAATGGTTTGAACTGAAACTAAGACTGGGGGCTCTATTTTCGTGTACGCCGGTGAGGCGACGGAGGGTGGCGGACCCCGCGCAGTTGTATTTTTGTCTGGCGGAGCCCGGCGTACAGCCAGTTTGGTATTTTCGTGGACTGAGGCGCACGGAGGCGAACCGAGATCCGCCAAGCTGGGCGTGGTGGCATGGCAGGGGGAGGTGTCGACAGAATCAGCATGCGCAGTGACATTTTCGTGCTCGCCAGTGGTGTGTAAAGTGCGCTGAAAGCTCGCCGATTCAAACCTGGTCAGCTTTCAGCGCAGGCAGAGCGCAGCTGGTCTAGTAGTATTTTGGTAGACTGGCTGCGTATCGGCATACATTACCGATGCCTCACAGGCAGGTTTCCACAGTGTCAGGCACATTTCAGTGCAATAAATAATCATCAACAACTAATAATCTGAGTCAGCACATACATTTAGATCTATATAGATATATTCCGATCTATATCTGATGTGATGAGCACGTTTGGCACGCGTTTGGACACACAACCTGACCGAATCAACACAGCTGAAACCGCATTAAATTAAATTAAATATCTAGTAAATAGACACACATAATGAAGTTAACAAGATATTTAATTTGTCTCCCATCTTTTCTTTCTTCCTCGTCCTCTTATTTCTCATGCAGCTCGACCTGGACATGTCTGTGTGTCCTCTTGCAGCTGCTGATGATAGATGATTTGTTTCAGTGATCAGATGCGTCATTTACGCACAGATGGTTCCAATTTTAATGCCATTATTGGAATTTATGTTGTGATCTGTGCGCACATCCCACCTTCGTCACGTGAGGTTTGAATTTATGCAATTTTATGTGAGTGTCTTCATTTGTGGAAAAGGGTGTTTGTCTTACCAGTGGGTCCAAACTTACACACACCAAATCCATCTGTGCTCATATGAGAGAGTGTGGAGGATGCCCAATGCAGCGCTTACAGTGACACTTGTTGAGGAGCTGCCTTCTGTCGCCATCGTGTGGCATTACTGTCTTCAGACATCTCTTGATCTCTTTGACTACTTCACGAAAATAGTAATACGCCTCGCCGGTGGCGGATTTAAAGGCAAGGAGAGGAGCTGATGTGATTGGTGAAAACAGGTCTCGGCTGTGTTAAACCCACTCCACGCCCTCTCTTCTCCCTCACTACGACTTACGCCGCTGGGAGGAGCTGAGTTAGGGAGGGGGGATACTTACGCCGGGCTGCGCCGCTCACCAAAATACCAAATTGTGCTTGGGAACGCCTTGTCGGCGCGGCGGACCTGACTTACGCCGCGCCTGCGGCACGTCTCTGGTGAGGCACGAAAATAGAGCCCTGGAGGTTAATGATAGTGAGTGAATAAGGAAAAATTTAACCTACGTTAACAGGGTTACGAGGATAAATTTGGATGAGGAATTTAAAGTAACTAAACTATAATTAAAATTATAAGCTCTGAATGCTTGACAGCATCACTGGTTCTTCAAGGTGTGTCGAGGGGTATGTCTACTTATTTGATGATGGTTCTCAGTGGCAATCTTGGAGCGGATCACTAAAGGCCCAGGCTACAGATGGTCTTTGCAGGGCGGCTAGCAGCCGGCCGAATGGTGTCTCTGTCGTCACACCCAAATGCACGCCAAATGCGCCCCGTGGGTCCCGCAGTGCTCTCCTTCCGGAATCTTGTGGCAAACGCAGCTCGGCAGATGATACAGGTAGGCCCTCCAGGATTAGCTTTACTGCAGATCAATTCGTGCTAGTAACTTAAGAAAATAATTTCGCTGGCCAGCTGATATTATTTTCAGGAGTCACTTTAGCGAACTAAACAAAATAATAGACTTAGACTTTGGTACTCTATCCGCGCAGCTAATTACTGATGCTTTAAAGAAACTTGGGTATGGTTTCGTCCAAGTTTCTGAAAAAGTCTGAAAACTTAAGGTGAATGCAAAAAAACACGGGAAAAAGTTACAAGACGATGGACGCCAACAAAGGGAAAAAACAAGTGAGACAAAAAGACAATAAGAACAAAGATTATAAGAGGGGGAATAGTGTCAGCTTTTAACCCGTTTGATGTGGGTGTGAACCAAAAGAGGGGGCCGAGCTCGTGCACACATCGTTTACTGCGCGGGCTGATCAGGCTGGCAAGCGAATTGATTTTAACTTGCAGGATTAATAAGCGAGTTAGATCTAATTCACTCACTATGATTAATGCTGTTTATCAAATCACATATGATATAGTTTCACTTCATCGTTTCTTATGAGCAGATTCATCAAACCATAACATTAAATGCAAGGTAAACTTTAATCACCCGTTTTCCTGGTAGTCTATAATTTGAGGATTAAGATTAAGAGATTAAGTTAGAGAGGGATAAAACCAAATCATCTTTCTAACAGAAACACCATCATGCATAAGAAACACATATGTGATTACACTTAACCTTGTCAATCTGTACTTAGTAAATGATTACAATATATATTCTGATGAGGTAGACAAGCATAGCATTAAAACGATCAAAACATTCTTAACTCATGTATAAAAGAGTTTTCAGGTACTACTTCTAATATTGCTAACCTATTTTGGGAAAACCATTCACTAAGCTACGAAGTATATGCAACCTAATTAAATAAAGGAATATGCATTTGGATTCTGACCAAAATCATATTCAGAAAACACCACAAGGGGTAGCTCTTGGTCCATAGAAAACCTGGAATAAATTTGTGAAGTTAGCAGTTTGGCTTATAAACATGCTAAACAAAAGGGACAAAGACTGTTTCACTGCTGATGTGGTGTACAGTTGGAAAATCCTGATGAAGTGTCCATTAAACCTGAAATTGAATCATTTGCAGTTATTTTTTTTATTCTGCACCTAAAGAGAGACAGGAAAGATAGCCACTATGAAGATTTATGGCTGTGGTCTGTTTCACGGATGAATGCTTTTGATGCACTCTTGAGTTGAGTTCCCATGATCTTCTAAGGTACCTTTAAGGTTAAGGTGTCAAATTTGAGAGTCTCCAGCCAAGAGCAGAAGGGTGAATGTTTATCCAGTCCAGGGGTCCTGCTGGAGATTAGCAACTTTGTCTCTTTCAAATGCAAAAGATTGACTGTCTGCGTTTTGGGAGATCACCTCATGGTTAGTTTCCCACAGACAGCAGATTGTTAAAAGACTATGGTTTGGTGTCGAAATTCACCCCCCATCTCCTTTTAGTGACCAGAGTCACTGCATTCCTTTGAGGGTGAATTAAAGATGAAAAAGCAGAAATCAGTCGTCTGCTACACGTTTAAAGCCACATTACATAAAGTTCTCTGATTTTTATGATCAAAACGGAAAACAAACCGTTTAACGTTTTTCATTATCCGATTCCCTACTGGATGTCAGGAGATGGCCCGTCTCCTGATTTTTGTTTTTTATTTGAAAACGAAAATCTGTTGACCGTCAAGTACATGGACCGGGAGCACATCTCTCCTGTCTTAGCCTCTCTTCATTGGCTCCCTATTAAATCTAGAATTGAATTTAAAATCCTCCATATGACATATAAAGCGTTTAATGGCCAGGCTCCGTTATATTTTGGAGAGCTTGTAATACCTTACTTTCCATTTAGACCATTACGCTTACAGTCGCTTGCAGGTCTGCTCATGTACCAAATGTCTCTAAAAGTAGAGCCTACAGTGTTTCACTCACCATCTAAAGCACTTACTTTGGAAAACAATAGGACAATATCAAAAAAATTAATTATGTGACAAAAAAATTCAACCTCCCAAAAAATATTCAGGCCAATGTTTGTTTTTTTTTAAATGGGCTGAAAAGCTGTTGTTTTTCTATTTTTTTATTTATTTATCAAATTTTTTTTGTTTGTTTTTTTAGAATGGGCGTGTATGTGGCTTAAGGTGCTTTTGCAGCTAGCGTCAGTGGAAAATCAAGAAACTACAGTTTGAAGTACACGACTTCACTTCTGAAGGCTGCTGGTTGCTGCTTGGTTATTTCATATTTTAATCCTCTGGGCTCTATTTTCATTCCTCGCCGGAGACGTGCCGCAGGCGCGGCGTAAGTCGGGTCCGCTGCGCCGACAAGGCGTGCCCAAGCACATTTTGGTGTTTTGGTGAGTGGCGCAGCCCGGCGTAAGTATCCCCCCTCCCTAACTCAGCTCCTCCCAGCGGCGTAAGTCGTAGTGAGGGAGGAGAGAGGGCGTGGAGTGGGTTCAACACAGCCCAGACCTGTATTGACCAATAACATCAGCTCCTCTCCTCGCCTTTAAATCCGCCACCGACAAGGCGTATTACTATTTTCGTAAAGTAGTCAAAGAGATCAAGAGATGTCTGAAGACAGTAATGCCACAAGATGGTGACAGAAGGCAGCTCCTCAACAAGTGTCACTGCAAAGGGCGTCCTCCACCCTCTCTCATATGAGCACAGATGGATTTGGTGTGTGTAATGTTGGACCCACTAGTAAGACAAACACCCTTTTCCACAAATAAAGAAAATCACATCAAGTTGCATATATTCAAACCTCACGTGACAAAGGTGGGTTGTGCGCACAGATCACAACATAAATTCCAAAAATGGCATTAAAATTGGAACTATCTATGGATAATGACGCATTGCGCACCATAGTCTGGCTCTTTACCGTATTTGGCTTAAAGTAAAAAAACTCATCTGATCACTGAAACAAGTCACCTGTTCAGTCGCCGCAGCTGCAGCAGGACGGGGAGAGGACACGGAGACATGTCCAGGTCTGGCTGCGCTAGAAATAAGAGGAAGAGGAAGAAAGAAAAGGGGAGAGACGAATTACATATCTTGTTAACTTCATCATGTGTGTCTATTTACTAGATATTTAATTTAATGTAATGTGGTTTCAGCTGTTTTGATTCGGTCAAGTTGTGTGTCCAAACGCGTGCCAAACATGCTCATCAGATCAGATATAGATCAGAATATATCTATATAGATCTAAATGTATGTGCTGACTCAGATTATTAGTTGTTGATGATTATTTATTGCAGTGAAATGTGCCTGACACTGTGGAAACCTGCCGGTGAGGCATCGGTGACGTATGCCGATACGCCGCCGGTCTACCAAAATACCACTAGACCAGCTGCGCTCCGCCTGCGCTGAAAGCTGACCAGGTTTGAATCAGCGAGCTGTCAGCGCACTTTATACGACAGTGGCAAGAATGAAAATGTCACTGCGCCCACTGATTCTGTCGACACCTCCCCCTGCCACGCCACCACGCCCAGCTTGGCGGATCTCAGTGCACCTCAGTCCACGAAAATACCAAACTGGCTGTACGCCGGGCTCCGCCAGACGAAAATACAACTGCGCGGGGTCCGCCACCCTCCGCCGCCTCACCGGCGTACACGAAAATAGAGCCCTATATGTTGCTCAGAACAGGAATAATTTGCTTCAACAGAATCAGCTTCTCCATTTCTAGAGCAATAGTCGAAAAAAGAAGAGGAAAAACAGAAACAGAATTAAGAGGTACAATAAAAATAGGTACAAAATATATACAAGATAAAATTCTTCAGTGCAGTGCAAACAGTGCAGTGAAAACTATTTACAAGAATAAGGAAGATAAATAAATATAAGAATTATATACATACAAAAAGTGTCTGTAAATTTCTATTTTTGTGTGATTTCCTTTCTATTTGGGCCTAAAAAAAACATTACAATTTAAATTTTTTTGAATATATTTTTTATTTTAATTTTACAGCATGTCCACTGTAAAGGACAACAGGACGATTTCCGTGTGAAGAATTTAGAAAATTAGAAAAAAGGATCAAGTTACATGTTTAGAGTGATCTTCACCCAAGAACACATTCAAGTTGATAAAAAAAAAATGCAAATGTTCTGTTACTTGTTACTTGCAAGGACAAAAAACATTGATTTTAGTTCAACAGTGAACTACAAGACATCGAACATAAGTAGTTCTGCTTTTCTTCTTCCTATTTTAGCTGTGATAATCCTTGAAGCATGTTTTCTTTTTGGTGATGCAGAGGAACATCTTGCACTTGGTGCACCTGATGTATGTCTTGCCATTGCAGCCCTTGTTCCTGCATCTTTCTGCATGTTTGATGTCCATCATCTCTAGCATGTGCCTGGATCCTAGTCTGTGTACAGATGGCTCTGGTTGTGGGAGCCTTGTTTTGGCTGGTGGCTGATACTCTTCCTCACTGTCTTCACTGCTGTCCTCAAATGAAGGACTATCCATCAGCTCTTCTGCCAGGTGCAATTTAAAGTCGAGGTACTGCTGTGTGTTCTTAGCAGGTTGATTCAGCGCTTTACTGTCAGACTTGTACTGGACCCAAGCGTTTGTGATGGCAACATCAAAGAAATGTATCATCACACGTGATGTCCACTTCTTGGTCCTAGTTGACATGCGGTAGAAGCTCAGCATGCGGTCGCAGAGGTCTACACCACCCATATTGTCATTATATTCTCTGATTACTACTGGCCGTCTCTCCTGGACATGGCCTTTGTCTTTGTTGGACCATCTGCTACAGATGTCCTCTGGATCTTTCCCATAGACAGTGGAGGCCATTAGAACTGGTTTATTATCAAACCATTTCATCACTGCCAGCTCAGGCCCACTCCGGACCAACGTCACTGAAGCCCCTCTCCCTTCTTTTCTCAGCTGCTTATCTCCTGGCAGCTGGCATTGCTTTGGAATCCTGTTCCTCATAATGGTTCCAGTTGCTGGAAGACCCTTTGAGAGCAAAGCATCCATGAAATCCATGAAAGAACACATATGTTCCAGTAAGAACTGACTCGACCATTCGCAAGACCGCTGCAGCTCCAACTCCCAGTCTTTGGCCCCTGAATGTGTTTTTGCCCTGATAGACCTCGAAATCCAGGACCAGACCATTTGGCGAGGCAAGCACAAAAACCTTTAGTCCAGTAGAGTTTGGCTTTCCTGGCACATATTGCCCGACTGGGCAGCGGCCTGTGAACGGGATGATTTGCTCATCATTGCGCACCTTGTCACACCTTGGAAGGCTGAGACAACCTTGCCTCACACGGTCAAGCAATGGTCTGACTCTCCAAAGAATGTCTGACTCCTTTGCCTCTTCAGTTACATCCAGGTCACTGACAATCTTGAGTGAGCCTCTCAGTTTGTAGAACCTATCCCTTGTCATTTTCCTGCTAATAACTGGCACTCTAGTTTTTTTAGCCCAAAACATTTTGACTCTGGGATAGCCAAGACAGGCCATGTGTACTGATATGCCAAAGAAAATCTTGATTTCTTGGGCAGTAGTATTCAGTGACACTCCCTTATTTTGCAGCTGTCTTTGATTTGTAAGAGCTGCCAGATCCTCAAAGATTTTGTCATCTATGTATTGTGAAAAGTACTGGATTGGACTCCAGTATTCACGGATTTTAGGGTCATCTTGATAGGCAGGAAGCCCAGGTAGCACAGGTGTGAATCTGTTATGGATGAAAAAAAAAACACAAATAAATTAATTAAAAATGTAATATAAGGAGTAACATTTAATTTTTCCACATCAATTTGGATTAATGCAGTAATTTCAGTGTCATGGATGTGATATGACTCTCTATTGACCAACTTTAAAAGGTAACTTGCATATATTTAACAGCATTTAAACATAGTACAAATACAACAATAATCTAACATGATAATAAAATATAATACATCAGCCTGAAACTAATTAAAACATACAAATTAGTCCTGGCCCACAGAGGACGACGACGACGGCTTTCCTGCTCCCTCTCTGTCTCTGAGTCTGTCTCATCAGATTCTCCTGCATCTTCATCCTCTCCCTCTTCATAATCATCTTCCCCTATCACAGGCTGATACTCATCCTCCCCATCCTTTTCCTCATCTGAAAGCTCCAAATCTGAATCTCCCTCTATTATCTTGTACAGAATCCTCTTTGCTTCACTTCTTTCTCCTACAACAATGTGCAGTCATTAAATACATTAAAATGCTCCTGGTGTCCACTACAGTTGACATTCATTAAATGACTGTTATATCAAAACAGAAATTATGAAACTTTTTTCAGATGCAAAAATATTGTTATTGACATGTTAATGAACAAGAATATATATCATTATCATGGTAAAAATAGCAATAGATAAAGAATATTTGGCTTACCTCTCCTCTTTCTGTAAAATGTGCTTGTTGGTATGGCAGCCATCTTCATAGAGAAAAAAAGTAAAGTTCCCAGCATGCAAACCCATCACATGTTACATCACTGGAAAGCCCAGGATGTCCTCTACAGAATACTACAGGGCTTGATAGGGTAAATCCAAACACTTCAGGAAGACACAGGTGAACAAAATGTCCATTATAAAGGACATAAATGAATGGGCTGGGTCTCAGGAGGATATGTAAATATATATATATGTCTAAAAAGTCATTTTTTCTGCCTTTAATGTGACCTATAACCTGTACAATGTAATTAAAAAACAAACTGAAACATTTAAAGGGGAAAAATACAAAATAAAAAACTTAAATAACCTGGTTGCATAAATATGTACTCCCTTAAACTAATTCTTTGCTGCAGCACCTTTGGCTGTTATTCCTGCACTCAGTCTTTTTGGGTAGAAGTCTATTAGTGTGGTACATCTTGATGTGGCAATATTTGCCCACTTTTTTTTGCAAAACGGCTCCAAATCTGGCAGATTGCAAGGGCATCTCCTGTGCACAGCCCTCTTCAGCTCACCCCACAAATGTTCAATGGGATTCAGGTCTGGGCTCTGGCTGGGCCACTCGAAAGTCTCAGTCTTATTCCGGTGAAGCCATTCTTTTGTTGATTTAGATGTGTGCTTTGGGTCATTGTCGTGCTGAAAGATGAAGTTCCTCTTCATCTTCATCTTTCTAGCAGACTGCCGAAGGTTTTGTGCTAACACTGACTGGTATTTGGAACTGTTCATAATTCCCTCCACCCTGACTAAGGCACCAGTTCCAGCTGAAGAAAAACAGCCCCAAAGCATGATGCTGCTGCCACCATGCTTCACTGTGGGTATGGTGTTCTTTTGGTTATGAGCAGTGTTGATTTTGTGCCAAATATACCTTTTGCAATTATGTCCAAAAAGTTCAACTTCGATTTCATCAGACCGTAACACATTTTCCTACACGTGTTTGGGAGAGTTCAGATGTCTTTTTGCAAAATGAAGCTGGGCTTTGATGTCTTTTTTTTTTGTAAGATAAGGCTTCCGTCTTGCCACCGTGAAGAAGACAGGAGATTGTTGTCTCACGTACTACACAGCCAATACTTGCCAGAAATTCCTGCAGCTCCTTCAGTGTTGCTGTCGACCTCTTGGCAGCCTCCGTGACCAGTTTTCTTCTCGTCTTGTCACCAATTTTGGATGGACGTCCTGTTTTTGGAATTGTTACTGTTGTGCCATATTTTCTCCACTTCATAATAATGGTCTTCACTGTGTTCCATGGTATATTTAATTGCTTGGAAATTATTTCATAGCCCTCACCTGACTGATATCTTTGAATAACAAGATCCCTCTGATGCTTTGGAAGCTCTCTGCGGTACATGGCTTGTGCTGGAAGATGTGGCTACAAAAATATCAGGAAAAGCCTACTAGAACAGCTGAACCTTATTTGGGGTTGATCAGAGGCACTTTGAATGGTGACAAGTGTGTGCTGACGCAGCCACATCCCCAGTTATAAAAGGGTTTGCACACTAATGCAACCACATGATCTCAGTCGTTTATTTTTACTTCACCTCCCTGAGAGATTTCTGTTTGTTTTTCAATTGTGTTGTACAGGTTATATTAAAGGCAGAAAAAGTTGTGAATTTATTTCACTTGATGTAACTTTTTTATATGACAAAAACTTGGCATGCTGTGAGATATATATATATATATATATATATATATATATACACATCACAGCAAACACCCATTTAAATATTAATGGATGATGTGGATGATACTTTGGGCTCTATTATCGTGCCCGCTGGCGATGTGGCAGCGGTATTTTTGTCTGGCAGAGCCCAGTGCACAGCCAGTTTGGTATTTTCATGGACTGAGGCACACCGAGGTCCACCAAGCTGGGCGTGGTGACGTGGCAGGGGGAGGTGTTGACAGAATCAGCTGGCGCAGTGACATTTTTGTGCCCGTCTGCGGCGTAGAAAGTGCGCTAGAAGCTCGCTGATTTAAACCTGGTCAGCTTTCAGTGTAGGTGGAGCGCAGCTGGTCTAGTGGTATTTTGGTAGACCGGCGGCGTATCGGCATACATCACTGATGCCTCACCGGCAGGTTTCAACAGTGTCAGGCACATTTCAGTGCAATAAATAATCATCAACAACTAATAATCTGAGTCAGCACATACATTTAGATCTATATAGATATATATATGAGCGCATCTGGCACGCCTTTGGACACACAACCTGACTGAATCAACACAGCTGAAACCGCATTAAATTAAAGGGGACCAGCCATCAAAATTTCATACCAATTTTTATCATTTTTTCATAATCCTTGATGTCCTCTGATCATGTTTGCAACATAATTTTAGCTGAAAAGTTATTTGATGGTTTGTTTTAGTATGCCTAAAATACCTTACAGGACAACCAACTGATTTTGGCTCATTAACATTTATGGTAATGAGCTTTGCTCTGATTGGATCGCTGCCGTGAAGCCTGCTGTGCTCTGATTGGCTCAGCAGTGGAGGTTCGGATTTCGGTTTATCCATTTTGCTAATGTGTGCTGAAGTTACGTGCCCAGATGTCTGTAATGATATCCGGGGATATTTGGTGCGGCGGCGGTGGCGGGTGCAGGGGCTGTGTGATCACAGACAAAATCTCGGTACTATTTAGTAGCAGCGCATGCCCCTTGTAATAACCCCCGTAAGAACTGTTGTTCAGGACTGCTTACTTGTGCTTCCTACCTATTCGGCTACTGTAATAACCATTGTTCGAGCCCACACACAACATTTTTGCTCTCATTCATGAAACGCTTAAATCGGGGACATTTTCTGGGACAGCTTTTGCCAGGGACAGGTCATCCAATACGGGGACTGTCCCCGGAAATCGGGGACGTCTGGTCACCTTATGCTAAAGGCTAAAAATGGCAGGTATTAAACCATATATTTTAGACCCCGAGTCCGAAGAGGAAGTGGAAGTTGAAGAAGAAGCCAGAGATCTCCAGCGGTGTTTTCTCATTCATTCTGCCCAGCTTTAAGTTCATTTTCCCGGCAGTGAACCCAAGGAAACACCGGTCATTTGGAAGAGACCCATAGCAGATACAGCGGTAGCTGGGTCTCGCTGTGAATGAGTACGAGAACGAGAGAGTGGGCACGGCTCACCGAGGACGCACTCGTGAATAATAATGAGCAGGGTAAGCGCGACGTCAGAGAGACCTGCTTTTTCAATTGGCCTGGTTAACCCGTTCCTTTATTTTAAACCTTTACAGAATGCAAACAACGTAACGGTTTGTTTTCACATTTACAACATAAGACGAACATAATATGGACCTTATCTGACACAAAAAACACACAAAATTACATTTTGATGGCAGGTCCCCTTTAAATATCTAGTAAATAGACACACATGATGAAATTAACAAAATATTTTATTCGTCTCCCCCCTATTTCTATCTTCCTCTTCCTCTTATCTCTCGCGCAGCTCGACCTGGACATGTCTCCGTGTCCTCTCTCCGTCCTGCTGCAGCTGCGGCGGCTGAACAGATGATTTGTTTCACTGATCAGATGAGTTATTTACTTTAAGCCTACATACGAATATCATAATATTCAGTTTTGTGAGCCAAATTTATTTTATATGCCAACATCTATGACAGAAAGAGCCAGGCCACGGAGCGCGATGCGTAATTATGTACAGATGGTTCCAATTTTAATGCCATTATTGGAATTTATGTTGTGATCTGTGCGCACAACCCACTTTTGTCACGTGAGGTTTGAATATATGCAACTTTATGTGAGTGTCTTTATTTGTGGAAAAGGGTGTTTGTCTTACCAGTGGGTCCAACATTACAGACACCAAATCCATCTGTGCTCATATGAGAGAGTGTGGAGGATGCCCAATGCAGCGCTTACAGTGACACTTGTTGAGGGGCTGCCTTCTGTTGCCATCGTGTGGCATTACTGTCTTCAGACATCTCTTGATCTCTTTGACTGCTTCACGAAAATTGTAATACGCCTCGTCGGTGGCGGATTTAAAGGCGAGGAGAGGAGCGGTTCTGATTGGCGAAAACAGGTCTCAGCTGTGTTAAATCCACTCCACGCCCTCTCTGTGACTTACGCCGCTAGGACGGGCTGAGTTAGGGAGGGGGGATACTTACGCCAGGCTGCGGTGCTCACCAAAATACCAAAATGTGCTTGGGCACGCCTTGTCGGCATGGCGGACTTGACTTACGCTGTGCCGGGGAGGAACGAAAATAGAGCCCTTCGAGTACAACAGACAAAAACTACAACATTTCTCACGCTGACCACAAGCTTTGTAATTTTATGATGATTCTGTCTGTGCAGAGGAAGCTTACACTCGATAATTTTTCTTAGAATGTTTTGTCTTTGTGAAACCACAGCTCGAATGTTTAAACTGCGGCTATGATTTTCTCTAATTCTCTTAATAAGTTTTGGCACTTGCATTGCTCAGAGAGGAGCCTACAAGTCAAATAAATTATGAACACAGTGATCATGTCCTCTGAAAGCTGACACATGTCTGAGGGTGGCTTGGTCTGGGTTTGTATTCCACAAATCACTCCTCTCATTTTCGTCATGTAAAACACAAAGTCAGAGCATTTACTTCATCCATCCATTTCAGGACCATCACAGGCATGCGTCAGCGTTTTCTGTCAGGCCACCAGATCTCTCTATTTTAAACCAAGATGTTAACCAGTTGATGGACACTTTTTAAGTTGCATTGAGTTGCTTTCCCAAATCTGGTTTATTTAAAGGTGGGGTAGGCAGGATTCCGTTAAAGAAGCATCTTTTTTGTGGTGTGTATACGAAAAGCTTTTAATCTCTGTCAATAGCTATTAGTTATTGATGACATTTGGTGATATACCAATATTGCTGTGTTTTGTTATGTCTGTGTTGTCAACCCAGCCCTGTAACCTTTCTGCTGGACAGGTAAACTGCTTTAACAAAGTAAGCCAAGTGTCTGTAACAGAAGTGTTTCTTGTCAAACGGGACCTGCTGTGTGTTGTAGTGCCACAACGCTGTTACCCTCGGGTCCTGGACTATGTCACTTTATGCTAGTTGTAGAAGTCCTGCAAACTGTGACCCTCATTTATCAAGCTTGTGTACAGCAGTAAACTCATGTAAACCTTGCGTACGTAAGTTGCGACGTGAGGATTGGCATTTATCAATCTGCACGTGAGCGACAGGTCTGACATTTTGTACGCAAGTTTGAGTCAGTGTGGATCTGCAGTGCAGCAAATGTCTGTCTCAAAATAATTGACACACAAACCTCAAACCTGTCATTAAGCACAATCATTAAAGCTTAAGACGTAAATAAAATAAAATAAATTTGTTATGTCCTTAGTGAATAGGCCTATTTGAACATCTTCCCAGAAACACTGCCACAGAGCAGGAGCGCCGCACATGCTACTGTGGAGCACTGCGCTCAACTTCTAAAAGGCAGGTAGCTCTGTCTTGGCCCAGCAGTGGGGACGTTGTTATACACTCCTGAAAGGGTGTGGGATATCATTTGGGCTAGTACAGTTTTGCACAATGTTGCACTGGCGAATGGAGTGCCATTGGCTGTGCTGGAGAACAATAAGGAGGAGAGACTCTACAAAGGTGATGTACAGAGGCAACAGGACCTTATCAATGGATTCTGACATGTAAAGTATAAGTTTAGAAAGTGCTCTTGCTATTTAATCAGTGATAAAAAAAAAGCCCCATCCTTCCCGTTAACTGACCCATCCTCAGTTGTGGCTCCCCCAGATTTCTCACCTCCAGGGGTAACTTGCGCGGGCTCTAGCCCCCTTAACTGGATTGACGCACCACAGGATGCTAAAGCAGGCTATCATCAGGCACTCAGGGGATCTCTCTTTGGCAAGGTCTCCACGCTTCCCTGACCTGCCATGAACCTGCAACCACCGTCCATGGCACAATCAGTGCGCCCTGTTGGCTTTCCTACATTGATTGCATGTCCAGCCCCTTAGCTACTTTTCTCTCCCTCAACACTGATAATTGGTGATTCCATTTTTAGGAATGTGCGTTATTTTATTGCCTAGCGCACTGCTTTCCTGATGCCATAGTCTGTGAAATCTTTTGATCAGAGTGGCAAAGACAGTTTGCCCCGGCTGTTGGCGGGGATTCCGCCTCACCTGTGCCGGGTGCCGGCCCTGCCTTCTCGCCGGAGGCGTCCTCGTCGCCGTGGCGAGAAGGCGGTCGGCTGGTGAAGCTAAAACTGTGGCTGTCACGATCTTTGTCCATTTCCCGGACAGGACATGGATTATTCCCTCATTTATTTGTGCCTCGTCATTTTGTGGACCAGATCGGCGTCTGTCTGGTACCTGTCACCGGCTCAGCGGAGGGACCCGAACCCCGCCGCCTCTGCCCTTTTTGTCTGTCACAGTGCGGGGTGGACCATCGGCTTCTCAGGTCGCTGTGCCCGGCTCTCCGATCCACCGGACCACAAGCCCAAGCCCCCGCCAGGATCTGCCTGCTAAACGCCAGATCCCTGGTGAATAAAACTTTTATCCTGAGGGATTGCTTAAGCTCCCGTGCCCTGGATTTCCTCTGTGTGACAGAGACTTGGATCGGTGCGGGTGAGTCCTGCGCCCTGGCCGAACTTTTACCTCCCGACTGCTTGTACTTTAACTCCCCGCGGACGTCGGGTCGTGGTGGAGGGACAGCAACGGTTTATAAGAATGGCTTTAAATGCAAGCAGCGCACTGTTTCATCCTCTTTTTCCAGCTTTGAGGTGACTTTATTTGAGGTGGGTCGGTCTGACCCGATGCTGTGCGCTGTCATTTACCGCCCCCTAAAATACAATAAGGAGTTTTTGAATGACTTCTCTGGTTTACTGGCTGAAATTATGCTGAACTATGACCGCGTCCTTGGGGATTTTAATATTCACCTGTGTTGTCCAGAAAAGCCGCTGGTGAAGGACTTTGTAAGTCTTATTGACTCTTTTAATTTGGTGCAGTGTGTGTCGGGCGCTACACACCTGTGTCTAACTTGGAGATATGTGATGTATTTTCTGATCACAGGCCTGTATTGTTTGAAGTGTATCTTTCTTGTTCTGAGGTTAAATCTGGCGCCCCTGCGCAGAGACGCCGGATTCTTAACCCCTCCACTGCCGGTCACTTCTGTGTGGCTTTTGAACAGCTCTGTGTCTGCCCTGCCTCTGCGAACACAGAGGAGCTCAGCTCCTGGTTTCATTCCTCCTGTAAAAATATTCTGGACTCCGTGGCTCCTTTTAAAACTGTTCGGCCAAAGGCTAAATCTGAGCCCTGGTTCAATGAAGAAACTCGCGCAGCCAGGCCGCAGTGCCGCAAAGCTGAGCTAAGGTGGAAGAAGGACAAGCTGCAGGTTTCTTTCCAAATACTTAAGGACTCTTTGATCAGCTACCAGAGAACTGTTAAAGAGAGCAAAAGACAATATCTGGCAAACATAGTGGAGTTAAATCATCATTTCCTGTGTCTAATATTTAAAACTATTGACGCTGTTATTAATGCCCCAGAGCCTGCCAACTTGGAGGCATCTGTGGAAATGTGCAATAGTTTTCTGTACTTTTTTATTGAAAAGGTTGTGACTACCAGGTTTCTCATCTCTGCCCCTGCATCCGACCCCTCTGTGCCTGTTCCTTGTTCTGCAGTTCTTGATGTGTTTGAGCCTGTGTCTTTATCATTTTTAGAAGAGCTGGTTGGCCATATTAAGCCTGCTGGTTCTCCCTGTGATGTTGTCCCTCCCAGGCTGTTTAAAGAGGTTTTCCCCTGCATAGGTCAGTCTGTTCTGGCTATCATAAATAGCAGTCTGTCCTCTGGTGTTGTTCCACTAGGTTTTAAACATGCAGTGGTACAACCTCTACTTAAAAAAACAGGCCTTGATTGCAGTGTGCTGGGCAATTTTAGGCCAATCTCCAAACTTCCTTTTATTTCAAAGATTTTAGAGAAAGTTGTTCATGTTCAGGTAAAGTCTTTTCTGGATGTGCATGGTGTCTCAGAGGTCTTCCCATCTGGTTTTAAAACTCTTTACAGCACAGAGTCTGCTTTATTAAGAGTCTTTAATGACATCCTCCAGGCAAATGACTGGTGATAATGTTATTCTTGTTCTGTTAGATCTAACTGCAGCTTTCGACACAGTGGACCACAATACTCTGGTGGCTCGACTACGCCACCCTATAGGTATCCGTGGTACTGCACTAGAGTAGTTCAAGTCCTATTTGACAGACAGAACAATGAGTGGCCCCGTTTGCATGGGTCCAAAAATCTTATTTACAATCAGATTGAAAGGTCAATCAGATTCAAAATGTCTCATATAAACACCTTAGCCAATCTGATTCACCTGGATCTGATTGTATTTCAGGTCGGGTTGTAAGAGGTAGTCTACATCTACCGATTGATAATCTGCTCCATGCTCCATATACACTCACCGGCCACTTTATTAGGTACACCATGCTAGTAATGGGTTGGACCCCCTTTTGCCTTCAGAACTGCCTCAATTCTTCGTGGCATAGATTCAACAAGGTGCTGGAAGCATTCCTCAGAGAGCTTGGTCCATATTGACATGATGGCATCACACAGTTGCCGCAGATTTGTCGGCTGCACATCCATGATGCGAATCTCCCGTTCCACCACATCCCAAAGATGCTCTATTAGATTGAGATCTGGTGACTGTGCAGGCCATTTGAGTACAGTGAACTCATTGTCATGTTCAAGAAACCAGTCTGAGATGATTCCAGCTTTATGACATGGCGCATTATCCTGCTGAAAGTAGCCATCAGAAGTTGGGTACATTGTGGTCATAAAGGGATGGACATGGTCAGCAACAATACTCAGGTAGGCTGTGGCGTTGCAACGATGCTCAATTGGTACCAAGGGGCCCAAAGAGTGCCAAGAAAATATTCCCCACACCATGACACCACCACCACCAGCCTGAACCGTTGATACAAGGCAGGATGGATCCATGCTTTCATGTTGTTGACGCCAAATTCTGACCCTACCATCCGAATGTCGCAGCAGAAATCGAGACTCATCAGACCAGGCAACGTTTTTCCAATCTTCTATTGTCCAATTTCGATGAGCTTGTGCAAATTGTAGCCTCAGTTTCCTGTTCTTAGCTGAAAGGAGTGGCACCCGGTGGGGTCTTCTGCTGCTGTAGCCCATCTGCCTCAAAGTTCGACGTACTGTGCGTTCAGAGATGCTCTTCTGCCTACCTTGGTTGTAACGGGTGGTTATTTGAGTCACTGTTGCCTTTCTATCAGCTCGAACCAGTCTGGCCATTCTCCTCTGACCTCTGGCATCAACAAGGCATTTCCACCCACAGAACTGCCGCTCACTGGATATTTTTTCTTTTTCGGACCATTCTCTGTAAACCCTAGAGATGGTTGTGCGTGAAAATCCCAGTAGATCAGCAGTTTCTGAAATACTCAGACCAGCCCTTCTGGCACCAACAACCATGCCACGTTCAAAGTCACTCAAATCACCTTTCTTCCCCATACTGATGCTCGGTTTGAACTGCAGGAGATTGTCTTGACCATGTCTACATGCCTAAATGCACTAAGTTGCCGCCATGTGATTGGCTGATTAGAAATTAAGTGTTAACGAGCAGTTGGACAGGTGTACCTAATAAAGTGGCCGGTGAGTGTATACGGCTGAGTGGAGCGGATTGGGTTTACAGAGAGGCACGTAGTGACATACGCAGAGCGCGCCCAAATGAAAACAAACATGGCGAACAAACAGAAAAACTGGACGGTGAAGTGTTAAAGTGTGTTGTTTCGTGTGACTGACGAAGCGTACACTTCTTGCTGTGTAACCCGGCTGGATTATACTTTTATTAAACTTCAACACAAAGGGTTCCTTACTCTGCTCGGTCTGGTAACTGCGGTGGTGTCACACACAAACACGTCTGTGTTCAACTCTAAAATGGAACTAAAACAATGGTTCCTATTAACAATTCCCATTGATACAATACAATACAATTGGATTCAGCTGGGGCCATGAAAACGTGGACTGAACATGGATCTCTTTACCTAAAGTTCATGTATACAGATGGAATCAGATTCACTTAATCCGATTGATTTCAATCAGATTGAGGAAAACTACCCATGTAAACGGGGCCAGTGTGAGCCTTGGCGATACAGAGTCCAGCTCTGTACCACTGCTGTATAGGGTTCCACAAGGGTCAGTTTTAGGGCCACTGCTCTTTTCCTTGTATTTGCTGCCCCTGGGCTCCATCCTAAGAAAGCATGGCATTTCTTTTCATTGTTATGCTGATGACAGTCAGATATATGTGCCACCTAATAAGAAAATTGCTTTCTCCCTCACTCCACTTCTGGCATGTCTTGAAGACATCAAAGCCTGGATGGCTTTGAACTTTTAAAATTTCAATGAGAGAAAAAACAGAAGTGATGGTCTTTGGTCCCAGTGGCCCTTGTGAATCCCCTGCTGTAGACTTAGGTATTTTAGCAGACTATTTAAAGCCAACCGTCTCAAATTTGGGTTTTAAGATGGACAGTGATTTTAAATTTGACAGGCAAATTAGCTCAGTGGTGAAATCCAGCTTTTATCATATTAGGCAGCTGGCAAAGGCAAAGCCTTTCCTTGCATGTAAGCACTTTGAAACAGTAATCCATGCCTTTGTTACATCTCGGCTGGATTACTGTAACGCACTTTACTTTGGAGTCAGCCAGTCCTCCCTCTCACGTCTCCAGTTAGTACAAAACGCAGCCGCCCGGCTCTTAACTGGAGTGCGTAAGCGGGAACTCATTACTCCCATCCTGGCCTCCCTCCACTGGTTGCCTGTGCATTTTAGAGTTCATTTTAAGATTCTTTTATTTGTTTTTAAATCTTTAAATGGCCTGGCTCCATCTTACTCGCTTCTTAAACAACCTCTCAGCTGAGAAGTTCTCTGCAACTTTTGACCCAAGTGCTGTGTTGTCTGGTCATGCTGATGTTGATTCTGTAGTTAGTTCTTTTAATAGTCAGTGTTCTGCTATTTTAAAGAAGGTGGCTCCAAGTAAACTAAAATGTGTTCCTGCTGTCAAATCGTGCCCTTGGTTAAATGATAATGTTCACTGTTTCTGGTGAAAATGGCGGAGGATTTAGAGACCGTGGATATCCACCAAGCTCCATGTTCACCGTTTACATTACAAAAACCTCATCCTGGAGTTTAACACCATAGTTTTTCCAACTCATCCAATAACCATGGGCTCCTTCATCTAGATATCTCTACAAGACCTCACTGACTTGGTGGACAGCATGAGCACTTCAACATGCCTATTAGACATTGTTCCCACTTCCATTTTCAAAAATGTTCTTGGCTCTGTTGGTGGTCGCTATCATAAATAGCTTCCAGTCCAAGTTGTGTCCCTGCCCACTTTAAACAAGCTGTTGTTCAGCGTCTACTGAAAAAAAAAAAAAAAACCTTGATCCTTCCCTACTCAATAACTACAGGCCCATCTCTAAATTGCTTCCTCTCTCTAAAATTCGAGAGAAAGTTGTTGCCAAACGGCTCACTTCAGTCCTTACCTCACACATTTTAGATAAATTTCCATCTGGTTTCCACCAGATACATTCCACTGAATTTTCAGCGTGGCCTTTGACACGTTTGATCACTGTATCCTGATTGAGAGGCTGAGGCAGTGGGTGGGCATCTTTGAGATTGCTCTAGATTGGTTCTCCTCCTACCTCTCTGACAGGAGTTTTTTTTGTCACTCGGTCCATACATATTTGAAACAGCTGCCCTCTTCTGCGGTGTCCCTCATGGTTATGTATTGGGCCCTTTATTATTTGCTGCGTATTTGCTGACCTTGAGTCACATCATCAGCAAATTCAAGGTTTTCTCTTATCACCTACAGTATATGCTGATGATATACAGTTGTATGTGTCATTTAGGCGTGATGACACAGACAAATCGATTGTCTTGATTGTCTGACCGCCATTAAGGACTGGATGGCTCATAACTTCCTTCAGCTAAACGCTGACAAGACCAAGGTCCTTATTGTTGGCTCAGGTACCACACCTCACAAAGTTGCTCAGTGTATTGGTTCCCTTCTGCTGTCTGTTGTTCAGTGTAAACTTAGAAATGTTATTATATTCGATCACTACATGTACTTTGATCACCATATAAAACAGTTGTCCAAATCATGTTTCTTCCACCCACGAAAAATTGCTAAACTTAGGTCTGTTGTGTCACATCCTGAACTCCAAACGATCATTCATGCTATTGTTTCATCCCTCCTGGACTACTGTAATTGACTTTTCACCTGCCTCGGTAAGACATCCCTTCATCACCTGCAATTACTCCAGAATGCTGCCACAAGGCTTTTGACCAAGTCCAGCTGCACACCTCACATCACCCCAATTCTATGTTCCCTACATTGGCTGCCAGTCAAATTTAGGATTAACTTTAGGGTTCTTGTTCTTGTATATAGAGCACTGCATAGTCAGGCTCCTGAATATATTACTGACCTTCTCCACCCCTACATTCCCAGTAGGTCACTCAGGTCCTCTGACCAGAGCTTGCTGGTTACCCCTCAAGCCCGTCTAAAAACAAGAGGTGACCGTGCTTTTGAAGTGGTGGCTCCAACACTGTGGAACAATCTACCTGTTAATATTCATTCAACTCTCTCTGTTGTCACTTTAAAAAAGCTTTTAGGGTTATAGCTTTTTAGAAACCCACTTATTGAAACAGGCCTTCGTTTCACCTTGTTCAAATGAATGTTTTAATTATGCCATTGTTTGTGACTGTTCTATTATTTTATTGTGATGTTTATGTTTATGATTTATGGTTTATGATTATATTTTAAATTTTTACTGTGAAGCACTTTGTGAATATTTTCTATGAAAAGTGCTTTACCAAATAAATTTTACTTACTTTTTTTACATGCCTTTCTGCTACATCACAGAGTGCTAACTTTCACTCGTAGCACACATTTTTTACAGCAGGCACCCATGTAATGATGCAGAAGATTATTCCAGAAGCAATTGCTGTAATGAGGCAGTTTGATAGTCATCGAAGAGAATCCACCAGTTAATTTTACATCACAGATGGGGGCTGAAACAGTTGAAGGACCACATGTATCCACACATGAACACACACATACATGCTTATACTCTGCTGGCAAAAGTGTGAGCTGATTTCCAACACCAGATTCACACCATATGGAGGGTTTTATCTCTGCATGTTATGGGCTTAATTTGGCTGCTTTCTTGTGTTATGCCAGCTGTGAAATACACTGAAGATTTTCCATAGCTACGATAATCAATCATTTTTGCCCTTTTTCTGTTTTTTTAGTAGAGCTATAGTTAACAGCCTTTAACACAGAGTTATTGGTTGTTTTAAACATAGTATAACTTATCTAAAGGAACTGTAAGGAGTTTTTTTTTATGTTTGTGAAACAGGCTGAAATTAATACTGATGTTTGTCCAATAATACACAAAAGCAAATAAGACCATCATCAACAAGATAGACCATTTATATATTGTGATTTCCAATACTGCAATGATAAAACCTAACAAGGCATTTACAGGTAGGAGGGCAGGCCTGTGGTGTGGTGAGTAAAGCTGCTGTCTTTGAATTACATGGCCCTGGGTTCAAGTTCCTCAAGAATATGGACCATAAACAAAGTGCCTCTTTTGCTTTGTTGTTTGAGCCCACCTTTCCAAAACGTAGAAAAAAATGGTGCATTCAAGAAACCTGAGCAGACAAGCACAGGCAGGCAGGCCTGTGGCATTGTGGGTGGAGCTGCTGCTTTTGCGTGAATGGTCCTGGGTTCAAATCTGCCCTCAGCGGTGACTGGATTCAAATACTAATTAGGGCCTTTATGTGTGAGGTGGGCATGTGATGTCTCCACACACTGCAGTCTCAGCTGTGCTTTTGAGCAACCCCAAGCAAATGTTGGGATGAACTAACCAAAATAGTTATGCACAGCCAGGCAGATCCTTAGTGACGGCAGATCCCCAGCACTTTAAAAACCAAGCCATCACTACATTGTTGCTTGTTTGGTCAGTCAGAGAAATCTAAATACATTTTAATTTGTAGGATATCTCCTGGTTTGTAGCAGTATCTGGGCACTAGTTGAGATTCATTGGGTAATTTCTATCAGAGAGCACTTACAGGTTGCACAATGGTGTGTTGATCAGCACCACCAACTTCAAATTCAAATAACTACATTTTTCTTTTTATTTGATCATTTTTAAGTATTGGTAAATAAGTGTTATAGGAATAATTATGAAGCTTTGCTGTGGCCAACACATAAAAAAAATACTTTTTCAACTGATATCAGTTTCAGAAAAAACAAAATCAACTAAACGGGTTTCTACAATTTCCCAAAGTCCTTTGTTTTTGTACTGATTAAGACCTGTAATAAAAACCTGTAATAACTTAAATAATAATAACTTTATTTATATAGCACTTTTAAAAAACAGAAGTTTACGAAGTGCTTTGACAACAGTTGCAAGCACAGAACATCAGCACATGAAAATAAAAACAAAAGCTCAGTTAAAAACAAAGCCTCTGAATTGAAGGTCAGTTTCATTTTTCATAAGAAAATGAGACCATAAGGACCAACATAAAAATATAAAATAGGTAAGAAGAAGAATGAAAGAGAAAAGGAGGGCAGAAAGCAGGAAACAGGATAGTGAGTATAAGTAAGGATAGGATAGTAAGTATAAAAGAGGATATTAATAATGATAATACAATCATAATAAAATAAGAATGATGGTAATATTAATGATAAAATGAAAAAATAAAAATGAGCAAGAAAAAAAAACATTAAAATCAATAAGGGACCTAAAAGGTAAAATAAGAAAAGATTATAAGTAAAACAAAGGCTAAAAGGATAGTAAGTCGAAATAAGATAGAGGTAAAAGAAATAAAAGAAGAAGGAGAAAAAAGGTACAAAAAAAAGTAAAAGACGGCATCACATAAAAGCAAGTCTGTAAAAGTGAGTTTTTAAATTTGACTTAAAAGAAGCGTCTGTCTCTGCACGCCTTATCTCCTCTGGCAGGTCGTTCCAAAGTCAAGGAGCTCTGATGGAGAAAGCTCTACCACCTTTAGTTTTGAGCCTCAACTTCGGAACGACTAGGAGGCTTTCGCCAGAGGATCTGAGGCTGCGAGTTGGCTCATAAGGTATTAAAAGTTCTGAAATGTAGTTCGGAGCAAAAGTAATCAATAAAATCTTAAAATCAATTCTAAAACTGACAGGAAGCCAGTGAAAGGAGGCTAAAATTGGAGTGATGTGATGCCGTCTGCTAAAACCAGTTAAAAGCCTAGCTGCTGCATTCTGAACTAGTTGGAGGCGGGAGAGTGATTTCTTGTTTAAACCAGGGTGGAGAGAGTTACAATAGTCCAGTCTTGAGAAAATGAAGGTGTGGGTTATCCTTTCGAGATCTGGTGGGGTGAGTATCTGTTTAATCTTTACAATAGAACGAAGGTGAAGGAAACAGGATTGAACAATCTTGTTGATGTGGATGGAGAAGGTGAGGTCTGAATCGAAGGTTACTCCCAGATTTCTGGCTGTTGGTTTGATGATTACTGAATGTTGACCGAGACAAGACTGTATGAGGGGGGAGTTTTGTATGTTACAGAGAATTATTTCTGATTTTGAATAATTTAGCTGAAGGAAATTTTGTGCCATCCAACAGTTAATGTCAAGTAGACAGTCAATGACAGCAGCTAGGCCTCTTGGGTCCCCAGGTCTCAAAGGAAGGTATATCTGTGTGTCGTCTGCATAGCAGTGAAAGGAGACTTTGTGACGCTGAATTAATTGGCCGAAGGGCAGCATGTAGATAGAAAATAAAATTGGCCTTAAAACTGAACCTTGCGGTACACCACAGGCGATAGCAGAAGTAGAGGTGTGATTGCCTATGGTGACCGCAAAGGTTCGTTCTAAAAGATATGACTGAAACCAGCCAAGTGCAGTGCCCCTGATACCCACCCAGTTTTTAAGACGTTCAATTAAAATAGCATGATCAACTGTATCAAAAGCTGCACTGAGATCTAAAAGAATTAAAATTGAGCCCTCCCCTCTATCTGCTGCTAAAAGAAGGTCATTGGTCACACAGAGGAGGGCAGTCTCAGTGCTGTGACCTGCTCTAAAACCAGACTGAAATTTCTCAAAGAGGTTGTTTTCAGACATTAAACATAAAAGCTGTTTAGAAACTACCTTCTCTAAAAGTTTGGATAAAAATGAAAGTTTTGAGATTGGTCTAAAATTGTTAAAATCAGAGGGGTCAAGGTTTGGCTTCTTTAAAAGGGGTTGGACCACAGCGCGTTTAAAAGCAGAGGGAAATACTCCCTAAACTAGAGAGCTATTAATGATGGATAAAATGCTGGGCCCAACCACATTAAAAACCTATTTGAGAAATCTGGTGGGGATAAAATCAAGACTGCACATAGCTGGTTTCATTTAGTCTAAATTATCAGATAAAAAGGGTAAGGACACCGGCTCAAAACTGCTAAAATAGTGCTTAACTTTCCGAGAGTACAGGGAGACTGGGAGGGGTGATTTGATGCCTGATGTCCATAACCTTGTTAATAAAATGAATTAAAAACTTCTTGCAGGTGTCTTGAGAAGCATCAGTAAAATAAGAGGGGGAAGGGTTGGAAAGAGACTCTAAAACCTTAAATAAAACTCTGGGGTTTGAATAATTAGCTAAAGTCAAATTTGAGTAAAATGCTGCCCTTGCATCCTTAACTGGCTTCTGGTAGTTTTTCATGGAGTCTCTCCAAATTTCGAGGAAAGCCACTAACCCAGTTTTCTTCCATTTGCATTCATTTCTTTTATCTTTCTCTATAGTTCATGTGTGGGGTTCTTTGTTTGATCTTTTCTGTTTCAGAGGAGCTACAAAGTCCAGGATGGTTCCACACAAACTGTTTAAAAGAGAGACAAGCTCTTCAGTGTTAAAAACCTGTGTGTGTGTGTGTGTGTGTGTGTGTGTGTGTGTGTGTGTGTGTGTGTGTGTGTGTATGTGTGTGAAAATTAGCATGTGTGAAAACCAAAATGCAGTGGATTTCTCTCGAAGCCTGTGTAATGGATGCTTCACGGTGTGTTATACAGTCATTTAAAGCAGATCCACACCAAAGGTGATGTCACCACAAGGAGAGCTGAAAGGATTGCCATGGTGATGGGGAGTTCAGTCGTGTTTGGCCCTGTCTGGGTGGGGCACTGCTTCAAACACAGAGTTTGTGCATGTACACTTGTACACTTTTACATCTTTGTGTGTGCATTGACACCCATGCTTGGTCATTATGTCCCTTTTTTTTAACACATTTTATATCTGCTCATTTATGAAAAAAGATCTGTGTAAACAGTGTTAGTGTTCATTCATATGCATTGTGTGTGTGTTTGTGTGTGTGTGTGTGTGTGTGTGTGTATTTTGGACTCTGTGTCATCCAATTATCTACCGGCACAGCACCGAGCTGATGTACACTGAGCTGTCTCATTATAAACAGTAAAACAAGAACCAGAGGCCATTACACAGAGCTATTACTGCACAGTAAATGGACATCCAGCACAGTTTGTGTCTCTGAGTTGTGTTCTCTGGATAATTGCAGTCTGGAGATATGCAGTGGAAATTTGTGTTGGCAGCCATGTAACATTTGTCGCACCAAACGATCTTTGCATGTGGGGTGGTGTTGTCCTTGAAAGATGTTGAGAGAACCATATCTCTCCACAAATATAAAAGGATGCTGCTACTCCTCAATTTTTCCACAACCAAAGTATCAGTATAAAAAATGGACTCAGTCACCTATCAGTGAGTGTCAGAATTTATAGTAAAGGATATAATGGTTTATCCCTATTAGCTCAGGGACTACCAGAAAACACTGGTTATTAGTGACTCTAATAATAATAATAATAATAATAATAATAATAATAATAATAATAATAATGATAATAATAGATTTTGTTTGTGAAGCGCTTTCCAAGGATGCAAAGACGCTGTACATGAATGAAAGCAAGAACAATAAAACATACATCAATATACAATAAAATATACATCAATATCAATAAAATCAGGTAAAATCCATGGGGGGGGGGGTTAAGGAGGATGAAAGGCGGTGCGGAAGAGGTGGCTTTTGAGAAGGGTCTTGAAACTGGTATGGTCGGTGCAGTTTCTGAGGTCCAGTGGGAGTCCCATTGTTACCATTGTGGAGGAGCAGTTGTTGATGTGGATGAAGTGATTCCGGTCTGTGAAATATGAGTGGATCCAGTTGAGAGTGGTGTCTGTGATATTGAGGAGGGAGTGTAGGCGGGACAGGAAGATGGCTTGGTCGATGGTGTCAAAAGCGGCGGAGAGATCAAGGAGGATAAGGATGGAGAGTTGGCTGGAGTCAGCAGAAATGAGGAGGTCGTTGGTGACTTTGATGAGGGCAGTTTCAGTGTTGTGGTTGGTACGGAATTCTGATTGAAACTGTTCGTAAAGATTGTTATTGTTGAGGTGGGCTTTGGGGGTGACAGCGGCCAGTTTGAGTGAAGGGGGAACAGTGGCGGAGTTGAGGGAGGAGCTGTTGATCTGTGTGATGATGGGGAAGCAGTGCTTGATGAGGGAGGATGGGATGGGATCCAGGATGCAGGTGGATGATGACATGGAGAAGATGATGTTGGTCACGTCGGTTGGAGAAACAGGTGAGAAGCGGGAGAGTGCTGATGGGATGAGGGGAGGAGCTGGGAATGGAGGGTGGGGGAAGGGAGTTGTAGATTGTGTTGATTTTGGATTGAAAAGAGGAGAGGAATGAATGAGCACTTTTCCGGGGTGAGGGTGATGGAGATACTGTCTATGGGGTGGAGCAGTTTTTTGACTGTGGAGAAAAGAGTCTTTTGGTTACTGGAGCCGGAGTGGATGAGGTTGGAGTAATAGGAAGAACAGACAGAATGTCTCAGACAGACAGATGGAAAAGGCCAGAGATGTGCTAGAAGTGCCAGCACCCACAGCTGTCTAAACCTACCGCAGCATAACTTAGAGCTTGTTCAGACCTGAACCAGATCTAATGATCAGCTTTGTCGAAGAGGAAGAGAGGGTGTCTGCCACCCATCAGGAGATGGGCCTGATAACTGAAAGCTCTACTATCCAGACCACTTTTAGGGACTTGGGGTACAATGAGTAGGCCTGCATGTCAGGCCCTCAGTATTCTGGAAGGGTAATAGGGAACTGTAAGCTCTTTAAGATATGATGGTGCCTGACCATGAAAATCTTTGTAGGTCAGAAGAAGAGTTTTAATGTCCACCCAAAGTTTAATAGGAATCCAGTGTAGAGAAGCTAATACAGCGGAGATGAGTGAAATTTGGGGATTAGCAGAGTGGTTTAAATATTGTGATAGTGAGAAAGTAGATTTGATCAAACCTACCCAAAAACTGACAATCAATGATGGTGAAAACCCTGTTGTGAAAATAGAAACTTCCACATCATTATCAGCGCTGACTGTTGCAGTATTATTTAAAGTAAAGACATTTGAAAATGACTCATGTATGTGTATGTTTGAAAGGAAAGGATGGGTAGCTGTTGTAATATACTTATAAAGTGTGTAAAATGACAGAGGTCTACGGGCATGATACATTTGAGTGCTGTTTATTCAGACGCTGCCGCGATTACAACTACGCAGGCGCAGAGGGACAAACTAGACAGTCACAGGCTCGCAGCTACGGAAGCCCACAAGGCGAATCATGCACAATACATTACAGCTGTGACTTGTAAGCATTGTAACCTTGAATGTTTTTCTTCTGTCTTTATGAAGGTATGATAACTGACAAAAAGGATTTGCCTATTGAGGGAGAAGAGGATGACAGAAACCTGAACTACAATCCTCCTGCCCAGAAGTCTTTACAAGAGATCCGGGAGCTAGACAAAGATGATCAGAGCCTGGTTAAGTACAAGCAAACCCTGCTGGGGACACTTCCAATCACAACAGGTGTGTGTGTGTGTGTGTGTGTGTGTGTGTGTGTGTGTGTGTGTGTGTGTGTGTGTGTGTGTGTGTGTGTGTGTGTGTGTGTGTGTGTGTGTGTGTGTGTGTGATTTTATTATCTTTTCTGTTTGTTTAGGGTAATAGGTGCAGCTTTGTTTTTGTCGACTGCAGCTAAAAAGAGTCCATCTCTGTTGTGTAACTCAACATCACTTTATCCTCATCTTAGCAAACTTAATGCTTGGCTGCAACAAGGAAATGTGATGTAAAGAAGTTTATAATATACCATCAAAAGGATCTTTCTGTAGCTTTTAATCAATTCATGCCAAATAATTATATCTACCTATACTTCCTGTTTTTGACTTTTTGACAGCTGTGATATCTTAGCATACACAAGAAAAAAACTGCTACTTTTGTATCAGAATTATTGTTACCCAGGTTGTCTTTTGTTTCCATATTAACAGCATAACTGTGGCGTTTCAGTTGTAATTCGACCCCTCAAAACACTGCGATCATACTTTAAATTGCACCACGTTTCATGTAGGTATGCTGATTCAAAGTAGTCTCCATGATTGGTTTTTGGTGTAAATTATTATGAAAATTTTACTGATCAATTATTGATTGAAAAAATGATTTATACATATATTTTATACATATATTTTCAACAGCATCATGATGGATATAACTGATGACATTATAAGGTAACAGAACTTACAGAGATGTACAAATTATTTAACACCCCAGTTATCAACATGAAGATAATTCTCTATTATCTAATATCATCTACAAAGACCCAAGTCTTGTTCCCCAGTAACATAAGAGCTTGTAGAGATATGGTGCATGGCTGCAGCCCTAGCTGAGCAACCTTGTAGCACCTTTAGCCACTTGGTTCACTGTCAGTCTGTTTATATGTCATTGAAGAAACAGATTTATTGCAACGAGAACCCCATTTGAATGCAAGGAATCATTATTACACTTAATTCATGCAAAAAGAATAACTTTCCTGGAGTTCTTAACATGCATAGAAACTCACCACTTCTGTGCAGGCATCAGGCTTTGGGGAATTCACATATTCTAATGGTCTTGTAAAAAACTTATTTTAAACAGCGCCCCCCCAAAATTTTCAAATAGCCCTCTCCATTGAGGCTATTTTGATCTGAATGTATGAGCTTCTCTTGCACTAACATCCTTAACCCAACAAGAAGTTGGCCATTGGGTTGATTGTCAAAACTGGGCTTTTTTTTTTTGTTTGTTTTGTTGAACAAATCTCTCTTTTATTCAATCAATTGCAAAAAATTTTCACAGTTGTTATGAATAGATTGAAGATTTAAAGTCAATTTGCTTGTCAATAAGTGGGTGTAGCTGTGGTGAGCCCTCAAAGATAGGGGTTTTGCTGTAAAACAGGTAGTAGTTTTTAATCTTAGCCACACATGCTCCAATCTGACCCAAATGCCCCAGTCATAAACTAAAGACAAAACATAAAGACAAGGGCAGCAGTCTAGGGTAGTGTTGTGTCATTCATGATCGTTTTGTTCAAAAGAACAGAACTGCTGAGTAAATGACATGAATGGAATCACTCCAAGACCTGATTTGTTCCTTTCTCAGTTCAGTTGAGCTCAGTCGCGAGCGTGGCGTGCTGGTCGGGAGTGGAACTGCTGCCTTTCACTCTTTGGCGAACAACACACAGCGAGCCAGCGAGCAAGTGGGTGGGCGGAGTCTTGTGATTTGCTCACAGCTAATGAACGACATGTATCAGTCAGACTGTGAACAAAACAAACAACTTCCGAATGACTTGAGGCAGGCAGAGGAGGGAGGGGTGTAGCGTCGTTAACAAAATGCCATGCACCAGTTTGTTCACTAAGGCTAAGATAAAACAGTGCATTATAGTACCTACCTGTTTACCCTAGCTTTTGGTTGAGTTGTCACCTGCTTTTACTCGCGTACGCTTTTCTTTTATTGTTGTTATTGTATGTTGCCCTTTTAATGTTGCTATACTTGTAGCTTTTATTATATGTTTTTTCTCCTGTAAAGCACTTTGTCTGGCCTGCCCTATAAAGGTCCTATATAAATAAACGTGACATTGACATTATGTAGCCCCCTCACTCAATTCCTATTTTTTTCAAAATACTATTACCTACCGGATAATACACACAGTATTTTGCATGGGAGAGGAATTGGTGATGCTACGAAATATAAACCAGGGGATTGTGTGATGTGTCTGTGTGAGTGTTAACTCCCATGCATGTCTTAAGATAGCCCCCCAAATGTGCACAACATCAATCAACAGGAACTACACGTTTAAATTAACGAATGTTCACATTTATTCACAGGATAAAGAAATAAAAAGAGAAGAAAAAAAATAGTTCTTAATACCCGGGATTTTATAAATCAGTCTGTGGTACCATGTACGTTGGCGCGCTGTTGGAGCTCTTGTGTAGGTGTGATTTCCAAGTTGTTTGTACTCACAGTCCCTTGCAAATTTAGTGTGTTGTTATAACCATCATGGAAGCACAGAATGGAAGAAGGAGAAAGTTGGCCACCATGCCGAAGTCCCTGGCGCGGCAAGTCCGGAGCACCTCTACTGTTGCAGCACGAGCGGCCAGTATCCAAAGCACACTGACAGCACAAAAAATAAAACTTCACATACACGTACTCACTCACAACGTGCCTGAGGTAACAATAAGCAGTCTGATACTCACTCAGGAACTTGAAATTAACACCCGACCTCGCACATGCATCCTGACTCCAGTCTTTCTCTGCTCCTGCACAGTCGATGCTAGTCAGCTAACAATTTAGCATATAGCACATTTATGAACCTCGCCGAATCTACCAACAACACTCACCCGCACATCTCGCTACAACCACACACCCCCGCCCCGATCCAACACACCGAGCCTCAATCCTGTTGGGTCTTCATTTAACACTTAACAACGAAAGAGCAAACTTTCACACTATTATTTCGCCTTCTCTCGGCATCGCTGGCCAGCATTTTTCCGCTCTGTCAATCACCGCTCTCTTTCACCGAGATGAAAACCCCGCCTTTGCAAAAACTGACAGGTCCCACTCCTCACCCAAACTTGACAATGATTGGCGATACGCTCGTGACGCTTGTCAATCACGCAATACAGGGACAACCGGACATAAGGCGTTCAAGGTCTGCCTTAACTGCGGGATATTTGAAAACCTTAACCAAAAAATTACATTCCTGAGATTATGAGGTGATATCTTACATCATCAACAAGAAAAATAAGAGCAATCACAGAATCAAACAACTTTAAGAATGAACTCAAATTACTAGGGCACTACATTTACATTAGTACAGATGTATAAACTTTCCTGCAAGAAGGATTTAATTTCAGCCAATTTAAAGCAATACGCTATTTGATATCTTTAAAAGTATCAGATTCCCTGCTACAGCTGCGATGTTCATTTAATTTTAATCTCTCGCCTTTTCCTAGCCTAACTCAGGCTGTGTTGTTTCACTCGTGTCGCGATGCGAACATCTGCGGCACACGGAAGGGTGAGTTTTTCAGGGCAGGGGAGTGATTCTTCCTTCACGACTTGGTTAATGAACAACACGTGTCACCCAGTGAACAATGCTGTGACTTCAGCAGCAGGGGGAGGGCAGGGGCTCGTTCAATTAATGAACTCCTGTTCAGCGTGGCTGTGTTAATCACCTGTGTACTGCACCGGCAGGACTGGGCTCAGAAGCATTGACTGATTCAGTGAACAAATCCTTTGAACGAATCTTTTAATTAACAGATTGTAAAGATTCAGTACAGTCAAAAGAATTGTTCTTTCCATCACTAGTCTAGGGAAATTGTCTTTTTGAGCTATAACCATAGCTTGACTTAACTGAGCAAGTAAATGTACTGTTTTAAACTTTGAATACCACCAGTTGAATGTCACATAAGACCACACATTGTTTACCTGATAGAAAATTGAAAAAAAGAGTGTGCCTGAGTTTGTAACATTCAACTCTCAATACTCAGTCAGACTCAGTTACGTTTCAATTTCCCTGGTTTGAGTAAACAGTCAAACACTGTGTTTGCTTTGATTTCATGAGTTGCATCTTGAATTACTCTCAGAGGGGTTGTTTTCTTATTAACTTAAGGACACATTAATCAGAACTGAAAGTCAATGTCAGTCTAGAGCAACAGTGAGAAACTTTAAGTTTGTGTTGATTTTGGGGCACCCTTTCGACAAAGCAGTTTCTGTAATTTTTTGCTTAGCCTGTTATTTACCTGTGTGTGTTTCTTTAAAGAGTGTGCTGTTAATCTGACACTTACCCTGCCGCAGACGGCACAGAATCATAACGTATGGAAAAATGATCTTTGTACTGATTGCTTCATCTGCGTTTGGAGGTCCCAAAGATTCATCAGTACTGATTTGATTCTGTTCCCAAATCAGCCTAAACACTCAATACTGGAGCTTTAAGAATAATTAAAAAGTTTTGAGTTTACTGTCTGGGCTACTTGAATAAATAACTCTCAAAGGAACTAACCTTGTTCAGCTGGCTGTTTTCACCTGTCTCTATGCAAAGTGAAGCCTGTTGACTTGTTAAAAATATGAGACTGCAAATGATATACACCATATTTTTGGATTAAAGACATCAAGAAAACTCTAAAAACCCAGTTGTGTTTTATTTCCAGACCTCTCCATGCCTAATGTCCAAGTGACCAGACTAACCCTGCTGAGTGAAAGTGCTCCTGAGCCAATCACCATGGACTTGACAGGTGAGTGACTTCTGTATTCTGTACTGCTGCCATACCTTTGATTCTTATATGGTGGCATCACTGATTGAGCCTGAACCAAGGCCTTTGTCTACAATAGGCTGCATTCATGTCCGTGCTGGAAAAGAGAGACAGCTAAATGTTTGCTCAGTGGGCAAAATTGGCATCTTCCCTCGGGAAAAGGCACAGTGACATACAGGGGAGTGAGGTGGCTGTTAGTTTAGTGTGTTTGTGTATGTGTGTATGTGGGGAGACTATATAGAATAGAATAGAATAGAATAGAATATTCCTTTATTGATCCCCCATGGGGGAAATTTTTTTGTCACAGCAGCATCACAGACAAGCCAAAAAGTGCAAAAATGCAGTTATAACAATAAGGGTCCTAATATGAAGAACTTAAATAAATGTAATAATTAAGAAAAAAATTTGAAAAGGGAGAAGAAAAAATAAAGCTTTCTACAATATACACAATTTAAATGCCATAAAAAAAAGTGGTGGTGTAAAATCAGTTTTGTTACTGTTCATTGTAAAGTCTTATTGCAGAGGGGAGGAATGATCTGCGGTAGCGCTCCGTCCTGCAGGGTGGGAGTCTCAGTCTGCTGCTGAAGGAGCTGCCTAAAGCCCCCACAGTCTGGTGCAGTGGGTGAGAGGGATTGTCCATGATGGATACAAGCTTTGTTAACATCCTCCTCTCAGCCACCTCCTCCAGGGAGTCCACAGAACAGTCCAGGACAGAACTGGCCCTCCTGACCAGTCTATTCAGTCTCTTCCTGTCCCTCTCGGTGCTCCCTGCCCCCCAGCAGACCACTGCATAGAAAAGTGCAGATGCTACCACAGAGTCATAGAAAGTCCTGAGCAGAGTCCTGCACACTCCAAAGGACCTCAGTCTCCTTAGCAGGTGGAGACGACTTTGGCCCTTCTTGTACAGAACGTCTGTGTTTGTTGACCAGTCCAGTTTGTTGTTGAGGTGGACACCCAGGAATCTGTAGGACTCCACCATCTCGATGTCCAGACCCTGAATGTTCACTGGAACTGTTTGAGGTGTCCCCCTCCTGCGGAAATCCACAACCATCTCCTTTGTCTTACTGGCGTTGAGCTGGAGGTGGTTTGTGCCACACCAGTTGACAAAGTCACTGATGACAGTCCTGTATTCCCGCTCATCCCCTGACGATACACATCCGACGATGGCTGTGTCATCAGAGAACTTCTGGAGGTGACGGCTCCCAGAGTTGTAGCTGAAGTCCGAGGTGCACAGGGTAAAGAGGAAGGGGGAGAGCACTGTCCCCTGTGGAGCCCCCGTGCTGCAGACCACCATGTCCGATACACAGTTCTGAAGCCTCACAAACTGTGGTCTGTCGGTGAGGTAGTCCACGGTCCATGCAGCTAGGTGACAGTCTACTCCCGCCCGCTCGAGCTTCCCCCTGAGCAGTGAAGGCTGGATGGTGTTGAACGCACTGGAGAAGTCAAAAAACATGACCCTCACAGTGCTGCCAGTGTTCTCCAGGTGAGCCATGGACCTCTGCAGCAGGTAGATGACTGCGTCATCCACCCCGATGTTTGGCTGGTACGCAAACTGCAGAGGATCCAGATGAGAGCTCACCAGGGGGCGGAGGTTCCTCAGCACGATCCTCTCCAGAGTCTTCATCAGGTGAGAAGTGAGGGCCACAGGTCTGAAGTTGGGCTCCCTGGGGTGCGCTGTCTTGGGGACAGGAATCATGCAGGAAGTCTTCCACAGTGTTGGGACCCTCTCCAGACTCGGGCTCAAGCTGAAGATGTGCATTGGCACCTCACAGAGCTGGTCTGCACAGTCTTTCAGGAGTCTGGGGCTGATGCCATCAGGACCCGTGGCTTTCCTTGGCTTCATCTTCCTCAGCTCACTTCTCACCTGGTCAGCTGTTATGGAGAGGCTGGGGGTGGTGCTGGAGGGGGTGGTGGAGGATGAGTGGAGGGGGGTTGATGGTGTCGGTGCCATGGGACTGAGGTGGTGTGAATAAGAAGAAGGAGCAGCAGACGGGTCGTTGGTTAGATGAGTCGGGGGAGGAGTGGGAGCAGAGTCAAATCTATTAAAGAACAGATTCAGCTCGTTGGCCCACTCCCTGTCTCCTGCTTCAGGTCCACTCTCATGGCCCCTGCTATGACCTGAGATGGATTTCAGGCCTCTCCAGACCTCCCTTGCGTTGTTCTGTTGCAAAAGGTTTTCCATCTTGGTCTTGTAGCTGGCCTTTCCATCTCTGATCTTCTTCTTCAACTCCTTCTGCACCCTCCTCAGCTCCTCCTTGTCCCCAGATTTAAAGACCCTCCTCTTCTCCTTCAGGAGGACTTTCAGTTCCGGGGTCACCCAGGGTTTGCTGTTGGAGAAACACCGTACTTTCCTGGTGGGTACGGTGTTCTCAACACAGAAGTTAATATAGTCCGTGATGCAGTCAGTCATGGTGTCAATGTCATCACCATGTGGGCCGCACAGTACATCCCAGTCTGTGGTCTCAAAACAGTCCTGCAGCGCCTCAGTGGCCTCCTCAGACCACCTCTTAACATACCTGATGGTGGGGGGTTGTTTCTTCACCATAGGTATGTAAATGGGCTGCAATCTCACCAGGTTGTGATCTGAGCGGCCCAGCGGGGGGAGGGGGGAGGAGGTGTATGCATCCTTGGTGTTTGCATACAGTAAGTCCAAAGTTTTATTGTCTCCCGTTGGGCAGTTTACATACTGGCTGAAGGTAGGGAGAGTGGAGGACAGCGATGCATGATTAAAGTCTCCAGAGATGATGATCAGAGACTGAGGGTGTGATGTCTGTAGCTTGGACACTTCATTATGGAGGAGTTCACAGGCTGCAGCAGCATCAGCCGAGGGGGGATGTAAACAGTTAACGCGATGACGTGCGAAAACTCCCTCGGCAGGTAATATGGCCGCAAACTCACAGCCAGCAGCTCAATGTCCTTAGAGCAGAGCTGCTCTTTAACACTGACGTGCCCAGCATTACACCATCTCTCATTCACATACACCGCTATCCCGCCTCCTTTCTTCTTACCACTCTCCCTCACGCTCCGGTCCGCTGTGACGAGGTGAAATCCGTCCAAAGTTACGAGTGGGTCCGGAGTGAGTTCGTTCAGCCATGACTCCGTGAACATCATCAGGCTACATTCCCTATACTCCCACTGCAGCCGAGTTAGCGCTGTGAGCTCTTCCATCTTGTTGGGGAGAGACCTCACTTTTCCCATGATGATTGACGGGACAGTTGGTTTGTAACGTCTCCGCTTTGCCCGATGCTGAACTCCAGCCCTGCATCCTCTTCTTCTCCTGCGGAGCTTAGCGGGGATGTCCGGTCTCTCCCACGAAGGTGGCCGGGCTTGGCGCAGCGCCAACAGCTGTTCACGGCTGTAAACAATGCGGCCGCTGAATGGGTCGCCGGTCGCGGACTTAAAAACTCCGAAAAATAAAAGAAAACAAAGTGCTAGAGTCATGAACTGCAGATCCATGGCTGGAATATGCAGACACAACACTGCTGAATGAAAAGAAAGATAAAAAGGTGCAAAAAACAACACTAAGAACGCAAAAACGTGAAGTCTGTGAGGAGCTGCTGTGACTTGCTGTCACTCTCAGGGCGCCCGAGTCACGAAAAATTTTATGTCTGTTTGTATCCGTGTCTGTCTGCACTGTCCATAACAAAAAGCTTGCTGCAAATAGATTATGTTGTTTGCTTTAGGGGCCATATTAAGGAGAGAATCTAGATTTGTGAATGAGAGAGAGAGAGAGGAGAGTGGGGGGGGGGGGGAGAGTGGGAGGGAGTGAGAGAGAGAGTACATTGACCTATCACTGTACGGTGTGATAATGTGTGTGTGTGTGTGTGTGTGTGTGTGTGTGTGTGTGTGTGTTTGCAGACTCAAGATCAAGACAAAGGGGATCCTTGCATTCATGTCATAAAATTCCCATTTTATAGACCTAATTCATAGTAAATTCCCTATCAGCAATTTTTTTTCAATGCATCAGAAACCATTGTTGCATACAGTCAATCATAGTGAAAGTTCAAATGTAAAGGATTTTACGTCTGCAATTTTCAAAATGACTCAAATCAAAGGGTCCACTTTTGGTCTGTTTACTGAGATAGTCCTGAGTTAGGAAAGTATGTGTGTGTGTGTGATTATCCCTGGTTTCGCTGCTAGCTCTGATTTCTCCTGTCTAGGGATTCCCCTGCATCCTGCACACACACAAAAAACACAGCTTCACATTCACAAGACTTGAGTCAAAATCACAGACTAGAAATAGCAAAGGTCTCCTGGTTGCTAGGCGATTCTAACTTTTAGTCTGATTCAAACACACAGAGATAGAAGTGTGTGTGTTATGGATGATCTGCTGAATAGCACATATAAGAGTAACATCCTGTTCTTTTACTCCGCACAGATCGAAGGCCCTCAGATATGATCTCAATCATAAATGATGGAGAAGGAAAGAGGTGGATGGAAAATCAATTGAAGAATCTTTATTCAGACTTGAAAGCTACAAATTTCTGGCAGTAAAGCTGTTACAAACCAAGGCGAGGAAGAGTGAATCCACAAATTACACAGATAATGTTCAGTTTACCTGTCTTCAGAAGGAAAATCTTTGGTAACAGTCTTATTGTTCTGCCCCACCCGAAAGTTCTGGAATTGAAAAATCAAGAAGGTCGCAAAAAATTCTGGAGTTGTAGATGTGATGGTGTGTACTCCCTCTTTTGTTAGGGTTAGATATGAAATGGAGTCATGGTTTGTGTGAGACTGGAAATTTTGAAAACGAACATTGAGGGCTCTATTTTCGTGTCCGCCGGTGAGGCGGCGGAGGGTGGCGGACCGGCATAAAGCCAGTGTGGTATTCTCGTGGACTGAGGCGCACCGAGGTCCACCAAGCTGGGCGTGGTGGCGAGGCAGGGGAAGGTGTCGACAGAATCAGCTGGCACAGTGACATTTTCGTGCTCGCCGGTGGCGTATAAACTGCGCTGGAAGCTCGACGATTCAAACCTGGTCAGCTTTCAGCGCAGGCAGAGCGCAGGTTTCCACAGTGTCAGGCACATTTCAGTGCAATAAATAATCAACAACAAATAATAATCTGAGTCAGCACATACATTTAGATCTATATCGATAAATTCTGATCTATATCTGATCTGATGAGCGCGTTTGGCACGTGTTTGGACACACAACCTGACCGATTCAACACAGCTGGAACCGCATTAAATTAAATTAAATATCTAGTAAATAGACACACATAATGAAGTTAACAAGATATGTAATTCGTCTCCCTCCCTTTCTTTCTTCCTCTTCCTCTTATTTCTCGTGCAACTCGACCTGGACATGTCTCCGTGTCCTCTCCCTGTCCTGCCGCAGCTGCGGCTGAACAGATTATTTGTTTCACTGATCAGATGAGTTATTTACTTTAAGCCTACATACGAGTATTATAATATTCAGTTTTGTGAGCCATATTTATTTTATATGCCAATATCTATGACAGAAAGAGCCAGGCCAGGGAGCGCGATGCGTCATTACGCACAGATGGTTCCGATTTTAATGCCATTATTGGAATTTATGTTGTGCTATGTGCGCACAACCCACTTTTGTCACGTGAGGTTTGATTATATGCAATTTTGTGTGAGTGTCTTTATTTGTGGAAAAGGGTGTTTGTCTTACCAGTGGGTCCAACATTACAGACACCAAATCCATCTGTGCTCATATGAGAGAGTGTGGAGGACGCCCAATGCAGCGCTTACAGTGACACTTGTTGAGGGGCTGCCTTCTGTCGCCATCGTGTGGCATTACTGTCTTCAGACATCTCTTGATCTCTTTGACTGCTTCACGAAAATTGTAATACGCCTCGCCGGTGGCGGATTTAAAGGCGAAGAGAGGAGCTGATGTTATTGGGCAATACAGGTCTCGGCTGTGTTAAACCCACTCCACGCCCCCTTTCCTCCCTCGCTATGACTTATACGCTGAGTTAGGGAGGGGGGATACTTACGCCAGGCTGCGCCACTCACCAAAATACCAAATTGTGCTTGGGAACGCCTTGTCGGCGCAGCGGACCTGACTGCAGCGGGCCTGCCACACATCTCCGGCGAGGCACGAAAATAGAGCCCTGAGTTATGGCCTTTTTCTCTTTGAAGAATGGCCAATGGGAAGTTATTTTTGATCAAGACAAACAGACAAGGCCCTCTTCAGCCTCATGAAAACCAACACAGTTCAATGGTGCAGACTTAAACAGAAATTTCTGTCAGTAACATTTTGTTTTGTGTTGAATTTGTCACCCTCTGTGGACAGAGCAGTACCTCAAAGCTCTTTGCTGACTTTGTAACCATGAGATGTGTCCTCTGAGGACTTTTTTTCATCATAATTTCTTCAAAGGTTCTGTGAGGAGTTTTTAACTGATTTTTGAAAAAGTCTGACTCTTAAGCCGCGTTAAGACCAAATGCGACCTTGGCGACATGAGCAACGACTCCCAATGCAAAGTCTATGGACAGCCGCGACCTGATGCGACTTGGCGACCGCCGGCTGCCGGCGACGCGACGTCAGTGACATCGGCGACCAAGTCGCGCATGGTCACCGACATCGCGTCGCCCGAGGTCGCAGGACGCCAAGTCGCTTCACTCCCAAAGTTCAAATATTTGAACTTTGGGAGAGACTCCGTGCCGCGACACCCAATCAGGGCTCTGCTGACGTCAACAAACCGGCGAAGCAAGGAGGAGGAGAAGAAGAATCACAATGGAGGAGCAGCTTATCACTGCCGTGAGGTATCACCCGGTCCTGTACGACATGGGGTGCGCGTTCTACCGGGACCGCACCTTCAAGGAGGAGGCATGGGCGAAGGTGGTCTATGATGTCGGGCTTTCTGTTAAGTTTGTTTATTTATTTCAGTGAGCAGACTATTTTCTGAAAACATAGCAAACTTCCCCTGCTTGCTAGGCTACATGTTTCAACGTGTGTGTGTGTCTTTGCAGTGGATGTGTGCCGCAAGCGCTGGAAGGGGCTGCGGGATGTATATATGAGGGAGAAAAGGAGGGAGAAGGAAGGTGGGAGAAGCGAGTCAGCGGCGACCAGCCGCGTCCTGCGACCTCCGTGACTGCAGCTTTGGACCCAGTGTGAACACATGCGACGGGAATACAACGACCAACGCGACTAGGTCGCTTCAGGTCGCGTTTGGTCTGAACACGGCTTTACAATAATGCCTCTTGATAACTATCTTCATACCAAGGCCTAGAGATGTATATCTACTTTTACACTTCTGTACTTTATGTACAATATGAAGGTTTCATCATATTTTACATCCTTTTTGGTCTGTTGAGGTTTCGTTCACGACCCAACTGCACATTCATGTCATGTTATATACAATAGTGATAATATAATGCACCAAAGGCACTGTTGTTATACTGTGGATTTTTTCTTATTCCTCTTCCAGACAAATTTTGATTCGCTACTAGTTCTACAGCTTGTTGAGTTGTAGGAAAAATTATAACATGCGGTTTGATTGGGATCGTTGTGCTATTACTTTTCTCTATTGTATTCCAATTTTTTGCAAAATAAGTTGCAAAAAACTATGGTACTACCATTGAAGTCAATGGGACAAGCAAAAAAAAAAGCAATTATTGGAGTTTTTCAAACGTCTACTGCCCAGGCTCCATTTCATTTATTTATTTTATTTTTTTATATGAATAAGTACTTGAAAAACAATGTTTGTTGTAGGTGTGCTTCTTGTATAAAATATCACACTACTACTAGTTTTAATTGTTTAAAATATCTGAAGAATCTCATCATTATATACACACCCTGGCAGTAGCCACTGAGGTCCTTTTTAAAATTTCCCAGAGGGAATTTTCTAGTTTTATGAAGCTGCAAATCATAATTCGCTCATTATTCTGCAATTGATCTGGAACAAAGGAAAAAAGTATAAAAAATGAGATCTGGACCCCGTTTATTTGCTACCACAACAGCTATAAGTTTTTAAGAACTATGTAGAACAGAGGGAGTTAGTGGTCATAGGAAGTGAAGTCTCCAATCTGGGGCAACACTACTAAATTCATCTAAAGGGGTCATCAGGATCAATAGGACATAGAAATTCCTCACAGTACCCTTAAAATATCAAACACACTGATGAGTGTCACTATTGTAGTGTGTAAGTCACTTCTCCTGACATCTACCTGATGGCAGTGGTAAAAATATCACGATGAAAATACTCGCTTCTGTAGCTTGTATAAATCATGGCTTTATTTCTCATCAGTCGTTCTTGAGAGTACCGTAAAGCAATCAGAAAATTGTAACGAGGCCATATTTCATTGTTAACACTGTATTATTTTCTGTACAAGAATGAAGAGTCATCTTGATTTGCTCTTTGCAAAAAAAAAAAAAAAAACTAAAACTTATGTTCTTTCTTAACTTGTTGTTTTTCACTTTTTACAATTCCTTGCCCTCTTGGTGCCCCAAACAGGTTCACAAAAACCTACATAAATTCCAGAAAATCTTCCTCAACATTAAAAGTCCCTTTTTGGAAAGACTTGATGACTGTGTGTTTAACAGTAAATGCAGTGTTGTTAAATGTTCGCTGAATAAACAGAATAAGCTCGGCCTCTTCATAATTGCCTTTGACTCTGTAAAAATAGTAGTCTGTTTAACATCCATGTGCATGCCTGCTGCAGCACTTAAAAAGAAAAGAAAAATAGCTGAATGCTGTGTGAGAGAAAAGCATCTTCTATCATTACAGTATTAGATAAGCAGCAGTGTAATAACCCGTTACTCTGGTGTATCATGTTGCAGTGTGATAGCCAGGCTGGCACCAGGCTGGAAGTGAAATGGACTTTTCATCTGAGGATGAATGCATTAGAGAGCTTATTATACACCATAGGCTGTGAGTGTTGGGTATTTACTACTCTGCATGTCTATGTGTAAGAGAGATAGAAAAACAGAGGGAGAAGAAGATGGCTTGGCAAAGATCACTGTCGGAAAGGTGATGGTGGGACGCTTGGCTGCATCAGAGGCCTTAAAGTTGTGTGAGGTGATACGACAACTTGGTTCTGCCTTCCGCCAGTATACGGATTTGAAGCCAAAAAGCTTTCGGTATTTCCGTAATTTTTCTTCATTTCCTGAAACCAACATTGTGCAGTAGCGTTGTACGCATTTTGGGGTGTTGCTGTGATGTCACTCTGTTCAAACAGTGTATCTTCTGGGTGAGCTATGCAGATGGAATCCATTCTACAGTGGGTACAGAAAGTATTCAGACCATAGACTGTATATAGAATGGACAGAGTCTGCCTCCTCGCTGGGTGAAGCCACTCCGAGAACAGCACCTTCTGTTGATGGGCTGCAGTATAGGTCATAAATCCCACCTCCGCCAGCAAAGCTTATGGAGCTGTGGACAAACCTTAAGAATTTTATCACACAGAACATAAAGCACTCCTTGATTGGAGTCCAGCTGTGTTTAATTGCACAGATCTGGCCAAGGTTACAAAAGAATTTCTGTGGCACTCAAGAGTCCTAAGAGCACAGTGGCCTCCATGATCCTAAAATGGAAGAAGTTTGGAACGACCAGAACTCTTCCTAGACCTGGCCGTCCAGCCAAACTGAGCAACTGAGAGAGGTAAAGGAGAACCTAAAGATCACTGTGGCTGAGCTCCAGAGATGCAGTAGGGAGATCGGAGAAAGTACCACAAAGTCAACTATTACTGCAGCCCTCCACCAGTCGGGGCTTTATGGCAGTGTGGCCCAAAGGAAGCCTCTCCTCAGTGCAAGACATATGAAAGCCCGCAGAGAGTTTGCCAAAAAACACAAGAGGGACTCACAGACTATGAGAAATAAGATTCTCTGGTCTGATGAGACCAAGATTGAACTTTTTGGCATTAATTCTAAGCAGTATGTGTGGAGAAAACCAGGCAGTGCTCATCACCTGCCCAATACAATCCCAACAGTGAAACATGGCGGTGGCAGCATCATGCTATGGGGGTGTTTTTCAGCTGCAGGGACAGGACACTTGGTTGCAACAAAAGGAAAGATGAATGCGGCCAAGTACAGAGATATCCTGGAAGAAAACCTCTTCCAAAGTGCTCAGGACCTCAGACTGGGTCGAAGGTTCACCTTCCAACAAGACAACGACCCCAAGCACACAGCTAGTGGCTTCGGAACAACTCTGTGACCGTTCTTGACTGGCCCAGCCAGAGCCCTGACCTAAACCCAATTGAGCATTTCTGGAAAGACCTAAAAATGGCTGTCCACCAACGTTCACCATCCAACCTGACAGAACTGGAGAGAATCTGCAAGGAAGAATGGCAGAGGATCCCCAAATCCAGGTGTGAAAAACTTGTTGCATCATTCCCAAGAAGACTCATGGCTGTACTAGCTCAAAAGGGTGCTTCTACTCAGTACTGAGCAAAGGGTCTGAATAATTATGACCATGTGATATTTCAGTTTTTCTTTTTTAATAAATTTGCAAAAATTTCTACATTTCTTTTTTTTCTGTCAAGATGGGGTGCTGAGTGTACATTAATGAGAAATAAAATGAACTTTTTTGATTTTAGCAAATGGCTGCAATGAAACGAAGAGTGAAAAGTTTAAAGGGGTCTGAATACTTTCCATACCCACTGTAGGTACAAAAATAAGACATCCACTGTCTTTTGGCTTTAAATATTAAGCCCCAGCTGTAGATTTCACTTACATATGTGAAATTTGGAAGGCAGATAAACCACAACAAAATCCACAAAAATTCTATTTTTTTAATGATGTCAACTAAATAGAAAGCATGCAACTTTGAGGTTATTCTAGCGTTTGGTAGAGTTTTGTGAGCTTGTTGAGGGGACCATACTTGATGATAGGACATGCTAGAAAAGTATGTTTAAGTTGAAGCACGCCTTCACTTAAAGACAGGGCAGTGAAAACAGAAGGAGACTGGGGCCATACACTTCAAGACTAATACCTCTGTTCATGGAGGGAACATTTTACCCTGTAACGATTTGAATTTATAATAAATGTCTGAAGATTAATAATCTCAAATTATGACATTTATGCACTCGTTGAAAGGGGCATCACCCACACTTAATGGTGGGAAAATAAAGAAAACAAAAGTTTAATTCAGAAATCAAACATCAAGTCAGTTTTAATTAATCAATCTCATGTCTTAAGCTGAAATTCTCATTTCAGGGACTCCACTTCTGAAGAACACTAACAGACCAGAACTTAGAAAAATGATTATCTGTTTATTACAGGATAAATGATGGTACAACATACATGCAATAAATGATGATAAGATAATGAGGATAAATGATAATAGGTGAATAAATAAAGATTCTGAGTCAGGCTAGGAGCACTAAAGTTAATGATACTGAGTGAATATGCTCTAACACATTAACCTACACTAACTTTGGTGTCAAGGTAAATTTGGATGTGGATTTGGAGGAATCTAAGATTACCTGAATAAGTGGATATCTGAGTTACGACTGCATGAGACAGCATCAGCCCTGTTTGGAGCTCTGGAGGTTTGCATACTTAAGTGAGACTGGTCCTTGGAGAAGATGGAGCAGGTACCGAAGGTCTGGGGCTACCGGCAGTTCGAGCGGTTCAGCTAAGAAGACGACTGAAGTCAGCCGAAGGGTGGGCCAGCAGTTGTAGCACTCGGGCCCGAACCAAAGCCGGCACCTGTGGATCCTGTGGATGCTTGTTTGGACGCTTCTTTGGTCTCACTCAAAAACTCTGGCACAGAGGATGACCTGGGCCTGCTGGGTTGCGTTCAGAGGTGACTTTGAAATCACGCAGATAACTCAGAGAAAAAAAAGGCTTGATGACCAGTGGAAACTTTCAAAAATGGCTTGGCGAAATTAAAGAAAAATCAATCAAAGGCTTAATCTTGAATTGCTATGCGCACATGTTGGGTCTAAAACCTGCAACATTTACCTGATAACATATAAAGAAGAGAAAGACAATGGTATATACTCGAGAAGAATGGACAGAGATAGCATCAGGTACCATCTCGAAACCACTCTGAAAGGTATTTCCGCCCAGTCTCTTTATCTAGGGTTGTCCCTGGTTACACAATGTTTCTAAAGGGTGGGGGAAAAATATGTGCAGCAACGTAAGCACTCTCATAAAGCATAATAATGAACAACTGTGAATATGTGAATGTCAAGGCGACATTGTTGCATCAAATGAGCTCCTTCTGATAGGAGCGGATCCTCCTCAATATTTCCCACGATTCACAGTGGAGGATACATCACACACACACACACACACCTGCTGATAGGAGAAACGAGTTCACAGAGAAGTTAAGAAACATTCATGTGCTGTGTAATTAAGCTATTGGAGAGAGAAGTTAGAAAACACTCTTATATGTGTAACAAGAGGTCAAAACAGTTTATACTTGTAGTAAACTCTTACATAAGAATATGAGGAATAATGATAACTTCTATATACATTTATGCACATTATTCTAACATTTCCCTCCTGTTTATCATTACTTTACTCAAATTCTCATAATCCCTCTAGTTCAGCCACTTCTCTCGATTTTCAGCTCCGAGTTCATGTTTATGACTACAAAGAATTTACACACGGAGGTACAAGATGTTGCTTTAGTCAGAATCATACTCATCATCCGGATTGGGGCAGAGGTCAGGCCATTGAGTGTCATCAAGTCTGTCCTCCTCGTCCTGCTGATGGAGCAGCGGGTACAATTCCTGCATCTGCTGCTCCACAGGGGACAACGCTGTGGTGATAAGGCGGTTAAGAAGAGAACGAATACAGGGAATGCAGCAACATCCACACAAGGTCAAAATAGCTGCAAAAACAGCAACAGAGATTAAGACTGAAGCTACAAGATTTTTGTGTTTTCCAAAGACATTCATCCAATCATCCCAAAAGGAGTTATCTATTCCTGAGTGGTCTTTCATCTTGGCGTTAAGCGTTTTAAGGCCCTCTATGGCTCGAGTGAGGCTGCCATCGGCAGCAGTGTTATTAGGAATGAACGTGCAACACGTTTCTCCAAACATGGCACATACACCTCCTGTTTCTGCGAGCAGCATGTCAAGGGCTATACGGTTTTGGAAAGCCATCAGGGATGTTGCAGACAACTGCGAGTGACCGGCCTGAAAACCAGCCTCAGTCCAATTACCTAGCTTTTGAACGTTGAAATGGATGTAGTTGATTCTGATTCGATCTATATTTTTGTTCATTGTACACCAAGGACAGACGAGAGACTCAAAGCCTGCAGCAACTTGATTTACTAGTTTATACTCATCTGGTACCTCACGAGGAACTATCTATATTAGTCGGGTCTGACTCTGTTTGCTAGTTTCTTTTACTCTGGAGTGGCTCAACAAAGGAATAAGACTAACTGCAGAGGTTAAATTTGCCACACTGGTCTGGAAAGTTACAACAGTTAGGATTAAGGTCACTAAGGCCCTATTATCCGTCTGCTGTCATTCAGGTACAGCTACAGAAAACACGTACAGCTTTGTTATGGTTAGGGAATTCCTAGTACAGACATAGAAGTTAGACTGATTCTTCATTTTTGCTAGATATTTTGCATATCTGTACCACATGTTCACTTCAAATGAGTTTTTTTTTTATTTATTGAGTGGGATTGCGAAGCATTCCCACTATATTTTATTCATATCTTTTTTAAGTGGAAATGCTGACACAGCATTTCCACTTATTGTTATTCTACTATTTCTTTATTATTATTAAGTGGAAATGCTGACACAGCATTTCCACTTATTGTTATTCTACTATTTCTTTATTAAGTGGAAATGCTGACACAGCATTTCCACTTATTGTTATTCTACTATTTCTTTATTATTATTTTTTTTATTATTATTCTTCCGTACCTTTTTTGGCCCTTTTCAACTCCTTACCACTTTGTGCTATTTTAATCATTCAAACTTTATACTAATGCACTCTTTCAGGACATTATTGCTATTACTTTTCACCTTTCTACCATTTATACTTTTTGCAATATTTCACTTTTTCTGCAAAATTTGTTCCATTACAAATGAATGGAGATACAGCTATAACACCTTCTCACCCTTATAACTTCTGCATACTTTCACCTACAGACCTCATTTTTGCTTTAAAATGTTCAGCAACGTGTCTGCTACAAATGTTGTATTCACTCCTTTTTGCTATTTCCTACCGTTTTTGCACAATTTCGCTTGGAGCAACATGAAGTTTTCTGCCTTTTTCAGCCTGACTCACGCTACAGCGTGTGACATCATCACTAGATGCGGGCGGAGCCTTTTGGATTCACTAGACCAAGCATGATTATTTTGCTGCCACGGCCGCAATTTTCACTCCACAGCGATAAAAAAACACATCAAAATGGAGGTACACTCGTCCTGCTTCTCACAAAATAGGTCTGAAGTCATCAAATTGTACAGTTTGCCCAAGAGGTGACTACATTCGTTCAGAGCCACAGATTCTGCACTTGTCATGGGCTGTGTGCTTCGATCACACACGCACGGGCTCGGCCGCTCGTGCGCGCGGGCACATGCGCGCGCGCACACACACACACACACACACACACACACACACACACACACTCTTTCCATGTGTGCATTACTGTCTCTCTGTCAGTAGAAAATACACCCCCAATATTAACTTTGTTTTTACAGTTATTGTCTTTAACTCTTTTAACATACTAACTTCTTCTTTTTCTTCTACTTTTGCTTTTCTTTTCTATACGTTCTACATTTATACAATTAATTTAACTTCAGCTGTTTCATACTTTCTACATTCAGATGTAGGGCAGTAACTGAAGCAGGGCAATAGATGGTGCTGTTCTGCATTCTCAAGTTACTATGGTTGGATGCTGCAGACTGCAAAAATCTGTTTTACTATTTGTACATTTAATAGGAACATTGTTACACATTGTTTAAAGGCATTTATTTTTCAAATTCTATTATCCTTATTATCAGTTCTGTTTATTCACATCAATCATATACATTTTCACTTAGGCTATCAGACAATTTGTACATTAATCCAACTCATTTACCTTAAGCTATACTACAATTCTTCCATTCATACAATTTCTTCTTCTTCCACTCCACCTTTTCAACAGTTTTTCCATTCATACCTTCCTCCATTTTTTTATGGCAGTTTTGCATTGCTTTTTCAGCTTTCAGCATTCAGCATTTCCACGCATTTTCTGCAAGGAAATGCAATTTTTCTAGTTAATATTATTCTTCCACCATTTTTTTTTATAGTCTGTCACTTTCATTAGCCATTCTATCTCCACATCTAGTCTGTTGTTGTCACTCTTTCCTTCCTTAAGTTCATCTGAAGTTGTAAATAATGTTTTCAGTAGATAAATTAACAGTATCAGGTTTAGCAGAAGTAAGATACTTAACTTCCCCATTTTCCTAAGCTCCTAAGGAATTCAAGACCATCTAATCTTCACTGACATTGAGACGAACGCCCACTATAAGGACGCCCCCCTTTGAAGTCAGACTTTCCTAACTAAAACCCATATAGGTTTTTTTTGCAATGGGAAAGATGTATCCAACTACTTCTTTGTGCTATTTTTACTGCTGTGGGTGTCGTTAGCAGTACCTTTTTTTTTTTATGCTCCTTCCACTTACTTAAACATATTCAAAACCATTCAAACTTCAGGAGATTCCAGCTTATATTCAAAATTTTCCTAACATTCATACTTTCTGGACCTTGTTGAATACAAAACTGCACTGATTATGTTTAGAGCAAGACACAGGCTTTTGCCAGCTAATATACAAAAGATGTTCAGTGATAAAGAGGGGGGGTTACAATTTGAGACGAGAGCTTAATTTCAAGGTACATTTTGCTGGTTCAACATTGAAAACGATGTGCATTTCAGTTTGTGGAGTGAGTTTGTGGAATGGACTGAGCATGGAGGTTCAGCGAAGTCCAAACCTGAATAATTACAAGAAGGCATATGAAAATATTATTTTCAAGAGGTATTCAGATGAGGAGGGTCTGTGTTGACCTATTGAGTCAACACAGCCCTGTTTTCAGTTTTCAATGGGTTGGTCTGAATAATTTTATCCCTGATACTACTGCAGTCATTTAAACTATTGTATATGCAGTAAAGAAATTTGTGTTGGCAAAAGGGGGGTAGGAGCTCGATAAGTTTTAAACTTCATCCTACTCCTTTTCGGACATTGTTGTTGGTTTTCTATTCTTCCTGATTTGTATTTTATTGTCTTATTTTATTAAATAATGTTCGAAATAAAATAAAAAGAAAAAAAAGAAAGAAAAGCACACAAAGCGAAAAAAAGAAAGAAAGAAAAGTAAGAAAAGAAAGATATTCCAGGTTTTCCGACCAATTTTTCTCATTAGAAATGCATTATGGGATTTTCAAATTGGCCCTTTTCTCACATTTTCTTTACACAACTTTAAAAGCCTTCAACTCCTCTATACTTCCAGATTATGATAATTTTAATTTTCCAGTTTTAAATCATTTCATTCTTCACTCAGTATTCAATTTTTTCAAACTAATTCCAACTCATTTAAACTGATTTAAACCTTTCTGAATCTTCAAATCTCATTTCTTTCACATAATTTTTTAACTTAAACCATTTACAATAGCAGCTTAGCGATGGCAATTTTAGCTGGAGCAATCCATCTCGCAATTTCTTCAGAAATTGCATTTTCTAGTTATTATTTATTTATTTCATTTACAAAATGAGTTCCATTGTCACTGTAGATTTGTTTTGGAATGCCAAATCAAGGAATTATTTCTCTACACAGGATTTTTGCTACTGTTAATGCATCTGGGTGGGTGACAGGAAATAATTCTATCCATTTAGTGAAAGGATCTATTAACACAACAGTATTTCTTTCTCTCACACTGATTTAATTCTATGAAGTCCATGTGTATGGCTTCAAATGATGCATTGGTTGGTGGAAATTTGCCTCTTTTTGGTTTTATACTGTCTTGAGCATTATGTCTAGCACAAACTGAACAAATCAAACAAAATATTTTTTTATTTTTTTTTGAATAATTTACGAATCAATAGGGGGTAAAGTGTTGATTAACTAATACACTCATCCCTCCTGTCGAGACATGGCAAGGCCCATGACTCGCTATTACTACCTCTAAAGCTCTGTTTGCTGATCTGACAAAAATCTTTTGTTTGGAAAACCTAATCTGTGGTAGTTTATGTCTAAGAACTGTTGTCTTTGCACCAGAGTCACACAAAAAGGTTACAGGTAAATCATGAATCATTAACTATATCTGTGGTTTTGTGTCTGCATGATGTATTCCTTCTCCATCTAACTGATGCAGTTCCGCTGTCGAAGGGACAGATACAGGAAATCTTTCCTGCCACAAGCTATTGCACTGTTCAATAACTCACATATGTCAGACAGGGACTCACACCTGTCTGCTGTATAGTCCATTTTTAAAAACTCCTATCACATCATATTACCGAGCACCTTAAATTGTCTGTATATCTATCATCCCATCTGTAATATTTCGCATTTCATATTTATCACTCATTTCATATTTATCACTCATTTCATATTTATTACTAATTTCAATAGCCCACGTTCTTCATATCTCACTTTTATCTCTTAGGATGTTTAGCATATCTAGTCTGTATTTCTTGTATATACTTAGTATTTTTAGTATTTTCTTTTTGCTGCTGGAATAAGATAATTTCCCAGTTTGGGATCAAGAAAGTATATCTATCTATCTATCTATAAAAAAAAATATATATATATATATATTTATTTATCTCCTCAAAATTTAGCCCTTCTTCCTCCTCTGTCTCTTCTCTGTTCACACTTTCTCTTCATTTCTGTCGAATAACACTTGCTGTCTCTCCCTCTTCTAGTCATGCTTGATACTTTTTTCTACAGCTCTTCACCTAGTGACAAAAGCTCTGCAATTCTCTGATGTTGTGGTTCATGACCTTGGTCAGGGTACTGTTCTTCACCTCTCTGCTCTTGTGATTCATAAACTTTTGTCAAAACTTCTACTTCCTCTATCGTTTTCTCTATTGAAATTCCTGCCTCTTAACCTGCTTCTTCCTTGTTCTCTCTGTCATAGTCATCAAATGGTTTATCATCTCTCCTATTATCCCATAGTCGTCCTATTTATCTCATATAGTATGAAATTCATTGTCACATTTGGAGTTGATCTTACGTTAAATGGTATTATAGGGAGGGCTTTTAATTACAAGTTAGCTTTAGTGTTCGCTGCACTTTACTATGGTTACTTCTTTAAGTTCCAATAAGGTATAATACCAATCAGTTGGTTCAAATGTTTAACAGGGATGCCAGCTGAGGTCAGAAAACCTCTTCTTCTCCAACGACACGTCTACATGTACAACTTATACTTCATAGGCTGTAACAGTTAAGTCACAGTTTTGTCTTTTGATAGCTACATGCTTCTGCATAGGGAGGGATTCTTTGGCTGCTGTGTCTCTGGAGGAGTCAAGGTCGTAACTGGCATTTGATGAATCATTTTATCATTTGTGCAGAGAACAGAGACTGTACAGAGAATTTAACTTGCTAAAAATTTGCAGTCTGCATTAAACCTTTCTGCCTTTTTAACTGCCTTTTCTACCTTTCATTCCTGCAGTATTATCAGTATTATTATTATTATAATTATTAAAGTTGTCTTTACTTATAGCTTTTTTGTTTATGGAGACATGTAGTTTATTTAATTGGCTTGTTCTTAGGCTGCCGTCAAACCCAGATTTGATTACCCATAATTCGAGAAATTGTAACTTTTCGGGCTTTTTCTCAAAGATTCTCCAATCTTGAAATCTTAATTCTTCTAATTTAGCCTTACTGGCTTCCGTCCCCATTTTTATGTGTTTTGGTCCAGCTTCGGTGACACCTAGGGTGTCCTATTAAGCTGGGTTCTTTCAATGGGGTAGTGATAAAAATTCCTTATGTGGTAATTCTCGCTTCTACTCTTACGAGTGGAGAATTCTTGCCTTTGCTTCCACAATAAGGTCACTACTTACAATCCCACTGTTTTGGTATGAATAGGATATATCTAGTGATACATTCCAATCACTCTCACACTTTCACAATCACACTTTTAACACGTGTTTTGCTCTGCAGAATGTAAACTTTCCCAATCAGGCCTTTGTCCACGGCTTTACCGGACCCGCGCGTCTTTTTTCAATGGCTTTGTAGGACCCGCTCGTCCTTTAACAACGGATTTCTTAGGACCCGCTCATCCTTTAACCCCTTGATGCGCAACATGGGTCAAAAAAGACCCGGCTGAGTTTAAATTTCATATATCTTTTCAATAAATGAATTCCATCAGTCGGTACTCAAGGAATTCCTCAATTAACTTGTTTTTGACGACCCTATATCCTTATGTTCATTTTTCTTTTTTTTTACTTTTAGAATAAAAACCGTTTTTGTATCACTACCCCTCTAATGCACAACACAGGCCTAAAATGACCCATGCTGCGCATCAGAGGGGGTGTGCATATGTTGCGCATCAAAGGGCCAACAACGGATTTGTAGGACCCACTCGTCCTTTTTTCAACGGATTTGTAGGACCCGCTCGTCCTTTTTTGGTCTTTTATACATTCTCTACACAGAGCAAATCTCAATCATTCCACGTTCCTTTTTATAAAAGACCAACTCACCACTTGTCTTTCCCCTTGGCTTCGGATTTCCGTCAACCGTCGGATCCTAGCAGGCGGGTCGAGTCCAGTCCCTCAAAGAGGTCTTTAAGACTCATCCTAGAGAGTCTGCCGTGGCCACGGTCTTATCTGTCGTCCACCTCACCTGCTGGAATCGTCAGGTCTATTGGAATCCGGCTCGAAGGACCAAAGAAATGTTGGGTCTAAAACCTGCAACATTTGACTGAAAACATATAAAGAAGAGAAAGACAATGGTATATACTCGAGGAGAATGGACAGAGATAGCTTCAGTTGCAATCCCAAAACCATTCTGAAAGGTATTTCCGCCCAGTCTCTTTATCTAGGGTTGTCCCTGGTTACACAATGTTTCTAAAGGGTGGGGGAAAAATATGTGCAGCAACGTAAGCACTCTCATAAAGCATAATAATGAACAACTGTGAATGTGTGAAGGTCAAGGCGAAATTGTTGCATCAAATGAGCTCCTTCTGATAGGAGCGGATCCTCCTCAATATTTCCCACGATTCACAGTGGAGGATACATCACACACACACACCTGCTGATAGGAGAAACGAGTTCACAGAGAAGTTAAGAAACATTCATGTGCTGTGTAATTAAGCTATTGGATATGTGTAACAAGAGGTCAAAACAGTTTATACTTGTAGTTAACTCTTACATAAGAATATGAGGAATAATGATAACTTCTGTATACATTTATGCACATTATTCTAACAGCACAAAAAGTTGAAGTTTCAAAACTTGAACTAAGACGACGTTAAAGAAAAATCAACGTGAATCAACACGTGGAGTAAAACTTAGAAGACTAAGAAAAAGAGCTAAGAGAAAACAAAGAAAAGGAACACAGAAGGGTGTGGACAGTGAGTGAAGAAGCGGGTGTAAGAGAATAAGGGAACAAGAGCTGTGAACAACCCCACTTGACTGGTTTTATCTTCTCACATTGGGAGTGTCTCTGGTGTGTATGTGTGAGGAGAGAGAGGAGGGGTCGTGGGGTCTCCATCTGCAGAGGGGACCTCAGATCTCTGATTATTTGATCTAACTTATACTTTTGGCTGGTAAAAGAGTCAGATCTGATACCCACTCACTATGATTAATATCATTGAATGTTTGGTTTCATGGTAAATAATTTGATACTAAACACATATAAAGAAATGTAGTATCACATCAAACATTCTCATTATGTTTTAAGTATCACACTGAACATGCTAATTTACTCTGAAATGAAACAGATAGTAACACATAGAGACTGTGAACAACAAAAGAGTAAATACATGTAAATGAACTTCATCATGATTAACAATGGATTCTAAATACTCACATTCAGATTATTCAATGACATTATAACCACCTAATGGTTAGAAATAGTAATTAAACAACTAAAATATAAACCAAACATTTTTAAACCATTTCTGTTACTCAGAGTAAAGTTATGATTCACGGTCAATAAATTTAACTCTTAAAAGTTCATGAAACAGTCTGAAAAGCTGTTGGTCTAAAGAAACTAAAGAATAAACGATTTATTCTGTCAGAGTGATCACTCGGCTTCTGGAGCACATAGAAAAACGGGAAACATCTGATTTTAAAACAAATTTCATGGTTAGACAGATTAGTACATTGCTGAATGCATAAGATGTCATGATCAGTCATTTGTATTCTTTCACCAAACGAATGCAGTTTTTATCAGTACATGGTTGAGCAGGGTTTCACGACCGAGGTCTGGAGGTCAGTGTCCTGTTTCTCAGACCTTATCTTGGGGTCCGCATGTTCACACACTTTAAGACGATAAATCTCAAATGGGAGATCTGGGTTAAGGCGTTAATGTTTATTTAGATGGTAAGCGATGGAGTCAGTTTGAAAGGTAATAAAAACTCTGTCTCTGTTCTCCGAATTGACCAATCGTGAAGAGTCAGAGGTTTGGTCAACCGCCGATCGTGTCAGTTAGGTAACCTGAAAGTGCAAACAAGTCTGGAAAGATTTATATCCTGTGTCCTGGTACCAGATAAGGAAACTTTCCTGCGAGGAATGTGTGAGTTTCACATACAGGGTTGTCTTGATTGCTACACCCCCATGCTCAAGCAGAACCCTAATTGTTGTCCTTTACAGTAGAATAATCTGGAGCATGTAGCAATCACAGTATACAGAGTGGACGCTGGCGCGTTTGGCTGCCGCTGCTCACCGGTAACCTTTTAACTTTTTAACACTTTTCTGTGCTCCGGAGACCAGCTCCCAGTCAAAGCTGGTCTCCCCGGGACTCTTACCCTGTAATTCACCAACTTTTTACCAACTTTTCGGTGAATTTGAGCTCCCATCGCCCTGTGTGCCTGGTCGGGTAGCCTACCTACTTGACTCACCACCCGGCTCCCCGTCTCATCCTCTCCACCTCGCTTCACCATGTGGATCAGTCGGGTCTATCTACCGGCTACTCTGGTCATCCTGGCGTGGACTGCCCTGCTGCTCCTCCATGTACCTGTGGAAGGACTCCTCCAGTATTCGGCGGCGGAGTTTCTCAGACTCCGCTCCCAGAAGCCTGGACCTCCACCGGCAGGTCTACACCTCCACCCGGACATCGCCCTCCAGCCACGTCCGAGGTATATCCACCGTGGGTCCCGGCGGGCTGTCCACTCTGGTGGCTCCAAGGGGATTACCTCTCTCTGGTCCTCCACTCATCGCCCACACAAAAACACCGGCCGGGCTGTGGACCACAGGGTGTTAGCCGACCTGGCTAGGTCGGTTAGCACTCCCCACAACAACAACACCACAGACGTCAGCTTCGGTCTGCTAAATAGCAGATCCCTCTCAGGTAAAGGACATCTCGTCCAAGATATCCTTGTCGACCGCAAGTTTGACTTTTTATGCTTAAACGAGACGTGGCAAGTCCCCGGTGATTTTTCCCAGCCGAACGACTCCTCTCCGGCGGGGTTTGTTTACATCTCCAAACCTCATGAGTCGGGTCGTGGGGGATGTCTCGCGATACTGTATCGCGAGAAGTGGAAGGTCCTGCCTGTTTCTGTGCCTCCTCTCTCCTCACTGGAATGTCTAGCGTGTCAGCTACCCGGACCTGTCCCCACAATCATCGCCACTATATACCGTCCTCCCAAACCCCACAGTAACTTTTTTAATGAATTCTCTGTCCTTCTTACTCACCTCGCCACTCTCTCACCCAATATAATTCTGCTTGGAGATTTCAATATCCACATGGACAATCCTACCCTACCCCTTACCACAGACTTCATTACTCGACAGCTTTGGTTTTCAGCAGTTTGCAGATTTCCCCACACATATCAAAGGCCACACAATAGATTTAATTTGCTGCTCAGGTCTCACCCCCTCCAACTGTACCGCCGACACATTACACATTACGGACCACTCCCTCCTCTCACTTAACGTCAATCTTCAGCTCTCCATCTCCAAAGACCCCCGCACCATCTCATACCGCAACGTTAAGGACATTAACTTGGACTCCCTTTCCTCCTACATCACCACCCTCACCCTGAACCCCACCTCCACCCCTGATGATCTTGTCACACAATATAACAATGGACTGTCCAACATACTTAACTCAATTGCTCCTGTCAAATCCCGCTCTGTCTCCCCCACTAGATCCGCACCTTGGTTTACCCCCCATCTCCGTTCCTTAAAATCCAAAAATCAACAGCTAGAAAGACTCTTCAGGAAAACCGGTCTATCCATCCACAAAGACATCCTAACAACTCAGTTGTCTCTCTATAAGGACTCAATTTCTCATGCCAAATCTCAATACTACTCTGGACTCATCTGCTCAAATGCTGGTAACCCCAAGTCTCTCTTCTCTATCTACAACCGTATCATTCAACCCCCGGACTGCTTTCCTCCCCACATGTATTCCTCAGACACCTGCGACTCTCTCCTCAGTTTTTTCAATAACAAAATCAGTAAGATCCATCAGAACCTGGGCTCCACATCCTCACCTCTTCCCTCATCTGAACCTCTCCCTCCCTTCCAACCTTTTTCCACCTTTATACTCCCTAACCCCTCAGAAATTGCTGACCTCATATACAAATCTAAACCTTCTTCCTGCCTGCTGGACCCCCTCCCCACTCCTCTGGTCAAATCCTGTCTGCCCTCTCTGCTCCCCCTCATCTCAGCCATCATTCACTCCTCTCTGTCTACTGGAACTGTTCCGTCCCCCTTCAAATCTGCAGCCATCAGTCCCACCCTGAAAAAACCTGGTTCAGACCCCAACGACTTCAATAACCTCCGCCCCATTTCCCACCTCCCCTTTATTTCCAAAATTCTACAAAAAACGGTTGCCTCTCAACTCCACACCCATCTCACTCACAACAGTCTCTACGAACAGTTCCAGTCCGGTTTCCGCCCCCTCCATAGCACTGAAACAGCCCTCATCAAAATCACCAACGACCTCCTCATGGCAGCTGACTCCATCCTCATCCTCATTCTCCTTGATCTGAGTGCGGCCTTTGACACCATCTCCCATCCCATCCTCCTCCATAGACTCTCCTCCATAGGCATTACTCACACCCCCCTCCACTGGTTTCACTCATACCTCACTGGCCGCACTCAGTTCATCCAACTCAAATCATTCACCTCACAGCCCTCCCCCGTCACTTCTGGTGTCCCCCAGGGTTCTGTCCTAGGCCCCCTCCTCTTCATTATCTATCTCCTTCCCCTTGGCAGCATCCTCCGTAAATTTGGCATACATTTTCATTGCTTCGCAGATGACACCCAGCTCTACCTCTCCAGCAAACCCGACGCCTCTCTTCCACCCTCCTCCCTCACCCACTGCCTCTCAGAAATTAAATCCTGGTTCACCTCAAACTTCCTCAAACTCAACTCCAATAAAACAGAACTCCTCCTGGTCGTTACCAAGTCCACTCTTTCCAAAACTGACAGTTTCTCCCTCTCCATAGATAACTCCACAGTGTCCCCTTCCCCTCAGGTTAAGAGTCTGGGTGTCATCCTCGACAGCTCTCTATCTTTCCACTCTCACATCAGTAACATCACCCGGTCTGCATATTTCCACCTGAGAAACATCAACCGTCTCCGTCCATCACTCACTCCTCACACCACAGCTATCCTGGTCCACAGCCTTGTTACCTCACGCATAGACTACTGCAACTCACTCCTCCTCGGTGCCCCTCACAAATCCCTCCATAAACTTCAACTTGTCCAAAACTCTGCAGCCCGCATCATCACCAGAATCCCCTCTTTTCACCACATCACCCCTGTCCTTCAGCAGCTTCACTGGCTCCCCGTCAGGTCCAGAATCAACTACAAAATCCTCCTGTACACTTTCAAGGCCATCCAAAACCTTGCCCCCCCCTACCTCTCCGATCTCCTCCACATCTCCACCCCCTCACGCTCCCTCAGATCCTCCTCCTCCCTCCACCTCTCTGTCCCCTCTGCCCGGCTCAGCACCATGGGGAGCAGGGCTTTCAGTCGCTCTGCTCCCAAACTCTGGAACTCTCTCCCCCCGGACCTCAGAAACATGGACTCACTACCCCACTTTAAATCCAAACTCAAAACACACCTATTCCAAATCGCATATTCACTTTAACTGTCCACTTTCACACTTGTATGTTGTTTTTATTTATTTTAATTATGTTTCTACCTGTGTTTTTATGCCCTGTACAGTGTCCTTGGGTGTTCAGAAAGGCGCTTTTAAATAAAATGTATTATTATTATATTATTATTACTATTATGCATGTTAACTCAAACAAATCCACTAGTTCCTGAATCAATGATAAACAAGATTGTATTTAATTCAAAGAAGTTAAATCAAATTTCCGGGTGATATTAAATCACTGAGCCGATAAGTCAAAATCTCATCTAATATGAGGCAATGTGTTCATTTTCGGCTGGTTGGTTTTTTAGTACGCTCATCCTGTCTGACCACATTACAATAGTGGGCTAATGGGAGCTTCAGCCGTGTGTTCAGTGGGTGGATTTGCCTCAGTATGTGCATCCTGGCATGCACACTTGATATATAGTGTGTGTGTGTGTGTGTGTGTGTGTGTGTGTGTGTGTGTGTGTGTGTGTGTGTGTGTGTGTGTGTGTGTGTGTGTGTGTGTGTGTGTGTGTGGAAATCAGGTAGACAGTACTCTACACTGACCTATATTCTCAGTCAGACGCTCCCAGGGGAGGCCGGTATCGCTGTTTTTTTTTTCCCTCTCTTCTGCATCTCCTGAGAGAAGAGAAGAGAAGAAGCAGAATCCAAAGGAGATGAGGGCTATGAGAAAAGAGAGAGCACATTTCTTAGAGAGATGGAGCAGTGAAAAGTGTCTGTTGGCAGCATAAATTACATTTTTGATATTTTCTAATGGGCGATCTGAAATGTGTCATGTTATGGTGTAACACTCCCACACCACACAGAGTCACAGGAAGCAGAGATCTTTTATTGGCAGAGTGGTACACAGTTTCTTATAGGGTTTCATTTATATGAATCCATATTTGATGTATCTGTGAAATTAGTAGGAATCAAAACAGTAACCCTGTTGTACATCTTTAGGGGCTTGGTGCATGACTGTATATCTTTAGATTCTCTTTTCTGTAGGCTGCTTCCAGCTTTATCTCCCTCTTTCACACCACTTCTGACTGATTTTACTCCCCCTCCTGCCCCTCTATATCTCCTCCATCTCCTCTTCTTTTTCCTCTCCCCCCTCTGGTCCATTAGGAAGCACTCAGGGCTGATGGTCAGGTTTAAATTGGGATATAAGCTGATTAGGCAGAGGATACATTTCTGATTGTGGTGTGCTTTTACAGCGGCTCAGGATGCTTTGTGCTCTTCCTTTTCAGTAGAAACCCAGTCAACATAACACAGCCGAGAAAGACTAAGTTTTGCACAAAGAACCAGAAACTCTAAATATAAAATAAAAGTCCATTTCCCACTTTAATCAGAAAACATCAGGATATTAATTGAAATATAATACTTAAAGACATGGATGAAAGTAAAACAACTGATAGTCATATTGATGAAGCTTGTTGTAAATATAAAAAGAAAAAATACACGTGTTGTGATTTCATTTCAATTTCTTCATAACTGTCTTATAATTTTGACCATCCATCCCTTGATTTTGATTTGTTTGATCTCATAATTATGGCTTTTTGTCTTGTACTATTGACCTCAAAAATTAAATTAACAAAAATTTCAAATATTCAACTTCTTTACTCACAATTTTGACTTATCACTACATGTTAAAACCTATATCTGATCATTTGATTTTTTATCACTTTTTATTATTTTGTTAGTCCTAATTGTGTCTGAAACCCTTAAATTCTATTTTGTATTTCTTATGTTTAATGTTTGCATCATTATTTTGAGCTCATATCTTATATTGTGGACTTATTCTAATATCTTTTATAATTCCGTCACTTTCTAATTGAAATAACTGTGAATTAATTCAAATAACTGTTAATTTGTTCAAATGATGGGCTTGAACCGAGAGGTTAATGCAAGTCTGGTCTCTCCGTATATCTGTAATTTTTTAAATTTTTGCTAGATTTTTTTTCATATTTTTGTTGCCATTTTGTTGGCTGCTAATGGATACTTCTGCTGGGCGAAGAGAAGAGCTCCTTTCATTGAGGAAAAGCAAATCTGGACAACAACATACAATTCCAGAGGACATCAGGAGATGTTATTGTGGTTGCCATGCTGGTGCAAAGGTGAAGGCAAAGCTGAATGCTAGGAGGTGGAGATATAAACCCTTTCTTCCATCAGTCATCATGGGAAACGTCAACTCTCTGCCCAACAAAAGCGATGAGCTGGAGATATTGGTGAAGACTGAGTGCAGTTTCCTGTGTTTTACTGAAACCTGGTTGAATCAAAACAACTCGGACTCCAGTGTGGATCTACCTGGCTTTACTCTCATAAGGTCAGACAGAGATGCTTAAGCTAGTGGCAAGAAGAAAGGAGGAGGTCTGGCTTTATTTGTCAACCAGAGATGGTGTAACCCTTCACACATAACTGTCAAGGAGAAGTTGTGTTGTCCAGATATTGAACTGTTGGCAGTTGCTCTTCAGCCATATTATGTTCTAAGAGAATTCAGTCATATCATAACAATAGTTGTTTACATTCCACCCAAATCAACTGAAGAAATTCTGTGCAATGTTTTGCAAAATAGTGTTGCCAGGCTACAGACTGAACACCTGGAGGCACTAATAATAATATCAGTACACTTCAACCATGTCACCCTCTCCTCTCACCTGACTGGATTCACACAGTTTGTGAACTGTCCTACCACAGAAAACAAAATCCTGGATCTGCTGTATGCCAACATCAAAGAAGCCTACAGAGCCACTGCCTTACCACCACTGGGCAAGTCAGATCATAACTTGGTCTATCTGCAAACCTGTTACAGACCTTGTGTACTGAGGCAGCCTGTGACCAAAGTCAAAATCAGAAGATGGACACCTCAAGCCAGTGAAGCTCTAAGGGACTGTTTTAAATCAACAGACTTGAATGTGCTGCTGGAAACAGATGGGGATAGTATGAACATTGACAAACAGGTTGACTGCTTTACAGAATATGTCAACTTCTGTAGAGACACAGTTATACCAAAAAAACTGTTCGTTGTTTCCCCAACAACAAACCCTGGATCACAAGAGACATAAAAGCAATCCTCAAACAGAAAAAGAAAGCTTTAAAAGATGGTGACAAAGAACAACTCGAACAAGTGCAACAAGAGTTGAAGAGGAGACTGAAGATGGCAAAGCTGGAGTACAAAAAGAAGATAGAGAAGAATCTACAACACAGCAACATCCATGAAGTGTAGAGAGGAATCAGTACCATCTCTGGATTTAGCAAAAAAAGAAAAGAAAAGACAGCCAGTGGTGGGTGATCTGGAAAGAGCTGATGAACTCAACCTGTTCTTCAACAGATTTGACACTGCTGTCACACCCACTTCCACTGCTACTCCACCTTCCCTGTCCACAACAAATCTCCACTACAACTTCTCTCGTTCCTCCTCCATCTCGTTCAAATGTCTCAACCACTTCAACAGACCGGATATCCCCGCCAAGCTCCGCAGGAGAAGGAGAGGATGCAGGGCTGGAGTTCAGCATCGGCAAAGCAGAGACGTTATAAACCAACTGTCCCGTCCATCATCATGGGAAACATGAGGTCTCTCCCCAACAAGATGTTCAGGAGTCATGGCTGAACGAACTCACTCCGGACCCGCTTGTAACTTTGGATGGATTTTACCTCGTCAGAGCCGACAGGAGCATGAGGGAGAGTGGTAAGATGAAAGGAGGCGGGATAGCGGTGTATGTGAATGAGAGGTGGTGTAATGCTGGGCACGTCAGTGTTAAAGAGCAGCGATGCTCTAAGGACATTGAGCTGCTGGCTTTGAGTTTGCGGCCATATTACCTGCAGAGGGAGTTTTCGCACGTCATCGCGTTAACTGTTTACATCCCCCCACCCCCACCCCTCGGCTGATGCTGCTGCAGCCTGCGAACTCCTCCATGGTGAAGTGTCCAAGCTACAAACATCACACCCTTAGTCTCTGATCATCATCTCTGGAGACTTTAATCATGCATCGCTCTCCTTCACTCTCCCTACCTTCAGCCAGTATGTAAACTGCCCAACGGGAGACAATAAAACTTTGGACTTACTGTATGCAAACACCAAGGATGCATACACCTCCTCCCCCCTCCCCCCGCTGGGCCACTCAGATCACAACCTGGTGAGACTGCAGCCCATTTACATACCTATGGTGAAGAGACAACCCCCCACCATCAGGTATGTTAAGAGGTGGTCTAAGGAGGCCACTGAGGTGCTGCAGGACTGTTTTGAGACCACAGACTGGGCTGTGTTGTGCAGCCCACATGGTGATGACATCGACACCATAACAGATTGTATCACAGACTATATAAACTTCTGTGTTGAGAACACCGTACCCACCAGGAAAGTACGGGGTTTCTCCAACAGCAAACCTTGGGTGACCCTGGAACTTAAAGTCCTCCTGAAGGAGAAAAGGAGGGTCTTTAAATCTGGGGACAAGGAGAAGGTGAGGAGGGTGCAGAGGGAGCTGAAGAAGAAGATCAGAGATGGAAAGGCCAGCTACAAGACCAAGATGGAAAACCTTTTGCAACAGAACAACGCAAGGGAGGTCTGGAGAGGCCTGAAATCCATCTCAGGTCATAGCAGGGGCCACGAGAGGGGACCTGAAGCAGGAGACAGGGAGTGGGCCAACGAGCTGAATCAGTTCTTCAATAGATTTGACTCTGCTCCCACTCCTCCCCCGACTCATCAAACCAACAACCCGTCTGCTGCTTCTTCTTCACACCACCTCAGTCCCATGGCACCGGCATCATTAACCCCCCTCCACTCATCCTCCACCACCCCCTCCAGCACCACCCCCAGCCTCTCCATAACAGCTGACCAGGTGAGAAGTGAGCTGAGGAAGATGAAGCAAAGGAAAGCCACGGGTCCTGACGGCATCAGCTCCAGACTCCTGAAGGACTGTACAGACCAGCTCTGTGAGGTGCTACTGCACATCTTCAGCTTGAGCCTGAGTCTGTAGAGGGTCCCAACACCGTGGAAGACTTCCTGCATGATTCCTGTCCCCAAGACAGCACACCCCAGGGAGCCCAACCACTTCAGACCTGTGGCCCTCACTTCTCACCTGATGAAGACTCTGGAGAGGATCGTGCTGAGGAACCTCCGCCCCCTGGTGAGCTCTCATCTGGATCCTCTGCAGTTTGTGTACCAGCCGAACATCGGGGTGGATGACGCAGTCATCTACCTGCTGCAGAGGTCCATGGCCCACTTGGAGAACACCGGCAGCACAGTGAGGGTCATGTTTTTTGACTTCTCCAGTGCTTTCAACACCATCCAGCCTTCACTGCTCAGGGGGAAGCTCGAGAGGGCGGGAGTGGACTGTCACCTAGCCGCATGGACCATGGACTACCTCACCGACAGACCACAGTTTGTGAGGCTTCAGAACTGTGTATCGGACATGGTGGTCTGCAGCACGGGGGCTCTACAGGGGACAGTGCTCTCCCCCTTCCTCTTCACCCTGTACACCTCGGACTTTGGCTACAACTCTGGGAGCCGTCACCTCCAGAAGTTCTCTGATGACTCAGCCATCGTCGGATGTGTATCGTCAGGGAATGAGCGGGAATACAGGACTGTCATCAGTGACTTTGTCAACTGGTGTGGCACAAACCACCTCCAGCTCAACGCCAGTAAGACAAAGGAGATGGTTGTGGATTTCCGCAGGAGGAGGACACCTCAGACTGTTCCAGTGAACATCCAGGGTCTGGACAACGAGATGGTGGAGTCCTACAGATTCCTGGGTGTCCACCTCAACAATAAACTGGACTGGTCAACCAACACAGACGTCCTGTACAAGAAGGGCCAAAGTTGTCTCCACCTGCTGAGGTCCTGTGGAGTGTGCAGGACTCTGCTCAGGACTTTCTATGACTCTGTGGTAGCATCTGCACTTTTCTATGTAGTGGTCTGCTGGGGGGCAGGGAGCACCGAGAGGGACAGGAAGAGACTGAATAGACTGGTCAGGAGGGCCAGTTCTGTCCTAGACTGTTCTTTGGACTCCCTGGAGGAGGTGGGTGAGAGGAGGATGTTAACAAAGCTTGTATCCATCATGGACAATCCCTCTCATCAATCCACATTAATAAGCAGTACAGGAGCTCCACAAGGGACAGTGCTGGCGCCATTCCTGTTCACACTGTATACATCAGACTTCAAATACAGCACTGAGTCCTGCCACATCCAGAAATACTCAGATGACACCGCTATTGTGGCACGTATCAGAAATGAACAAGAAGCTGAATACAGAGATCTAATAAAAGCCTTCAGTGACTGGAGTCACAAAAACTGCCTCCTCCTCAACATCTCAAAGACAAAGGAGATGGTCATAGACTTCCGCATTTCCAAACCCCCTCTTCAGCCAGTAAACACCTGTGAAGTGGACATCAAAGTGGTGACATCATATAAATACCTAGGTGTACATCTTGACAATAAGTTGGACTGGTCTAAGAATATAGACTTCATCTACAGAAAGGGGCAGAGCGGCCTCTTTTGCCTGAGAAGACCTCAATCAATAGACGTGTAGTAAGATACTGCAGATGTTTTATCAGTCTGTGGTGGCAAGTGTGCTGTTCTACGCTGCAGTCTGCTGGGGAGGAAGCATCAAACACAAAGATGCAAGACGTTTTAACAAACTGGTGAAAAAGGCTGGCTCTCTGGTAGGACTCATGCTGGACTCCATGGAGAATGTGGTGGAGAGATCTACACTGAGGAAGGTGGAGACTATTCTAAAGAACATGGATCACCCACTTCACAACACCTTGATGGACCAAAGGGGCAATGGTGGTGGACAGCACCTCTCTCTTCGCTGCAGGACAGAAAGATTCAAAAGGTCTTTTGTACCAACAGTCATCAGACTATATAACTCTTGTGTAAATAATAGATAACTTTTAGAGACATTTTATGTGAGACAACAGACAATTGAATTTTCCTTCGGGGATTAATAAAGTTCTTCTTATTCTTATTCTTATTCTTATTTTACTCATCTCTAAATGTTGAACATTTTGTCATAATTCTGACTTTTTTGTCATTATTTTGGGTTTGTTATTTGTAATAGTCTTGTAATCTTGTAATTTAGCTTTTTTTCTCAATAATGACTTAACATTTAGTGTTTTTTAAGTAGAAGCTCAGTCTTAGGTTAATGTCATTTTTTAAATATGACAAATTCTATAGAGTATTTAAATTTTTATTTATCTACTTCATCATGCTGTTGACCACAAATGAAACATGGATATGAAAAGTGTATATTTTCCAGCTGCTGCTGGGTTGCAAACTGCTTTTATCAGTGTGTATAAAAGTATATCAAGTGTAAATATTAGTGAACTTGGACTTTGTTGTAATAGAGGGGCTTCCATATACTGTATACTGTACCGTATACATTTTTTTTTTATTTTTACACAGCTATAAAAGGTCGTGTCTGCTCCTGAGGGCTTCAGGTTTTGTATGTGATGTGATTCATGGGTCAAACAGCAGCAGTGGGGTCATACAGTGAGTCATTTTGGAGCAGTTGATGTCACATTTCACCATACTATCCTTAAGTGATGTTATATCTTGTTGTCTGTGCAGGAGACCTGAAAGCTTTGAAGGAGAAGACCTTTATCCTCAAGGAAGGAGTGACATACAGACTGAAGATAGACTTCAAGGTAAGTTAGATGGATACTGTCCCAGCAGTTTGTTAATGATGTAGAGATTTACTTTACATTACCACAAGGCTGAATTGGTGTTTATGTTCATGGATTGAATGAACAAATATGATAGATCTTTACATTAAGTATTAAAGAGATGGACAGAGAAAAGACATGCTGAGTAAGCAAGTAGTTGCCTTTCTACTGAACCACAATATCAAACAAGACTATTGTCATATTTAATTAATCTTTTCTGTGCAGTTCTGTTTATAGTGCCAGTAAGGGATTATGTTGGAGAGGCAACTTGTCTTGTATCATAAGCAGGTGTCTGCAGTCTGATAACTAATTCTTTTTAAGATATGTAAGATTAAAAAGGTTTTCTTTTAACTTTCATGTACACGTTCAAACAACTGTGGCTTGTAATATAAATAATCCCCCACTGAAAGCCCTTTGTGCAGCATACTAGTCCAGAACAAGCTGTCCTCATGTAGACATGATGAGCTATTCCTATCGTTCAGTTTTATGTAGAATTATATTATAACAAATTGATCTCCTAATGTAGGCTGTGTAGTGCCCGCTGTAGCACCAGAAACCATAAACATAGTGCCAAAAAACTCTTTTTTTTTGAGCAAACAGAAACATGTTTGCAGCCTGGTTCATAAAACAGCGTAGGTTGGGGCTCTGACCCGCCTCTGATTGGTTGACCAAATGCTACGCTGAGTCAGAATCTGGATCCAATCTGAGGTTTTCAGTCACATGATCCTGACTTCGCGCAAGGACCAAATGGAGGGCAGGAAGTGACCGACTGCAATGGAAGAGATGTGCCGGTTTAGATGCGTGCCGGTATTCAGCCTTAGATGGCCGCTACCGGCCTCACACCGTCCACGGGATTCGGCACTGGGCTCTTCCCTCTTCGCCTGCTGCTACTGAGGGAATCCTGGTTAGTTTCTTTTCCTCAGCTTACTAATATGCTTAAATTCAACGGGTTTTCTCGTCTGATCTGAGGTCGTAGTCGGAGAATGGGGGGCAGGGAGCGGGGATAGGGGCTGAAAGGACCCCCTTTTTTCCCCGTCCGCCCCCTTCGGAGCTCTGCGGCGCTCCCGGCACGTCCGGCCTCTTCACACCCCCCTCCCTACACAGTTTGACACGACTCAACTTAGAAATGAAAGAATTTAACTACGGGCTGAAAATGAGTCATTACCTTTGACAAAGTGGTCACTGCACACACGGGCATTATCCGATGCAGCTCCTCCAGACCGTAGACCAATGCTGCATCCGAATTGCCAAGTAGTAGTCGAAGTAGTAGTCGAAGTAGTATGTAGCATGTCCGAATTGGCCACCGGAGCGAGTAGCATGCTACTTCAGATACTACTTCAGATACTAGACACGCCCACATTGTAGGATGGTTGCGGTGCATCCTACGGGCATGCTACTGACCCAAAATGCACCGCGGGCTTCTTCTTCGTCCTCCTTAAAGTTGTAGAAACGCATGTGATGCCTATTTAAATGCGTCGCGAACGCCGCTGGCCACAGCAGCGCGCACCATGGCGGAGCAGCAGCAGCAGGAGGCAGGACCGCAGCAGTACAGATGTAATTTTAATGTAACTTCACACACTGTCCTAAAAAAATGTGGGGTTGTATCTCTTTGTCATGTCATGGTGTCATATTTGCCCAAGTAATCATTTTATGAGCAAATACGTGGCGACATCATGGAGTTAAAGCTCACTTATTCCATCATTAAACTGCACAGCTGCAGTAATCAGGCAGATCTCATTGAACAAACGATCACCACGTGAGTGAATGAAGGCCAAATGTAATGGAAAAGCTACTTTGTGAATTTCTAAAGCAGCGCAGGAATATAATACAGCAGCATCCATCACTTGCACAATTACCATTCAGTCTAAAACGGGCGCAGTACCTACTCTCTGCCTGCGGGGGTCGTCTTTCCCCACCGCTCGTCTAGTGTGTCCGAATTGGGCCAACGTGTTTAGTATGTAGGAGTAGGATCTAGCAGTAGCACGTGGCAGTAGCATGTAGTATGCGAGCGGACAATGCAGACACAGCACAGGGGTTCTCGGCCTGTTGCTGGTCTCTATAGCAGCAACTCACTTCCTGCCCTCCATCTGTATAACGCGCGTGCCGCGTAACACGGAAGTGACGTCAAGTGAAAACCTCCTATATGTTTCAAAACTCTGCCTCAGAAACAAATGTATGACATCATCAATGCCATATCCATTTTTTATACTGTCTATGGGTATTAAACATTAGGAGAGGATTTAATTGTTACATCATGTATGTTACGTTACATATGTTACGTTACATAACCTTCCATGAGAGACGTGTTGCCTGCAGTATTAAGAACTTCCCAGTCGTTTCATTGCTTAAGACAAGAAGTTGCAGCCAGATAATATCCTTTTATATCGTATCATGTAAAACAGTGTGGAATGGTATCATGAGGTTTTAGTGTGGTATCCTATCCCACCTTCTTGTATCATGTTATGTGGTATTATGTTTTATTGCCTTGTATTGAACTCTATTTCATCATATGGTATTGTAAAGGCTGCATAATTGTATGTTTTAGTATGGTATCACACTGTATCGTATATCAGGTGTTGTAACAAAGAGCCTTTGTTACTAGTGACAGAAAATACTTTGCCGGGATATTCCACGGTGGAAAAGGAGTGTTTGGCGATGGGCCATCAACACGCTTAGATATTATCTGTTGGGTCGGCACTTCTTCCTGGAAACCGACCATCGTGCTCTTCAGTGGCTTCATCGCGAAGAGCCTTCGTTACAAGTGACGGAAAATATTTTGCCATGTAAATATTGCACAGCAGGGATGCACTTTAACTACTATTGATAAATGACTGATAGCACTTAGCACTTTTAAAGCACTTTGCACTTTATTGGTGAAATTTGCACATTACATTAGCACATTGCATATTTGCACAAGTTATAATGAACCTTGTGGAGTGAGTTATTAGCCGATGTTGTTAAAGTAACCCATTACTGATGTGTGGTTGTTCGGCAGGGGCTGGCTTAGGAGCGCTGCTCTGCCTGTAAGAGAGGAGAGTGAGAGAGCCATATGGTTTAACAACATTAATTATTGAAAAAACAAAGTGTTCTAGAAAATGTGTGCAGGTAATGTAGGTGTGCATGTCACTATGGAATATGTGTGCAAGTGCTAAAGTGGCTAAAGGGCTAGGTTGAATTAATGTGATCACTTACCTGTTTTCGAGTTGTGTCTGCTCCAGGGTGTTCCAGTCAAAAGAGTCTGGGGCGAACGGATACCCAGCTAAATGTTCCAGGGCGAAACCATTGCAGAAACTTGGAGAGTGGAGTTCAGGTTTTGGGATTTAAAATTGTATTCGCTATTAATAGGTGTAAGGGTAAAGTATGGGAAAAGATTTAAATGATTTGTAGTTTATAAGAAGGATCCAGGTAAATGGTGAATGTTAAAGGGTGTTAAGGTTATTATGGAGCAGATCTGATCTTGGAGAGACACCTGCATGTCGATCGGTCTGTGGAGGACAGTCAGCTACAGAGTATTTAAGGCGCCTGTTAACATCTGTCTGTGATGCTGGTCAGACCTCCTGTAACCTGTATCTGGTCTTATCCTTGAAAGTAAACTTTACATGTTTGGTGCCTGTCCTCTGTTCAATTATGGGTACTGCAACATCCAGCCGCTCACAAGGGTCATTTTTACAGGTGTATTGAAGGGACTCATACTGAAAAATTACACATATAGTATTAGCTAGTATAGCGAATGTGCCGTACTGCACCATCATTTTTATCTCATTGTTTATTGTGTTGTTCAGCATATTACATTACACTTATTTGTATTGAATGGTATCCAATCTTCCCCTTTGTATGCGAGTGCATTTGTTTTGAGGTACCTTAAAATCTGTCGCATGGAACAAATATATACAGACATTACACACTCCAAGCGATTTCCAAGCAAGATTTTTAGTGATTTGCTAACCCTCTAAATTTCCTCAAATAATGGTTTGAGGTTCATTTTTGTTGTTTTCAGTGAAATATATTTTTTTAGGTTTTTCATGTTTGTGTTCAGGAGGAGTAGGGATCAAATGATGATCCCTAGACTTTTCCTTCAGCTTCATCATACGGTTGAAATGGTCCTTTTCAGAGCTTTACCAATGGATATTTATACCATATGTATAATAAAGTTTAAAACTATTTCCATGGCATATTTTTTACATATGGATATATTGGATGTTGACTCTCAATGGTTTTGTGTTAGCTCCTACTCTAAGAAAGATTGAACAAAGTAAAAATCCTGCATGAAAGCTCAGCTACTAAATTTGATCAAGGACAGCAGACCTGACCCCTTCTCAGTTCAACTTTAATACACTATTACAACTAATATTTTCTGGTGTGATAACAAGAGAGAGTTAAGCTCAAGCTTTAACTCACACCATCAAACATCCATCCAAAACTAATTTTTCATCAAGTGCTGTCTTTAAAGCCCCTCTGCTCAGCTCTTCTGTCATCTCTTTCTTTCTCTGTGTCCCTGTCGGCTTTCTGTCTTTCCCCCAAGTTGTTGTCTCGTCTCTCTTCTTCCACTACCTCTCATGTAAACACACAGCAGTTTTTTTTTTTCTCAGGCTGTGAGTTCTGTGTAAATAAAAACAGAATCCTTTTTGGAAGGAAATGCAGAGCAGAAATCCAGAGAGAGCGTTTTCACCTCGAGAGGATGAAAGGGTCTTGAGGAAGTTTATCGACTGATGAGAAAAAGCACACAACACAAACAACAAGAATCAACCCGTGAATGCAAATTACAAGACTGCTGCTATCTTTTCATACATGAGGGTGTTTTATAGGTGTGATGCAGATTTCGCAGTAAAGATCCTTTAATTTTTAAATGCAGTAAAGCTGCTGCAAAACACCCAGGAATTGTCTGACAAGATCAAATCTTGTCTCCAGTTTTAAATGATTGAAATGATGGGAAATGTTTCTGTACTAAAACAAACTCTGCAAACTACAAAATAAGAGAGTGTGAGAATAGCATTCAATTTAATTATGACATAGATGTTAGGGAGCTGTGCTGTGAGGAACTGAACAGTTTAGTGAGTAACTTAAAGGGAGTCCCTCTATTATTGTTATACTGTGATATATTACATGCAAATTTTCTGCGTCATATCCATAACCTGTACGCTTCCTTATTGTCCTTTACTTATTTACAGAATTCCATCAAATAAATGTATTTTATTAATTAAACATTTATTCAACTTACATAATTTGTATTGATCAAAGTATGATATTGTTAATGCTTTGGCATTATTGTTCTGCCTTTGATCTCGATAAAGCTTGTTTCAATTGAACAAATATACTTACCCCACTCTGTGGGGACATCTTGTGGGCAAACAACATCATTGCAGACTTTTAATTTCACAAAATAATAAATCAGTTCCAAATCCATTTCAAAATTGGAAAAAAAAGTTGATGAAATGAGTAATGACATACTATGTATGGAGGGCGTCAGATGGTGTTTGTGGATGTGTTTGTGAATCTCTACGTCAACCTTGATATTCTGAAGCCACTGATACCTTTAGTTAAAGTCTGCTTTTTAGATCAGAGATTGAGCTTTGACACAAAGGGTCAGGACAAACTCAAAAAGGTGGTTTAAAGAAGTCTGGGTTCACCTTAGCCAAACTTTTCAGGTCATATGTTCTGGTCTATTTATCTCTGAAGTCTTTTCATATTTGTGCAGGAAAACACAAATGCCTTCCCCTGTATATCCATCTTTGTGGTCCTCCCCCTAAGATTACTGTTCCTAAATGACAAAGGCTGTTGTTTTTGCTTCATCGATGGTCTGCTCTCCAGTGGAAGTCAGATGTCCCTCATTTAAAGAAATGCTCTGTATGCTACAGATGGAAAAGCTGAGATACAGTCCAGCCATGTGTCATGGAAAACTTTCTGTGATCTGATCTCCTTTTATCAAATGTATATGTAACAAAAAACAGAATGTCATGAAAACACCTCATGTTCTCTTCTTTTTGACAATGTAAATGTTCATGTCTTATTTACATGTTTATGTAAGTAAAGGACAAATTGACATTGTTTTCATGCATAAGGTTTATTATTAAGTATTTGCTTGTACATCTCCAAATGTGTATAAACCCCAGCTATTATTATTTTGGACTTTTCCCTCACTGTTTTTATGTGTTATTCAGTTATTCATTTTTGTTGTTAAAGCGGGTGGGTAACAGGAGTATCTGGTTTTGTTTGTAAAATAAAAAAACTATAAATAAAGTCTCAAATAAAAACTTAAGTTGTGTGATGGAAGGAAATCGTTTCTTCTATTTTTAGGTTCTGTTCATTACTGAGCCTAAAATGATTAATTTATCATCAGAGGAAGCTGTCAGATCTGAAGTTCCATGTGCAGAGTTTTGTGTTTGTTAGAAATAGATATCTGTGTTCAGGGAAGAACGCATGAAAACAGGTGACTCTTCTTAGATTACGTTTGACTTTTAAATACCCCATCCAACAACAAAACCAATAGTGTCTGTTTATTATTGTGATTAATCGTTATTATCATTATTATTATATAATCATTGTAGCTGATCCTTGCGCAATAAAGATGTGATAAAAATGTGTGTCTGCAGGTAAATAGAGAGATCATCTCTGGCTTGAAGTACCATCATGTGACCAGCAGAAAAGGAATAGTGGGTAAGCAAACATACACCTTATTAATTTTTAGATAATAACTGTCCATCAATTTATTATTTTTAAGTGTAAGTACAGATCATAAAACAACACAAGGCACATTTTCTACATCGACAGTTTTTAATTTTTAGACTTCAGGAATTTTTGTGCTGACTCAAATTAAAGTGTCTGTCGTGTTTCATCCTGCAGTGGAAAAGGTGTCTCACATGGTGGGAAGTTATGGCCCAAAAGTGGAAGAGCATGAGTTTGTGAGCACGCCTGATGAGGCACCACTGGGTATAATGTCCCGAGGGCACTATCAGGTCAAATCCTGCTTCATTGATGATGACAAGATTGTCTACCTGGCATGGGATTGGAATTTGGATATCAAGAAGGACTGGGATTAATGACAGCAGAGGGAGATACACTTCCCTTCATACAATCCTGCTCTACTCCTCCATCTTTTCCTTTCCCTCTTTTATCCCACTCCTCCAAATCTGCAGTTGAGGCTTGTTCTATTCTTCTCCTCCTTTTCTCTGTTGTCCTACTACCTTTTTCCTCTCGTATGTTTAATCCAGAGCCATGAGATGACTCCCCCCCCCTCTGCCTTCTGTTTTCTCCATCTACATCACGTTTCAAGGCTTTTGGGATCATAAGACTTCCTCTCTGTCTGCTTTTTTTCTTTCCCAAACAGATGATAAAGTCTGTTTGAGGCACAAAGACAGATATAATAAATACTCTGGATGGTTACAAAAATGTAAAGTCTGCCCTGGCTTTCCAGGGAAGAGTCAGTTGATGTAAAACACAGGGCTTGTTTAGATGCTCAGGAAGAATTCTTGACTTAAATATACCAGATATCACAGAACAAAATAAGGTCCTATTACTACAAAACTTGCCAAAATCTTTTTGCAATGTCTTCAGAGTTGGAAAAAAGATTGTGACAGCTGTTTGTGAAACAGTGACAAGTTTTTAATGGTGCCACTTTTGCTAAAATAAACACAAAACTTGGCTGCCCACTATTGAATTCTAAAATTTTTATTGATAAATGAGTAGATACTAGCACTTTTAATCATAAATGTTAAAACAGTTCCCAAGGCACTGTGGGAAATTCCCAATGTGATATATTATTCCTAAAGATAGGGCTAAGAATGATGTCTGAGTTTGAAAACTCCTGGAATTAGAATATACACAGTAGAGAAAAGCACATGCATTTAGAGTTATTCAGAATTAGCTATGTTTACATTTGCATCTCTTTCTTACATTTTTCCTCCATGGTTGAAATCTCAAAATATAGAAAAAAAAATGGATGAAATAATTTTTAACACCACCCAGTGATTTCTACAGCAGAGTTTTGAAGCCCAATGATGGCTGTCAACAGATTGGAAATGCTAACCCTACCAAACTTATGCTGACCAAGCAGGAGTCAAAGAGGCAGAGCTTAAGAGGGCCTTTGCCCATCTGTCAATCAAGTCAGGCATGCTTTGAATTGTTTTAAACCCTAAACCCATACTCTTAAAACAATTGGGCAATAAAAAAATATTATACTCCAAACAGTGTGAGAGTTCTAAACATATTTAATTTGCTGTCAAAACTGGCATTTAATTTAGGTGTTATTTAAGTGGATTTGCTTGGGTTTTCGGGCCAACCTCAAGTGGGCACTTTGCATTGGCTTCATTTTACTAATTTTGGGGGTTGAAGTGTGGTCAGTGTTAGAAATGTTACTTTAATATTACTGTATTTGTTCTTTATAAATGTGGATTATTTCTTTAATCTTGTCCATGTGTTTTAATTGATATTCTTAGAAAATGGTTTCCCAGTGTGTGTATGGTCCCTGTCTTCCCCTCTTTCTTTGTTGGTTCATTGTCAATGTCAGTGTATGTGTCTTCCTTACCTGACACCCTCGTGATTTCCCAGTGTCTTTTGTTGTTCCAGGATTTTTGCTCTTTTTGTTTTTTGTTTGGATTTTTTCAGTTGGACACTTTTGAAAAGTAAGTTTTTGTTTTTCCATGGCTTTTGTTTATTAAACCTTTTTTGACCTGCATTTTGGGTCCTTTTTCCTTTGTAAAACCCTGCCTTGTGACAATATATTGACAAATTTTATATTATGTTTTTTGCATCATACTTGCTTTTTACAATTACCATCTCTCCATTGTATGTTAATAAAATACTCACACTTTGTTTAAGCAACACTACTCCATCCTCTGGAGATGAAGAGTGCTTTTGTCAAAATTACTTCAAACTATCTTTTTCAAACCATCAGTTTAATGGGTTGATACAAAGTATCAGCTCCTCTCTCAAGATGATCTGATAAGGACTTTGAGTTGTACTTTATCAAACTAAAACATTTTTACATTTCAGTTTTCTAATGTCTTTGTGGAACGTTTTGATAAAGCAGATCAATGGCAGGCTGTACCAAATTGTGCATATTAGAAAGAGATGCATGTATGTCATTTGAGATTTGATACTTGGTCCAAATTTATAAATTGATCCTTTTCTTAAGCTCTGAAATACCAAGAACACAGGGTGTGAATAAAATTCAGCTTCAAACATTAATGAATCATTTAACAATAGTAGCTGAAAGATGGAGTACTGTCCCAGAGGTGTGTTAAAATGGATTACCCTTAGGAAATAAACTGAGCTATCATTACTGTGTTAAGTCTTTGGATTTGATATTGTCATTGTTGCCGAGCATACTGAACTTTGAAAAATCATCTGAAATAGTTGTGATCTAAGACTAAATGTAATTGTAGGCTTGTTTGAGTGTTGCATGGTTAAGCAAGATTATCTTTTCTTTTTTATGACTTGATTGTAAAATGCAGTGTGATTAAAAAAGATACTAATGCAATATCAAGATGTCAATGGTTGCCATATTCTTTAGATACAGTAATTACAGGGACTTTTAAATGAACTGGGAATATTTACCTGTATCTAATTACAATTTCATGCTGAATCCTGGAATATTTCTGCCCAATCTAATATCCTGTATCTTTAATAAAGGCAATTCAAACAACCAGTGAGATTTCTCATTTCAAATCATTTAGGAGGAGATGCTTTATTGAGACATATTATTACGTTACATGTATGTGGGAAATTTTGAACTAGAGGAATTCAGGTATAACTAACTTAAAGGTTTTTGTGAACGATTTGCCCTGGGTTACTAAGAAATCATCCCCACTTTGAACTCACGTAAGTATACAGGTTAGGGTTAGGTTATTGGTGACAGCCAATGAAAACCCCCAATGAGTATCTCAGAAAATTAGAATATTGTGGAAAGGTTCAATATTGAAGACACCTGGTGCCAAACTCTAATCAGCTAATTAACTCCAAACACCTGCAAAGGCCTTTAAATGGTCTCAGTCTAGTTCTGTAGGCCACACAATCATGGGGAAGACTGCTGACCTGACAGTAGTCCAAAAGACGACCATTGACACCTTGCACAAGGAGGGCAAGACACAAAAGGTCATTGCTAAAGAGGCTGGCTGTTCTCAGAGCTCTGTGTCCAAGCACATTAATAGAGAGGTGAAGGGAAGGAAAAGATGTGGCAGGAAAAAGTGCACAAGCAATAGGGATAACGGCACCCTGAGGAGGATTGTGAACCAAAACCCATTTAAAAATGTGGGGGAGATTCACAAAGAGTGTACTGCAGCTGGAGTCAGTGCTTCAAGAACCACCACGCACAGACGTATGCAAGACATGGGTTTCAGCTGTCGCATTCCTTGTGTCAAGCCTCTCTTGAACAAGAGACAGCGTCAGAAGCGTCTCGCCTGGGCTAAAGACAAAAAGGACTGGACTGATGCTGTGTGGTCCAAAGTTACGTTCTCTGATGAAAGTAAATTTTGCATGTCCTTTGGTAATAAAGGGCCCAGAGTCTGGAGGAAGAGAGGAGAGGCACAGAATCCACATTGCTTGAAGTTGAGTGTCAAGTTTCCACAGTCAGTGATGGTTTGGGGTGCCATGTCATGTCCAAGGACATTGATTTTTAAAACTATACTCTATCCAAGACAGTCCTTTGGTGTCTTCATTTGTATTCAGATCAGAAGCCTTCTCAGTTCAGTCACTGGTCAGTCACAAAATCAGTTATTTGCAGATTAATCAACAGGCCTCTGAATTGCTTCATAACACACAGGCTATTGAATTTCCCTTCGGGGATCAATAAAATTCTTCTTTTTCAGACTGGAGAGCAGAGTAATCCACACAATATAATCAACAAAGGCATCTGTGTGCTCTCTGCTGTCACATTTCTACTTGTCCAGTGTTGAAAATTTCCATCTAAACATCTGGGTCCTCATGTGTCCTACTCCTCTGTGAACCAGCCCTCCTTGTCTGTTGTGTTCATGTCTGTAGATGTGTTGTTCATGCTGAGCGCCTGCTCCAGCAGAGCTCTTTGGGCTGTAGCTGGCAGGTAGAGGAAGGTGTAGACCAGCGCCAGCAGCAGCAGAGCAGCCAGCAGAGGGATGCCCCAGTCAGAGGTCATGAGAGGCTCTTCACAGCGAGCCTGCAGGAAGGACTTATCGGGCATTGTGTGTACTCACACTCAGTTCATCTGGAGAATGAGTTGACAATGGAAGGAACTCAACTTCACTGATCGGTCTGATTGTTTTCTACCCAAAATAGGGAAAAACTCTGCGTCTTGACAGCGTGAACACTCAATCCTGTGAATCAGGTATTCTGTCAGAACAAGGCTGGTTCCACAAGATCCAAAGAGTACAAAGGGGTAAATCCAAGCATGAGAAGGTCACCTTAAATGACAAAGTCAGTTCAATCCAGGGAGATAAGTCCTTCAGGTGCATCCATTCTCTCAGAGCCCAAAACAGGAGACAACTTTCGCAGGTACCTTCACAAGCTGGTCCCCTTAACTATAGTAGAAGGTTGAGTTCAAGCTTTAAATTGAATGCTAAGAAGGCAAAGAAAATACCAGATCTGTCATTGAAGTCTCCAATTCCAAACTGAAACAACCCAGATTTTGCGTCACGCCATGTTGACCTCTCAGGCAAATAAACCAATCTACCTCTCAGCTGTGTGAAATGAAACAATGTGAAATGATAAATGGAAACAATTTAATCCCACTCTGTAGTGACACCTATCATAGATCTACCCAGATCTGGTCATGAAAATCTAATTATATAACGATTCTTGATCTTCTTAGCTGAAAACAGACTCATACCTGACTGTATCCAGGGGTTATTTGCAGGGAGACCTTCACTTAATTCAACCAGTGTGTTTCAGCACCATATGTTGCAAACAATCAGCAGTTTGTGAGCACAAAACCGTAAGGAGGTCATAGCCCAATGGCACTGAAAAGGACGACTGATTAGTATTTGGGACTATTCAGACAATATGGATTCACAGAAATGATTACACTAGAGGGGTTTCAATTTTTTGCCCTGACCCGCATTTGTATTTCAGCTGTTTTTAATTTATAGTGAAGGTCAAAGAGAGAAGACTATCTGCAGAAAGCCAAGGACAATCTCAGATACACAGCACTGGCAGATCATTTAGTTTCAGTGAGACAGCACTTGACAAGTGTGTTCAAATAAAACTTAAATTACACAATGTTAGAGGAAAAACTTGTGATTCAGAGTAAGAAAGCATAACTTGTGGAAAAATATAAGACAACCTCAGAAAAGTCATGAGCATAAAATCATTTCCTTTTTCAACTCAATAGTGAAGTGGTGTTTGTTTCAGTCATAACATGGTTCAGGTCTATACAGGAAAGTTTGTCTGTAAAGCCCCTACACCCCTTGACAAAAACAGCGTTTGACCTAGCAGAACAATGTACACAATACAACAATACACACAATAACTCAGATAAACTGGCCAGCTTAGACAGGGGTAGAGCTGCAACTCCTGTATGGTGTTGTTTGATCAGTCTTAAATGCTGTTTGCTTAAGTCATCCAATTAGTCATGTGATATGAGTGATCAAACTAGAGACTTAGCACCTTTATTGGCTTGGACAGTTGCTGGAAAGAGAGGAATGATATGGAGTAAAGGACTGTGGGTCAGATTTATAGTTGGACCTTCCAGTTTCAGGACTACAGCTTTTGTACATGAGGTGCAACTTGCTGAACTGGCATCTCTATAGTTTTGTTTTATGTATGATGGCATATAGTATATGTACTGTATATCTAAGTTACTGCATATGCAAGGAGTGAAGGCTGCAAAAATCATCATTACATTCCTAAGTCATTATTTCATTCATTTAGTTGTTAAAACATAATTTCTGCATTGAAAGTTATATTATTGCACAATTGTTTCATAAACAAAAACTTTAATTACAAAGTCAAACAACTTCCTCTCAACTTGTGGGCCATGTTTTTTTTTTTACTGGTGTTGCATATGCAAGCTTTGCATGCTTTGCAAGGCCATAGCTAAAACCCTTTCCACCTCTGCCCCAGTAGTTCCATGGTTGTTGCCCAGCAACAGTGATACTGGGTGGAGTGTGTCATCAGCCAGATAGAAATGTCGAGGTGAGGTTGAGGTGAGGGATTATGGATATGACATATAACAGGTGAGTGATCATGAACAGTGGCTACAAATGAAGCAGAAAGAGATTAGACAAATAAAGCAGATATAATCCTTTTACTCAAGATGATGGACTTTACATTATAGGGTCAATATTACTGATATCATACAAAATATGATCACTGAAAAGACATTTTACATCCTTGCAGGTGAGGACGTGAAAATTTGTTAATCTAATTATTGAATGTGAATTTAAATTTGATATAAACACTTCATAATGAATATCAGTCTGTCTCTGTCAAAGCACATATTGTCACTCCTAATGGCAAGGAATTTATTGCTGAAATATGTACTGTGAGTCAGCATCTGCGATACAAGAGCTCTGCATAGTAGTGTTGCAGTGTGCACTGTTTTCCACACTACATGTCTATAACATGCCAAAGGTTGTTTCCACGTCACTTAACCTCTTTTTTTTTTTTACTTTAGGACCTCTTAAAAGGTCACAAGATACATCCAAAGCTGAGAGTCTCCAGATTAGATACAACATAGGGAAGAAAAGATTTTGTTTTGTTGCAAAAATGATAACTATTATCCTTATTTGCTCTCATATAATCTTATCTTTCGCAATATTTTGGATTTTCCTATTAGTTTTCAATTTAGAATTACTTGAAAATAAAGTTAACCACAGGCACAATTTAAATCAAGAGACAGTACAGAGACACATAGAGTAAATGTATTATGGGTATATGCAGGTTTATACTGATGCATTTAAGAATATGAGAGGAAAAATAGGAGTAGCATTTACAATTACAGAGTTCAATATTAGGAACAGTTAATGAGTAAGTGATGAGGCATCAGTATATGCAGAGGAGATGGTAGCAATTCTATCAGTAGTAGAATGGGTGGAAGAAGTAAGACCAGTTAAAACAATAATATGTTCATATGATCATGTTAAGTTTATCTTTATTGAGCAGAAACTGTGTACATACATCTACTGATGCCAGGTCTGGACACATTGATGTTCCTGGAATCATTGGGCATTTCAGGTCTTTCAACATCATATGCCCTCTTCCAGGTAACCCAGCCAGTGGGTGATCAATTCCCAAGCTTGTGTTCAGACAGCTAACTGGCTACCATGACTCCATGGATCACCTCTCTTGAGCCACAGCCATCTTGAGGCCCGTTCTGCCGCATTGGTGGTACTGTGAATGGCTCTCCTCTTCCTCTCTCTTTTAATTCCTAGGTGACTAAAAGCTCTGACCATGGAACGGGCTGCAAATCCTCTGCATGCAACCTCCACAAGCAAAAACCTTGCTCTCCACCCAGCCTGCTGACTAGTCCTGCGTACTTGAAGAGCTTCTTCTCAAAGGCTTCTCCCAAATAAAAAATAATGTATCAGAAGGCATAGCTGATATTTTATTAGAAATCAAGCAAACAGCATACAGAATTCAAACGATGGGACTTATAGAGGAGTTTTTGTGGATTTCTGCTTACATTTGGGTAGAAGGGAACAAAGCATTAGATACATTTGTGAAGGGGGCTGCAAAAAGAAACAGAATAGAACTAACAGTGCCATACAGTAAAAAAGACATTTATTAAAAGGTAAGATAAGACAAAAATTGCAAATATAATGGAGGAGATATCTGGAAGGTGGTATTGACATCCAAAGAAAAACTGGTAAAATGAGAAACACCATGAAAGCTAGAAGAGAGGAAATAATGATATTAAGATTACGATTTGAACATACAAGTCCCAATAGTGCAGCTGAACAGACTGCCTCCTCACAATCCTTCTCAAACCTCTTCAATCCTTGAGTTTTTCCTCTCTAGACTGCTGATATACGCCCCAAAAGACATTTTCACCATTACTGTTTCACTATTTTTTTATTTTTTTGGAAGCTGTTGACCAGAACGCCAGAACACAGCCATTGTTGGCTCGACTACAGCTGCTGAGCTACCAGGCCGGGACCAGGATCAGGGCCCACTGACAACTTAGCCACCAGGCTAAGCCCAAGAGTCAGGGCTGCAGCATCACGTCACACACCAGCACTGAAGTGGCTCAAGCACGAGCTGCCCAGGCTGCACAGGAGGAAGATATTTGGAGATATTCATGAATAAACATTGCAGCTGTAGTGAGGATTCTGACAGAGAATGAACCGGTGCTCCGGTGAGGTCAGGTGTTTTTATAAGCAACATGCCACCAAAGGCTAAACCCTGTTCCATCACGGATGATGAGTTTGATAAAATAAAACTTAATTGTCAACTTAATGTCAGGAGAGATTACAAACATCTCAAAACAGCAGGAACTCATATTGGACCTGGTGGGAGAGGTAAAGAAGCTACGAAGACAAAATGAGGAAAAAGACAAACTGATAAAAATGTTGGAGGGTGAGTGGCAGACCTAGAACAACACACTCGCATAAACGACTTAATTATCACTGGTTTGGACATCAAACCTAGGTTATATGTGAAAGCTGCGGCATCAGAGAATGGGGAGCCCTCTGAACCTGGCCCAGTGGTCCCCCTTGAGCAACACCTTGAAGATCACCCGATCTCCTTCCTCCGCACACGTAAAATTGATGTCGATGGCAAGGACATTGAGGCATGTCATCCACTCCCACGGAAAGATAGAGAAGAAAAGCCTGCTATAATCATAAGATTTGTAAACAGAAAGAAAAAAATTGCTCTACTCAGACAAGGCAAAAAACTGAAGGGGACCAATGTTTATATCAATGAGCATCTGTCGAAGAAAAATGCAGAAATAGCCAGACGGGCTCGAATCCTGAGGAAGGAGCAGAAGATTCAGTCAATATGGACCACAAACTGTAAAGTTTTCATTAAACTGAATGGATCACCAGAGCAGGCTAGTGTTCTACATATCAGAGACATCTCTGATTTGGACAAGTACTGAGGGACTGTTTGGATGGTGTACTGACTCTTTTTGGTATGACTCTGTCGAATATTGATGCACCCTGCATTAAGCCAGGTCTGTGTAAGGGATTGAAATTAGCACATGTTAATGTATGCAGTTTATGAAATAAGGTTCAAGAAATTGGGTGCATGGTTAGAATTAACTGTATTAATATCTTCGCCATTTCTGAGACACACCTTGATGATTCCTTTTCTGATGCTGATGTTGCTATTGATGGGTTCTCAGTCTTTAGAAAAGACAGAAATCGGTTTGGAGGCGGGGTAGCTATTTATATTCAAAATCACATATCTGTCAAAACTCGCTATGATCTGATGATCAGTGACGTTGAAGCAATTTGTGTGCAAGTTTACTTGCCTCACTTGAAACCAATCATGGTATGCTGTTTCTACCGACCTCTGAGTGCTGATGCTCTGTATTTTGAAAGGCTGTGTGAAATGTTTGACAGTATTTCAGACACAAATAGCGAAATCTATATACTAGGTGACATGACTTTGGATTGGTTGGGTCTATCTTGCACAAACAAAAATAAGTTACTTTCTCTATTGAATGCTTGTAACCCGCATCAAATTGTCACTACTCCCACCAGAATAAGAAGCAGTGATGGTGTTGTTTCAGCAACATGCATCGATCATATTTACACTAATGTTCCAGATAAATGTTCCAATGTGGTCTCTGTCCTTGCAGGTTTCAGTGACCATAATATAATAGCAGTCACCAGACAGACAAAGTTACCTAAACCCGGAGCAAAAATTATTCTCACACGCTCCTATAAAAAATTCAGTAGGGAATGTTTTACTAATGACATGGCGAGTTTAAATTGGAATGATGATTGCAGTGAAAATGAGCCTGTGACTGCACTGGATTTATTTATGTCGATGTTTATGAGGGTTGTAGACAAACACGCTCCCTTAAAAAAGTTCACAGTCAAAAACAGATCTGCTCCATGGATTGATGATAAACTTAAGTGTTTGATGACTGAAAGAGATATTGCAAAAAAAGCTTCAGTTATTTCTGGATCATCTGAGGACTGGTATAAATATTGTTCCCTACGCAATAAGGTCACAAAGTCAAACAAAGTGAAAAAGAGGAACTACTACAAACAGAAGTTATATGATGCTAGATTTGACGGTAAACGATTATGGAAAGTTCTAAATGACATTATGGGTCGAACAGCTAACTTCTCTTCACCTATTGTAGAATCAAATGGTTTAGTACTTACTAGACCATGTGACATTGCAAATCATTTTAATGACTTTGTTGTGAATAAAGTATCAAAATTAAGGGGGGGCATGCACTGTGCTAAAAAATTTTCAACTGATCTTATAAAGAACATCATAATGAAAGACAAAGATTGTATCTTTGAATTTCATCAGGTTGAAATTGGTGGTCCTTTATCTAAGGACACGAAATCTGTTTTTAACGAGGTCAACTCCAGGCCTATAAGCATTCTTCCTGTATTAAGTAAAATAATGGAAAAGGTTGTGTTTGTACAATGTCAGGCTTACTTCGAATCACACAAGCTAATGACAAAATGCCAGCACGCATATAGAACTGGCCACTCCACTTCTACGGCTCTAATTCAAATGACTGATGACTGGCTGGAGGCCATAGATAACTGTACTGGTGGGAGCTGTGTTTTTAGATTTCAGCGCTGCTTTTGATGTGCTCGACCACTCTCTTCTACTTGCTAAACTTGAATTTTATGGTTTTGGTTCTTCTGCTCTTATGTGGATGCAAAGTTATTTATCATTCAGATCACAGCAGGTTTACCTGAATGGCAGCCTCTCCCGTAGCAGAGGCCTTGAATGTGGTGTTCCACAAGGAAGTTGTCTGGGACCACTGCTTTTTACGATATTTATAAATGACCTATGTTGGACTACTGAGCTTGCCAAATTAGTACTCTATGCTGATGATTCTACCCTCTACTATTCTGCTCCTTCCCAAAAGGAACTTAATGATATCTTGACCAAAGAGCTAAATGTTGTACATGATTGGATACTATCTAACAGACTTGTTCTTAACATTTCTAAAACTAAGTGCATGGTGTTGGGCTCAAGGCACAGGCTGTCTAACAATCTAAAACTTGATTTACAGCTATGCAATTCAAAAATTCAACAAGTTGACTGTGCAAAACTTCTCGGTGTGATAATAGATAGCAGTATGTCTTGGTCCAAACACATAAATCTTATTGTTTCAAAAATGGGTAGAGCAGTGGGTATATGCAGAAAAAGTGCTTCTTTCATTGATCGTCCACTCTTACGTCAGATTGTTCAGAGTTTAATTTTATGTCATCTTGATTACTGCTCTATGGTTTGGTCATCTGCCACTAGAGGCGAGCTGAAAAAACTCCAGATTGTCTCTCTCTCTCTCTCTCTCTCTCTCTCTCTCTCTCTCTGGATGTTTTTTACTGTATTTTGTTTGCCAGATTGAGTTTCTGGTTTTTAACCCTTTGAATTTACGACATATATTGACTGTATAATTTTTATTGTGATATTGTATTTTGTACACGGTTTGAACTTGCTCATGTTATGAGGAACCCAGGAAGACTAGCTGATTGCTATGGCTTCAGCTAATGGGTATCCTTAACAAACAAATAAACAAATAAATAAACAAATAAAATATAGAATTGGGAAACATTCTTCTGGTAAATGGGAGCATTGTGATAAAAAAGAGACAGTAGAAAATGTGATTTTGTATTGTCAGAACTATAAGTGTGAAAGAAGAATTCTGGGAGAGAAACTTAGAGAAACTGAAATGAATTTGGATATACAAGACATTTTAAGGAAAAACTCAATAGATGGATGTTATAGATTCTTGTTCCATTGTCTAAGAAGTACCTCAACGATTAAAATAATTTGAAGATGCTGTGAATTTATTCATTCATTCACTTGTTTTATTTATTTTTGGTACAGTGTAGTGCTCTCATACAGTCTATGCTCCTGATTCACACTCCATACTAGTGGGTGGCGGTAATGCACCTATTTGTTGTTTGCCAACCGCCACAAAAAAAAAGAAGAAGGAGGAGGAACGGCACAGTCAGGAAACGAAGAAGAAGAAGAAGCGGCAGCGCAGCCCTCAGAAACACTTGTGGTTATGTGTACATCTGTCTTTATTTGAAAATGTGAGGGTTTTTTTCTTGTTTTATGCCACGAGGTTATCAGCTTTCATTCGTTGTAGCGATATGGCCAGTGCCAGTACTTTAACGTTATAAGATCATGATGAACTTCTGTCGTGGTGTCTACAGCTTAAAGTAAGCTCTGTGGTGATGTTGCTAACATGCTAACTTTAAGAAACTGTTTATATATGTATGCGATGTTGGTATGGTTTTCCAGTTTTTGTTCAAATTATCTTTTTTCAGAAGGAACATCTTAAGTTAACATTCATCTAATATTAATGCTTTTAAGCTTTTTCATTCATCATTTTTAAGACAAAAATAAATGGATGTATGATGAAATATCGCACAATGATAAGTATAAAGCTGTAAACAGTAAAAAGAGAATATTCTCTCAAATAGATGTTCGTACTTTTGACATGCTAAGTGTATTGAAGTGTTAAAACTTCCAATTTTACCCAGAGGAAGTCCAGTGATTAAATACATTTTGCACCCCATGCTGGTTTTGAAGAAATTAAGTTGAATATGACCACATTATCAACTAACCTCTGCAAGACTGTCTTTGTTTTATCAGCTAAAAGCTGCTCATGATGGCCACAGAGCCTGCCAGCCTCGAAAGCCTGCAAGTGCTACACCACAGCAGTGACTACATAGTAGTGGACAAACACTGGGACATCCGGATAGACAGCAAGATGTGGTATGAGAAACTTACTGTGCAGGAGCAGCTACGCCATAGTTTCCCTGAGCTGGCAGACCCCAGCACCTACTTCGGCTTCAGGTCAGACTCATAGCAGTCATTTAATTAGATTTACTCACTTTCAGCCTGCTTAAAATGATAAATTGATTACATCTGAGTGTATACAGAGCTGTAAAAGAAATCCCCCATAAAAAAATAGCCTCATATTTTTTCTTTTCCTACAACAGTGCTGAAGCTCTTGTGTTTTCAAAGCACTTTCTGAACTTCTGTTTTCAAAAGCGCAATACAACTTAAGTTATTATTATTGTTATTATAATTATTATCTTTATTGTTGTTATCAGTCATATGTCGTTGTTATTATTATTTTTATTATCATTATTATAACAGGTTCTGTCATCAGTTGGATTTCTCTACAAGCGGGGCTCTTTGTGTTGCTCTGAATAAGGCTGCTGCTGGCCAGGCATACCACTGCTTTAAGGACCGTACTGTCACAAAAGCCTACCTTTCCCTGGTATGGAACACAAACACACTGTCAGATAAGAGAACTACTACACTTGGTGCAACCATCTCACAGTGAGTTTAATATTTTTTCTGATATGTGTCTAGGACAGAAACTTAAATCCAGTTTTTACCCTTTTCGCAGGTACGTGGCTGGGTCAAAGAAGAAACACAAACTTTGGACTTCTCCATAGGCAAGAATTCCTCAGAGGGAAAAACACACATGATGTGTATTGAGGGAACAGAAGGTACCCGAGATCAGGTTACGTTTTTCCCAAAGCTAAAAACCAAGACAATTGTATGATTGATATTGATTTTAAGTTAGTTTTGGATGCCTGGTGATGCTGTCTTGAATTTTGCAACCACCACTGGTCTTCTTATTTTTTATACCTGCTGTCCTGTCTGTAGTTTGATGTTCTTGAACACAATGTAGAATTTATAACATCTTTTTTTTTTTCATGTTAGGCTGTGAGAACCCAAAGCCTTCCCAAACTGAGCTGACAGTGTTAGAGTATGGGTTATATGATGGGGACCCTGTAACCAAGGTGCTACTACAGCCACTCACAGGTAACAACAGGCATGTGTTTTTGTTTATCAGATGGAAGTGGAAAATTCAGTCTCTTTACTTTATAAGGAAACATATTTTAACTGGATGATAGTAAAAGATGCTGAAACATACATTTTCAAGTGAAGATGTGTAAGTGAAAGAATAATTTCTAATAGTGTTTATAGGTTTATTAAAACATTCTGAACAGGGCCATCTTCCTGAATTACGTTTTCCTCATTAAAGATTTTTTTTTTATTTGATCTGTTCACTAAGATGCTTTTTATTCTAAATGAATATTGAACTTGTTTCTTTCAAGATTGATCATCTGCACTTTTCCTTTCAGGTCGAACCCACCAGTTACGGGTCCACTGCAGCGCCATTGGCCACCCCATCGTTGGGGACTTCACCTACAGCTCAGGGGCAGATGTCACCCCCTATCGCATGATGCTGCATGCTCATCTCCTCCACATTCCCCTTGAACCTCAGCCCCTGCTTGTTTTTGCCGGAGACCCCTTTCTCACTACTGTGGATCCCAAGTGGCTCCCACAGCGCCCATTCCGGACACTGTCAGGCACTGTAGAGATGTTGCTGGAGCGAAGAGCGGAGGACAACAGGAAGAAAAAAGAGGAGGAGAGAGAGATGGTGAGAACAGTGGAGCAGAGGAGGAAAGGAAGCAGGCAACATAGGACTGAGGAGGAGAGTGAGGAACAAAGAACACTTTGCCGAGAGTGGCTGAGTGAATGGGCTGGAGACTGATGGACTTTTTAGTGTTATTTATATTTAATTATAGATTGGATGTTTTCTTAAGCATGCTTTATCTCTGTGACCATGAAACACCTGAATTGAGGGTGTCCAACAGGTGATGGGCATTTTTTAGCGGAAAGAAACAGAAAAAGAAAGTCCTCATACAAATCCTTACTAATTTTGCAGTGAACAGTTATTCCACCATCAGTATGAACTTTCAAACCATGTTCAAAAAATTGATATAGATCGTAATGTACTGAACAAATGACTAAAAACTACAACACATTGTTGCAGTATTTAACCAACTGTTAATTTTGCAAACATGAATGACGCTGTTATGTCCACACAACTCCTGTTGCATGGTGCTACAAAATAAATACAGTACATAATAAATACTTGTCAAGTTTTTTTATCCATACAGTGGATATAAGAAGTCTACACACCCCTGTTCAACTGACAGGTTTTTGTCATATAAAAAATTAAATCAAGATAAATAATTTCACAACTTCTTACCCATTTAATTTGACCTATAACCTGTACAACACAATTGAAAAACACACCAAAATCTTTCAGGGAGGTGAAGTAAAAGTAAACAACAGATTGTGGTTGCATAAGTGTGCACACCCTTTAATAACTGGGGATGTGGCTGTGGCTGATTTAACCAATATTCAAACTCAGGTTAAATTGGAGTCAGCACACACCTGTCACCAATTCAAGTGCCTCTGATCAACTCTAAATAAAGTTCAGCTGTTCTAGTAGGCTTTTCCTGACATTTTTGTAGCCACATCTTTCAGCACAAGCCATGGTCCGCAGAGAGCTTCCAAAGCATCAGAGGGATCTCATTATTCAAAGATATCAGTCAGGTGAGGGCTACAAAAAAATTTCCAAGGAATTAATTGGAACACAGTAAAGACCGTCATCATCAAGTGGAGAAAATATGACACAATGTGACATTACCAAGAACAGGACATCTGTCCAAAATTGATGATAAGACAAGAAGAAAACTGGTCAGAGAGGCTACCAAGAGGCCGACAGCAACACTGAAGGAGCTGCAGGAATTTCTGGCAAGTATTGGCTGTGTAGTACATGTGACAACAATCTCCCGCTGTCTTCATATGTCTGGGCTATGGGGTAGGGTGGCAAGATGGAAGCCTTATCTTACAAAGAAAAACATCAAAGCCCGGCTTAATTTTGCCAAAAGAAAATCTGAAATCTCCCAAATGGTCTGATGAATCCAAAGTTGAACTTTAAAGGCATCATTGCAAAAGGTATATTTGGCGCAAAATCAACACTGCTCATCACCGAAAGAACACCATACCTACAATGAAGCATGGTTGTGGCAGCATCATGCTTTGGGGCTGTTTTTCTTCAGCTGGAACTGGTGCCTTAATCAGGGTGGAGGGAATTATGAACAGTTCCAAATACCAGTCAGTGTTGGCACAAAACCTTCGGCCTTCTGCTAGAAAGATGAAGATGAAGAGGAACTTCATCTTGCAGCACGACAATGACCCAAAGCACACATCTAAATCAACAAAAGAATGGCTTTACCGGAATAAGATTGAGACTTTGGAATGGCTCAGCTAGAGGCCAGACCTAAATCCCATCGTACATTTGTGGGGTGATCTGAAGAGGGCTGTGCACAGGAGATGCCCTCGCAATCTGCCAGATTTGGAGCAGTTCTGCAAAGAAGAGTGGGCAAATATTGCCACATCAAGATGTGCCACGCTGATAGACTCCTACCCAAAAAGACTGAGTGCTGTAATGAAAGCCAGAGGGGCTGCAACAAAGTATTAGTTTAAGGGTGTGCATATTTATGCAACCAGGTTATTATAACTTTTCTATTTTTTATTTTCCCCTTAAAGGTTTCAGTTTGTTTTTCAATTGCATTGTACAGGTTATAGGTCACATTAAAGGTGGAAAAAGTTGTGAAGATATTTATCTTGCTGTCATTTTCTTACATCACGAAAACATGGCAGTTGAACAGGGGTGTGTAGACTTTTTACATCCACTGTATATGCTTCACTAAAAGAACATATTTCCCTAGTAACACACTTGTGTGACATGCCTGTAGCTGATATTGAATGGAATTACTGCCGGAAAATACAGAGAAGAGAGGAGGATAGTATCTGAATCAGCTTTATTGGCCGAGTACTGTATGTGTACGCATACGAGGAATTTGACTCCAGTAAACCGGTAAGAGAAACCTAACTGTTTAAGCCCTATAGTCCTTGTCCTTTTGCTTGATAGATAGATAGATAGATAGATAGATAGATAGATAGATAGATAGATAGATAGATAGATAGATAGATAGATAGTTAGTTAGTTATCTGGTCAAGTCGTGTGTGTGTGTGTGTGTGTGTGTGTGTGTGTGTGTGTGTGTGTGTGTGTGTGTGTGACTTTCTTCAATGACTTGACCAAATAACAATAATCATGGGAACTAAAAGTACATTTTTACACAAAATATATTGGTCACCCACAGTACTGTTCATAAGACAAACTACAAGTGAATACAATAAAACTCAGGAAAAGGAAAAAAAAAAATAGGCTTAGTATGTGTGCACATACAAGAAAATTGGAAAGTCTACTGGTGTCAATTTCCTTGTACAGGACTGTCTCAGAAAATTAGAATATTGTGATAAAGCTCTTTATTTTCTGTCATGCAATTAAAAAAACAAAAATGTCATACATTCTGGATTCATTACACATCAACTGAAATATTGGAGGCCTTTTATTATTTAAATATTGCTGATTATGGCATACAGCTTAAGAAAACTCAAAAATCCTATCTCAAAAAATTAGAATATTTCCTCAGACCAAGTAAAAGAAAAAGATTTATAAGAGCAAAACAAAATCGAACATTTGAAAATGTCAATTAATACACTCAGTACTTGGTTGGGAATCCTTTTGCACGGATTACTGCATCAATGCGGCATGGCATGGAGGCAATCAGCCTGTGGCATTGCTGAGGTGTTATGGATGCCCAGGATGCTTCAATAGTGGCCTTGAGCTCATTTGCATTGTTGGGTCTGGTGTCTTTCAGCTTCTTCTTCACAATACCCCACAAATTCTCTATGGGGTTCAGGTCAGGGGAGTTGGCAGGCCAATCAAGGACAGTAATGCCATGGTCAGTACACCAGTTAGTGGTGGTTTTGGCACTGTGGGCAGGTGCCAGATCATGCTGGAAAATGAAATCATCATCTCCATAGAGCTTTTCAGCAGACGGAAGCATGTAGTGCTCTAAAATCTCTTGGTACACAGCTGCATTGACTCTGGACTTGATGAAACACAGTGGACCAACACCAGCTGCTGACATGGCTCCCCAAACCATCACTGACTGTGGGAACTTCACACTGGATTTCAAGCAACTTGGATTTTGCTCCTCTCCAGCCTTCCTCCAGACTCTGGCGCCTTGACTTCCAAATGAAATACAAAACTTTCATCTGAAAAGAGGACTTTGGACCACTCTGCAACTGTCCAGTGCTTCTTTTCCATAACCCAAGTCAGACGCTTCTTCCGTTGTCTTGAGTTCAGGAGTGGCTTGACCATGGGAATACGGCTATTGTAGCCCATTTCCCGAACACGTCTGTGAACAGTGGCTTTTGATACCTGGACTCCAGCTTCAGTCCACTGTCTTTGAAGCTCCCCCAAATTCTGGAAGCTGCTCTTCTTCACAATGCTGTTAAGGCTGCGGTCCTCTCTCTTGGTTGTGCAGCGTTTCCTGCCACATTTCCCCCTTCCAACAGACTTTGTGTGAATGTGCTTTGAAACTGCACTCTGTGAACAGCCTGCTCTTTTAGAAATTTCTTTTTGTGTCTTACCCTCCTGATGGAGGGTGTCAATGATGGTCCTCTGGACAGCAGTCAGGTCAGCAGTCTTCCCCATACTTGTGATTTAGTTTACTGAACCAAGCTGAGTGTTTTTAAAGGCTCAGGAAACCCTTGCAGGTGTTTCAAGTTAATTAGGCGACTCAAGTGATTAGTTAAATAGCCTATTAGTATACTTTTTCATGATATTCTAATTTTTTGAGATAGGATATTTGAGTTTTCTTAAGCTGTATGCCATAATCAGCAATATTAAAAAAATTAAAAGGTTTGCAATATTTCAGTTGATGTGTAATGAATCCAGAATGTATGACATTTTCATGTTTTTAGTTGCATTACAGAAAATAAAGGACTTTATCACAATATTCTAATTTTCTGAGACAGTCCTGTATACGTACACATACCTAGCCAGTGAAGATGATTCTGAAGGTGGAACTGAATACCCAGGACTCATCAAAAAGGGGGCCCTTGAAAGGCCTGAGATGCAAATTGAGTTTGTATCCATTATTTATAAATGAAACAACTTTGGAAATATAGTTTGAATAAATAAATATAATTAAGGACTCTGCCTGGAAAACAATGGAGTCTCCAAGGCCCCTCGCACTACACTTCATCTGCAGATAGTTTCTTTTGCCCTGCATTAGGACTCATATAACTTAATCCTCCATTTTGGCTGAAGTAAAATGAGCCAAATTAATGATGCTGGAGCACCATGTCTTCTTCTGAAAGTAATTGATTAATTACATGAATGAATGAATAAAATCAGAATATATTGAGAAGGAGAATAAAACCACAGACAGTGCAGTCCGGTGAATAGGCTTTAAACTATTTTTTTCTGAAAGAAAAGGGAGAGAAAACTGCACATTAAGTCTGAGTGTGCTGTTTAATTACCAAGTGTCAAAAGCCATACGTATATTTTTAGTCCGGAATTCCAGGTGATGTTCCTTATTGAACTCTGGCTCACTAAGTCACAAATAGTGGCGATGTCTAATGAAAAAAAAAAAAAATATATATATATATATATATATATATATATATATATATATATATATATATATATATATCATAACGTTGTCGCTGCCAAAGTTTGGTAAGAACTACATTACCCACAGCGCACCACATTACTGTCATAGAACCATAGATTCTATATACAGTCTATGCATAGAACCTATGGCATAGAGATAAACAGTAGATACGACATGCCCTTTGAGCTGCGTGCCTACGTGGCAGCCATTTTAGCAGGGGCAACGTTCCCATAAAGACATATTAGATGTACATGGGAAATAGATAATGTCTTGCTCATTTCACAACCGATTTTCATGCGGTTTACTTTTTGTTAACGCCAAATCATGTGCTATTCATAAGGGGCAAATTGATTTAAAAAGCTTAAAAAATAAAGAAATAATAAATATTCTGTGTTGATGGCACATTTTTTCACGTTGAAGAACTAGCAACCATGCCCGTACATAGACTGTATATACTTCTTTATGCATATTCTTTATACAGTCTGTGCCCGTATTTTGCGCACCACATGGTTGTAAGAAAAGAACCGACGCAGAATTGGGGGGGGGACGCGCATGGGGGACCTACCTACCCAAGATGGCTGCCGGCTAGTTAAACCTATCCACCACAAGGAAGTGAAGCATTAAAAACTGGGTATATAAGAGTGAGCAAAACAAAACTTATCCAGTCTGTCTTAGAAACCTCGGTTCGACAACATCCTCAATCAGCATTCTACGAGGGAGAAAAAGGTTCACTCTGTAAAACAAGTTAATAACTGTTCAAAATGAGCGACGCTGTTTTCTCCTATGAGAGTTTGGTTCACGCTTTGTCTGGAGCAATGGTGGGTTATCATCACTTTCACTATTTAACGCAGTTACTGACCGTGTAATGGCAATATTTATCGGAAAGTTCGAAGTTTATTCGCTATGAATCGCACACAGAAAGCTTCATTCATTATTTCACTTCACCTGATGTGTTAGAGCGACACGATTTTTTATACATCTTAACAAGACTTTCCTGCAGTAATCACTACAAAACAAGCTGTTATCACTGCCGAATTGATGTCTGCAATCAAGTTATTAAAAAAAAAAAGTCTGTCTGGCTGTTGTATTTTTCCCATGAGTTGCATGCTTGTTTGTCTTTTAATTATCAAAGTTTTCATTGGTGTTCCGTCTTGGGTTTGTGTCGTAGCATTGTACTGATTGCAGCCTTGTTTTAGGGAAGTGTGACTGCTATGACAGTGTTCTTCCCTCTTGATACTGCAAGGCTCAGGCTTCAAGGTAAGAAAACACGATGATGCAGCAATATTAGGCATTTTAAAATGTATTACAATGTAAAACAGTGCGCTACATTTGGCTTGTTGTGTTGTGTTTGTGATTAGTGGATGAAAATAGGAAGGCCAAATCAACTCCCGCCATCCTGACAGAAATCATCAAAGAAGAAGGACTGTGAGTGAAAAATGTGAAGAGACAAGACTTGATATGATATCTTGTCAGCGTTTTTGAATCACATGCATAATGGATCAAGTTTTTTACCCTCATAAAGCATGTCATGCAAACAATGAATTCCACAGTTTTGCTTGAACGTAATTTTGCAACATACTGAATTATCATGGTGACTCATACAGTTTCACTTTCAGTCCTGGCTACAGTTTTACAGAGAAAGATACTCTAAGATATGTTTCTCTTCCTTCAGATTGGCCCCGTATAGAGGTTGGTTCCCAGTCATCTGCAGCCTGTGCTGCTCCAACTTTGTCTATTTTTACTGCTTCCACAGTCTTAAAGCTGCCTGGCTGAAAGGGAAACAATCAGCACCCACCTCAGATTTACTCATAGGCATTGCTGCAGGTAAGAGAGTCCAGATCACAAGAGCTCTATTTATTAGAAGGACATATTTTTCACACTTTCATTCATATTTGTTAACCCTGCATGACTGTTGATAGATGTAGACATAACCCACAGATTTTGTCATGGTTTTGGTCTGATTTCTAGGTGTAATAAATGTATTGGTTACCACTCCTTTGTGGGTGGTCAACACCAGGCTGAAGCTCCAAGGGTCCAAGTTTCGCAATGCTGAAATTCGTCCCACTAACTACTCTGGCATTCTGGGTAAACGGTGATAGTGTAATCTGATTGTACAGTGCATTCAGAAAGTATTTATACCACTTCACTTTTTCCAATTTTTTTTATGTTACAGCCTTATTCCAAAATGGATTAAATTCCCTTTTTCCCTCTAAAATTCTACACAAAATACCCCATAATGACAAAGCGAAAAACTTTTTTTAGATCATTTTGCAAATTTATTAAAAATAAGAACACTCAAATGTTGCATATACATATGTATTCACACCCTTTACTCAATACTTGGTCGAAGCACCTTTGGCAGCGATTACAGCCTCCAGTCTTCTTGTGTATGATGCAACAAGCTTGGCACACCTGGATTTGGGGAGTTTTTCCCATTCTTCCTTGCACATCCTCTCAAGCTCAGTGAGGTTGGATGGGCAGCAGCGGTGCACAGCTACTTTCAGGTCTTTCCAAAGATGTTCAATTGGGTTCAGGTTTGGGCTCTGGCTGGGCCACTCAAGGACATTGAGAGACTTGTCCTGAAGCCATTCCTTTGTCTTCATGGCTGTGTGCTTAGGGTCATTGTCATGCTGGAAGATGAAGCGTCGCCCCAGTCAAAGGTCTTGAGCGCTCTGGAGCAGGTCTGTGAGTCCTTCAGGTGCCTTTTAACAAAGTCTAAGCGGGCTGTGCTTTTTACTGAGGAGTGGCTTCTGTCTGGCCACTCTACCATAAATGCCTGACTGGTGGAGTGCTGCAGAGATGGTGGTCCTTCTGTAGGGTTCTCCCATCTCCGCAGAGGAACGCTGGAGCTCTGTCAGAGTGACCATTGGGTTCTTGGTCACCTCCCTGACCAAGGCCCTTCTCCCCCGCTTGCTCATTTTGGCTGGGTGGCCAGCTCTAGGAAGAGTCCTGGTGGTTCCAAACGTCTTCCATTTCTTAATGATGGAAACCACTGTGCTTTTTGGGATCTTCAATGCAGCAGATATTTTTCTGTAACCTTCCCCAGATCTGTGCACCGATACAACCCTGTTTTGGAGGTCTACAGACAATTCTTTCGACTTCATGGCTTGGTTTGTGCTCTGACGTGCTCTATCAGCTGTGGGATCTTATATAGACAGGTGTGGCTTTCCAAATCATGTCCAATCAGCTGAATTTGCCACAAGTGGACTGCAATCAAGTTGGAGGAACATTTCAAGGCTGATCAGTGGAAACAAGATGCACCTGAGCTCAATTTTGAGTTTTATAGCAAAGGGTGTGAATACTTATGTATATGCAACATTTGAATGTCTTATTTTTAATAAATTTGCTAAATGTTCTAAGTAAAGTTTTTCGCTTTGTCATTACGGGGTATTTTGGGTAGAATTTTTGAGAGAAAAAAGGAATTTAATCCATTTTGGAATAAGGCTGTAACATAACAAAATGTGGAAAAAGTGAAGTGGTATGAATACATCTATATCTAGCCTTTTCTTTGGGTTATTTCTGTTTTATTTTTTGCAGATGCATTCATGCAGATCATCCATGATGAGGGTGTAGGGGCATTGTGGAACGGGACCTTCCCATCTCTTCTGCTGGTGCTGAACCCGGGCATACAGTTTATGATTTATGAAGGCCTGAAGAGGCAGCTGAGGAGAGGGGTTCCCAGGGAGGTGAGTGGGGTGAAAGAGGTAAAAGTGTTCACAAAACTCAGAGATAAAAGTAGGATGACTAATATAAGTTATAATACTCTTTTATAATGTATTACATAGTTTGTCACAGTTTTCAAATACCCGAAATTCAGTATAATGTAGTTATTGCTAGCTTGGCTAACGCTTAGGACAATCAGTCTTAGTTGAGAGTCTCAAAAGTTGACAAACAACAGGATATCGACATCGTGAACAAAGTTTTTTTCCACTTATCCGGGTCCGGATAAGCCCAGACAGCCCTTACCCCAGCCACTTCCACCAGCTCCTCAGGGGAGATTCCCAGGCGCTCCCAGGCCAGGCGCGAGATATAATCCCTTCACCTGGTCCTGGGCTGGCCACGAGATCTCCTTCCAGTGGGACATGTCCGGAACACCTCTAGCAGGAGGTGTCCAGAAGGGGTCCTAACCAGATGCCCGAGCCACCTCAGCTGACTCCTCTCGACGTGGAGGAGCAGTGGTTCTACTCTGAGTGCCTCCCGAGTGTCCGAGCTCCTTACCCTATCGCTAAGGCTGAGCCCAGCCACCCTGTGAAGGAAACCCATTTCTGCCACATGTATCTGCAATCACGTTCTTTTGGTCATTACCCAAAGAGCATGACCATAAGTGAGGGTCGGCAAGTAGATCGACCAGTAAATCGAGAGGCTCACCTTACGGCTCAGCTCTTCTTCTCCAAGACGGATCGGTTAATCGTCCGCATCACTGCTGACGCTGCTCCGATCCGCCTGCCAATCTCCCGCTCCATCCTACCCTCATTCGTGGACAAGATCCCGAGATACTTGAACTCCTCCACTTGAGGCAAGACTTCCCCTCCGACCTGGAGAAGGCAATCTACCTTTTTCCAACTGAGGACCATGGCCTTGGAGGTGCTTATTTGCATCCCAGCTGTTTCACACTCGGCTGCAAACCGCCCCAGCAGCAGCTGAAGATCATTGCAAGACGAAGCTAGAAGAACCACATCATCCGCAAAAAGCAGCAACGCGATCCTCTGCCTGCTGAACTGGACACGCTCCACCCCCTGGCTGTGCCTAGAAATTATGTCCTTAAAGGTAATGAACAGAACCAGTGACAAAGGGCAGCCCTGACGGAGTCCAACTCTCACTGGAAACAAGTCTGACTTATAACCAGCTACATGGACCAAGGTCGTGCTCCTTTGGTGAAGGGATTGGACAGCCCTTAGTAAGGAACCATCCACCCCGTACTCCCGGAGCACCACCCACAGGATTCCTTTAGGGACACAGTCGTAGGCCTTCTCCAAGGCCTATACCGGGCTCTTGAAAATCTGCGTATATTGTCTGCTCTTCTCGGTGGTCACTTGCTGAGCGGCGACGCCTGGTCAATCCGGACCGAGCTCTTCCAGCTTTAGTTAGCCCTGCAGAGTTCTCCTCTCATACGGCACCTACTTGATGGACAGCGTAGCATTCTCCGGTAAATTGCTCAGTAGGGGTTTTGCGGTAGGCATTCCCACGTCCTCTGTTATTAGCAGCCAAGTGCAGAGTGAGGGGCGGACTGGCTCCAAGTAGAGCAGCTAGCTACGTCAGACGCACATTGTAATTATGCGTCTGTTTGTGGCCAATCTGGTTATGAACGTGCTTATGTCATTCAAATTAGAATGCTGGGGCGCTCGTCCCAGGCGCCCCTTAAGGATTTTTTTATGTGGCTAGGATAAGCTAACTTTTTAATGCAGAACTGTGATCTGAGCATGCGCGAGGGAGCAGAAAGCTTGGGCGCTGGCCTGTGGCACCCCTAACGCTAATGCACAACTGTGATCTGAGCATGCGTGAGACAAGAGGAGTTCCGAGTCCGCCCCGGCGCTGAGTGGAGAGATCGCTAACGGACTGAAATAGACAGTTAATGGAATGATTAATATAATAGTGCCATTTCCTTACTTTGAGAATAATTTTCAGGGAGACAGCAGACATCTCTTTCTGCTCATGCAACTCAGGTGGGTCTCCGCCCGCAGCGCCCTTATATACTGGCCGCCACTGTTCCCTATATATTTTTACTAGAAGGTGGGTCAGTGGCTAATAAATGATAAAAACTAATATTAGTACTTTTGTGTAATACAGAGAGTAATCGCATAAAGAAGCGTGCTTGTTTTTTTCTTTCACAGTACCCCATCATCTGGTCACACATGATATGCAGAGACTTCAGTGACTCTGATCACATGAATGTTAAGTGAGTTGTACCCTGAACATGTGCCCAATATCATTGTAAAAATTTTCTCCATCTTTTTTTTCTGTAGCTTTCATCTTTGGAGGTCTTCATCATTGGGGCGGTTGCCAAAGCTGTTGCCACCACAGTTACATACCCACTACAGACCATACAGTCTATTCTGAGGGTAGGTTTCATGTCCACAGTTTGTCTTTCCCTCTTAGACTTTGTTTGTGTATGTACTTACATGCTTAAAGATTGATTTTGTTTATTCTCCTGATAGAGATTTTCCTTTTTTTAAATTTAAGTATGTTTTACAAGCCATATATGAAAGTATACCACATTTGCTGTAACAGTCCCTCACTTTTAAAAATCCTTACAGTTTGGTCAATTCAATGAGTCACAAGAAAGGTCCAGACTGCTGTCCAGTCTGCGGACCATCAAGTGTCTGTTGGCCAACAGAGTGAGGTGAGTGCACACACAAGCAAAGGATTTATTTATTTATTTATCTAGTTAGTTATTTTGAGTGAGTTTATTTAAATGTAGAAAGAAGATTTTTTTAGTAGAGTTTTAAAGCGCATATGTAGCTATTAAAAATGATCATGGATAAAATGAAATGGTGTCAGAGTTAATGGCAACAGAAATGTGATCTTCTTTTTGTAAATTCATATAAAGAAAATAGCCAGTTATTCTCACTGTCAGACTGTCGTTCAGTCACCTTAACTCATTCAGTGCCAGGTTCATTTATGCAATTTTGTGTTTAGTTATTGCCTGGTCAATGCAGCGTAGTCGTCATCTTTGCCGATCTGGAAAAATAAACCTCGGAAAAACACATTTTTACAAAGGAGAGACTTTCAAGTAGAACTCTGATCATCTATTTCATTTCACTTCAAACTACTTTACTGGTGGCATCAAGGTCCTCCCTCTTCGGACACCACTCCTCATCACTCTCGAGATCTGATTGTCATAGGTTACTTTGTGACAGCTGGGAGTCGTATTGGCTGTCGAGAACCTGATGCCGCAACATAAACCACACGGACTGCTCGCATTCTCCTCGCTGGGACTGTTGCTAAATTCCAGCTCAGTCTCGCTCACTAGTACCGACACCGGCAGGACAATGACACACGTAAAATTGTCTCTTTGATTCTTTGATTCTGGATCCAGAGACAGTAGCATCGGCGCCCACTAGAACCGATGCACTGAGACCGTTTGCTCCTGGCTAATGACTTCGGCATTTTTCTACTCTCCTCATAGAGAAAAAACACTCCACAACTAGGCTAATGGGCACACTTGATGGCACACTTCTCACTGGCGAGAACTCGGTTTTTGATATTGTAACATGGTTATGACATATTTGTCGGCTTTTCTGTGTAGAGAACAACCCCAAACTTAGTTGCATGTTGGGGAGGAGCACCCTCTGGCGGAAAACAAAAAAATTAAAAATCCGTCAAAATCTGTCAATGGCAGTCAGGGCAAATAAAAAAAATCCATCCAAATTTATCATTGGCACTGAATAAGTTAAAAAAGAATAGTCCGTAACCGAGACAACGCATCGCCCTTATATCAGAAACTCCCGACAAATTAGGTAGATAAGCATACGAGGGCTGCATCTAACAATTATTGTCATAATCGATTTTTCGATTAATTGATAATTCATAGACAAAAACATTTTTAATTTCCTTCTCTTTATTTCAAAAAGGAACATCTGAATTGGCAGAGCAAATGAGTGCACAAAAACAGGTTGCTCCTTGAATGTTCTGTTACAATAATATGAAACAATGATAATGATAATAATAATGATAATAAACATAATACTCATAATTTTTAAAATAAATATATTTGTAAAATAGCTTTCAGTCAAGACAGCTGGTTGCTGTAGTGTGCATGATGTCTTTCCCACCATGAAGCCCGTCATTGTTGGCTGTTCTTGTCTGGAATAGAATAGAATAGAATAGAATAGAATAGAATATTCCTTTATTGATCCCCCATGGGGGAAATTTTTTTGTCACAGCAGCATCACAGACAAAGAGTGCAAAAATGCAGTTATAAAAATAAAGATCCTAATATTAAGAACTTAAATAAATGTAATAATTAAGAAAAAATGTAGAAAAAAGAAAAAGGGAGAAGAAAAATAAAACTATCTACAATATACACAATTTACACATACACAAAAAGTGGTGGTGTGTGTCCAGCTATTATTACAGTTCGTTGTAAAGTCTTATTGCAGAGGGGAGGAATGACCTGCAGTAGCGCTCCGTCTTGCAAAGTGGAAGTCTCAGTCTGCTGCTGAAGGAGCTGCTTAAAGCCCCCACAGTCTGGTGCAGTGGGTGAGAGGGATTGTCCATGATGGATACAAGCTTTGCTAACATCCTCCTCTCACCCACCTCCTCCAGGGAGTCCAAAGAACAGTCCAGGACAGAACTGGCCCTCCTGACCAGTCTATTCAGTCTCTTCCTGTCCCTCTCAGTGCTCCCTGCCCCCCAGCAGACCACTGCATAGAAAAGTGCAGATGCTACCACAGAGTCATAGAAAGTCCTGAGCAGAGTTCTGCACACTCCAAAAGACCTCAGTCTCCTCAGCAGATAGAGATGACTTTGGCCCTTCTTGTACAGTACGTCTGTGTTGGTTGACCAGTCCAGTTTATTGATGAGGTGGACACCCAGGAATCTGTAGGACTCCACCATCTTGATGTCCAGACCCTGGATGTTCACTGGAACAGTCTGAGGTGTCCTCCTCCTGCGGAAATCCACAACCATCTCCTTTGTCTTACTGGCATTGAGCTGGAGGTGGTTTGTGCCACACCAGTTTACAAAGACAGTGATGACAGTCCTGTATTCCCGCTCATCCCCTGACAATATACATCCGACGATGGCTGTCATCAGAGAACTTCTGGAGGTGACGGCTCCCAGAGTTGTAGCTGAAGTCCGAGGAGTACAGGGTGAAGAGGAAGGGGGAGAGCACTGTCCCCTATGGAGCCCCCGTGATGCAGACCATCATGTCCGATACACAGTTCTGAAGCCTCACAAACTGTGGTCTGTCAGTGAGGTAGTCCACGGTCCATGCGGCTAGGTGACAGTCCACTCCCGCCCTCTTGAGCTTCCCCCTGAGCAGTGAAGGTTGGATGGTGTTGAAAGCACTGGAGAAGTCAAAAAATATGACCCTCACAGTGCTGCCGGTGTTCACCAAGTGGGCCATGGACCTCTGCAGCAGGTAGATGACTGCGTCGTCCACCCCGATGTTCGGCTGGTATGCAAACTGCAGAGGATCCAGATGAGAGCTCACCAGGGGGAGTAGGTTCCTCAGCACAATCCTCTCCAGAGTCTTCATCAGGTGAGAAGTGAGGGTCACAGGTCTGAAGTGGTTGGGCTCCCTGGGGTGTGCTGTCTTGGGGACAGGAATCACGCAGGAAGTCTTCCACGGTGTTGGGACCCTCTCCAGACTCAGGCTGAAACTGAAGATGTGCAGTAGCACCTCACAGAGCTGGTCTGCACAGTCCTTCAGGAGTCTGAAGCTGATGCCGTCAGGACCCGTGGCTTTCCTTGGCTTCATCTTCCTCAGCTCACTTCTCACCTGGTCAGCTGTTATGGAGAGGCTGGGGGTGGTGCTGGAGGGGGTGGTGGAGGATGAGTGGAGGGGGGTTGATGATGCCGGTGCCATGGGACTGAGGTGGTGTGAAGAAGAAGCAGCAGACGGGTCGTTGGTTTGATGAGTCGGGGTAGGAGTGGGAGCAGAGTCAAATCTATTGAAGAACAGATTCAGCTCGTTGGCCCACTCCCTGTCTCCTGCTTCAGGTCCACTCTCATGGCCCCTGCTATGACCTGAGATGAATTTCAGGCCTCTCCAGACCTCCCTTGCGTTGTTCTGTCGCAGAAGTTTTTCCATCTTGGTCTTGTAGCTGGCCTTTCCATCTCTGATCTTCTTCTTCAGCTCCTTCTGCACCCTCCTGAGCTCCTCCTTGTCCCCAGATTTAAAGACCCTCCTGTTCTCCTTCAGGAGGACTTTAAGTTCCGGGGTCACCCAGGGTTTGCTGTTGGAGAAACACCGTACTTTCCTGGTGGGTACGGTGTTCTCAACACAGAAGTTTATATAGTCCGTGATACAGTCTGTCATGGTGTCGATGTCATCACCATGTGGGCTGCACAGTACATCCCAGTCTGTGGTCTCAAAACAGTCCTGCAGCACCTCAGTGGCCTCCTCAGACCACCTCTTAACATACCTGATGGTGGGGGGTTGTTTCTTCACCATAGGTATCTAAAGGGGTGCAGTCTCGCCAGGTTGTGATCTGAGCGGCCCAGCTGGGGGAGGGGGGAGGAGGGGTATGCATCCTTGGTGTTTGCGTACAGCAAGTCCAAAGTTTTATTGTCTCTTTTTGGGCAGTTTACATACTGGCTGAAGGTAGGGAGAGTGGAGGAGAGTGATGCATGATTAAAGTCTCCAGAGATGATGATCAGAGACTGAGGGTGTGATGTTTGTAGCTTGGACACTTCACTATGGAGGAGTTCACAGGCTGCAGCAGCATCAGCCGAGGGGGGGATGTACACAGTTAACACGATGATGTGTGAAAACTCCCTCGGCAGGTAATATGGCCGCAAACTCACAGCCAGCAGCTCAATGTCCTTAGAGCATCGCTGCTCTTTAACACTGATGTGCCCAGCATTACACCATCTCTCATTCACATACACCGCTATCCCGCCTCCTTTCTTCTTACCACTCACCCTCACGCTCCGGTCCGCTCTGACGAGGTGAAATCCAGTTACGAGCAGCTCCGGAGTGAGTTCATTCAGCCATGACTCCGTGAACATCATGAGGCTGCACTCACGGTACTCCCACGGCAGCCTAGTCAGCGCTGTGAGCTCTTCCATCTTGTTAGGGAGAGACCTCACATTTCCCATGATGATGGACAGGACAGTTGGTTTATAACATCTCTGCTTTGCCCGATGCTGAACTCCAGCCCTGCATCCTCTTCTTCTCCTGCGGAGCTTAGCGGGGGTGTCCGGTCTCTCCCACGAAGGTGGCCGGGCTTGGCGCAGCGCCAACTGTTGACGGCTGTTCACGGCTGTAAACAATGGGGCCGCTGAACGGGTCGCCGGACGCAGACTTAAAAACTCCGAAAAGTAAAAGAAAACAAAGTGCTAGAGTCATGAAATGCACATCCATGGTTGGAATATGCAAGACACAACACTGCTAAATAAAAAGAAAGACAAATAAGGTGCAAAAAACAGCAATAAGAAGGCAAAAACATAAAGTCTGTGAGAAGCTGCTGTGACTTGCTTCCACTCTCAGGGCGCTCAGTCACAAAGACAAATGAGATTGAAAGTATAGTTTGATTATGTATTATGGCACAGTTTTCAACAACTCAATAAATTCCTTGTTTTCTTTGCAGTATCAGGTTAAGGCAAGCAAGTAGCAATTAAACACAACACACACACACATACAGTATGTTGTATTCCTGTGTATACACCTTAATCCCTGCCTAAATGCAGTTTAGGCAGGGATTAAAAAACCCAGCCCTGGCTCACTAGTCAGGTGTAAATGTGACTTGACCCCAAAACGATTCTAACAAAAGGTTTCTCAGCTGTTTTTATAGTATTAGATGTCCTGAATAACATACTAAAAGTTTACCAAAGTTTGACCACTAGAAAGGTGCAATTTTTAAAATGGCATCCATGATGGGTAGGAATCGCAGGGGAGATACCCCAGGTGAATAGGATGAAATTTTTAACTAACAGATATCACCATGAAACTTGCCAAGTTTATAACTTATAATGAGACAAATATTTTTGTCAGATGTTATGTATCTTCTTCTTCTGTGTCTTCTACTTGGGAACAACCTGCCAAAGAAGATAGGGCGTGCAGAGACAGTCGCTTCTTTCAAGTCAAATTTTAAAATGGCCTTTAATTCTGTTTTAACTGAGCTTTTTGTTTTTATGTGTTGTTATTACCATGTGCTGACATTCTGTGCTTTATGACTATTTGTCAAAGGACTTTGTAAACTTCTGTTTTTAAAAGTGCTGTAGAAATATTATTATTATTATTATTATTATTATTTCTATTATTATGTTAGAGCTGATAAATTCTGAATTGTGCTATGGCTCGAAAGTAAGCGGTAAACAACTCCAGGCCTTTGCATGTGCAGTGCTGCTAATGACATGAGATGGCCTTATATACCGTGGGAATACAATTCAACTTCAGCGTTTATTATGGAATCAGCTGCATTTTTAGTTACGTTCATTGTATTCTTCAGTAATCTACCTTTAGTGGTATTAGGCATTAAAATGAACAAGAAATTGAAGAAAACAAGGGTATTCTAATCATATTTTCCATGACTGTATATTTTTTTCTGTGAAGAAGCTCTGTTGACATTAACGCTTGACATTCAATTATGACTGTGCGTAAAGGTGTTTTTTGTGAAAGACTTGTTGTCTTTTCACGTAATATTTCCTACAAGTGTTTTTTTGTTTTGTTTTTTTATTTCTACCCACACTCACGCATCTCTTTGATTATTCTTTCAAACCTGGTTGTCTCCACAGAAACTCTGGTATGTGGGGTCTGTTTAAAGGCCTGGAAGCAAAGCTGCTGCAGACAGTGCTGACTGCTGCCCTCATGTTTCTTCTCTATGAGAAAATCGCCAGCTGCACCTTCAGAGTCATGGGAATGAGCAACCACTACAAGAAACGCTAACTGGGAACAGAACACAGAAAAAAAGGACTTTTGAACACTGAAGCACTAACTGAATGCAACAATCACTGCTTAAAGACCTCATACTGAGGACTTCACCTTCCTGGAAATGTATTCTTCTTGTAACAATACATTCAACCTTTAAAACATTGCAAACTTTGAATAAACTACTGCTTTTATCTGCTGTTAAATTTAATTTAAAAAAAAAAGTGACAGTTACCCGGAGGCAGAGTTTTGGGTATGTATTTGTATTGTTGTGCAGTGAAAACATTTGACCAGAAGAAATGATAGACTAAATTATCATCAAAACTGGGTTCTCTCTTTGCATCCAGTCTTTGCAGTGGAGATTTCCTTGTGTTTTAAATGCATAGGCAAAACTTCATATATATAATTATATACATATGGTATGATGGGATACCTATTACACCTGTTAGGAAATCAAAATCTTATTTAGTGAGTCCAAGCGTCAGATATTCTACCACCGACGGACATTTTTGTTAAATATGTAAGAGAATCAAGTATAGACTAAACTAAGTGTGCAAATTTTCTTACACTTTTGGGGACAAGTTACTTTTTCCCAATGTCTCATTTGCCACTAACAGGATAGGCTTCAGGTTCCAGCACACGCCTTGATATGCACGTGGACAGCTTGTGCAAATGTCCATCTGTGCGATGAGGTTTGAGCAGCGCGAGGCCGTATGAATGAAGGTCCATCCTCATGTAATACAGATCTGAGGCACAGCAGTTACGTAACGCAGCAGCAGCTCAGACTTTCAGGATTACGTAAATGAGTGAGCGGCTCCTACTCTCTGTAATAGCCGATAGAACTGAAGCTGAGTTGTGCCTTTTCCGCAACATGGATTCAACAATACCTAAAGAAACTGAGAAGTACTGCGTCTTGTGCTGCCAAGAAGTTGAGATTTTCGCCTTGGGAAAATGTGACCACCCGGTTTGTTACAGATGCTCCACCAAAATGAGGGTGTTATGTGACCAGAAGTACTGTGCCGTCTGCCGGGAGGAGCTCGATAAGGTGAGGGTGCCTTTGCTACTGTGGCTCGAGGATGGTGACCGTTGATCCTAGCTAGGCCGCAATGTTCTGGTATTTCGATCAGGATACGGTGCATGAAAAAATAAACTGGGTGGATCATATGTTAAGTAAATATCACGTAGACTAGTTAAAGTGACCAACAGGACTTGGCGAGTCTACATACCCCCCCGCCGTGTCACTACCCTAGCAAAGGTAGCTCAAGATAACATCAGCATGTCCATCAATGTAGCCTAGCTAGTTAGCTGACACGTATATCTCCGACTCAGAGTTAGTTAACAGGTAAAGTTTTGAGGGTTTTGTGTTTTTAGTTAGTAATATTGTATTAGACATGGACTTGAGATTAATTTAACTGGTGAAACAGTACAACCAGTCAGCTGTCACCTTTCAAACAAACCAACATAAAGAACTTATTGAATGGGATACCTAGCTAGTTGTTATGAGTTTCTTTTTGAACCTATTTAAAGACAATTGTGTGTCTGGCTGTCAGGATATGGTATGTTGGGGGTGTTTTCTCTCGATTACAGGATCTATGTCGGTAACTAGCTAAATTTACTATGGCCAACTTGTCATCTCAGCTGAACAGTATTACTCCACGGAGGGCCTCGGTACCTGCCTCCCACTGAAGCGCTGTTTGCTGTCCATGTTATGGAAGTCATGCTGTAAATTTGGAAAAACACATTGTCAGCAGAAATTACAGCCGTATGTGTTGCTGTCAAAACGTGTCCGGCGTCTTTATTTCTTCAAGCTTTTCTGCACAGGCTGGGTCTTCAGGATAAAGTCTTTCCCACAATTCCACAGTACACCCATTACATGACATTACACCTGATCCCTGTGACAGCAGCATTCATAGTCAGTCACACACCCTAACTGTGCAGTATCAGACACGTAATGTCAGGATTACTAAAAGAAAACATTCCTCTGATTGAAATTTTGGACATTATTTACATCACTTTACCATGGTTCTGACTTTCATGTTGCTCTTAGGTGGTGTTTGTTAAAAAACTGGAGGCCTTCTCGTGTCTGCCCTACCAGCAGTTCCCCAGTGAAAAGAAGCATGATATCTATTTTGGTGATGACAGGATATACAGCCAGTTCAGGTACTGCTCTGCTCTAATCCTTTTGATTTTTTTTTTTTTTTTTTTTTTTTTGGGGGGGGGGTGCTCTTGTCTGTTGAAAATGAATAACTGTTGAATGTTTAACAGTTATAATCATTATTGACTCCTGTGTCTATTAAATTCTTGCCAACAGGCATGTAAAAGGTTGTTAAGATTTATGGTAAATTATAAAATCATAACCTATACACTTGACAGTATAAACAGATAAAAAGGTAGCTTATTGTGGATAGAATTAGAATCAGCTTTATTGGCCAAGTATGTGTATACAAGGAAATTGACTGATAGACTTTACTCTCTGTGTACGAACATTAAACATTAAGTATGATACAAATATGTACAACCTTACAGTAAACATTTAATGTATACAAAGTACTGCTTAAGGCAGCAGTGAAAGGTCAGGAGTGCAAAGAATGTTAAATGAGAGAAAAATATAAAGATTGGCCATTATATAAAAGGTGGGTTATGTACATGAGGGAGATATGCATTTGTTTTGAATACAATATAAATTTTAGATTTAAAATAGTGGTATGCAAAGTGTATGTTGTATAAGAGAGTGATGTATGCAGTTACAATATTTAGGTAAGTTGTAATGGTAGTTGGTAGTTTAAGGTTATAGATAAACAGTTAATAGTAAGAAATGTTACATATATGAATGCTTTGAAAATTTGTTTTCCACATTTAACCACTTGTGTTTCCTTTCACACTGTTTAAAAGTTTATGCTGACCACTATGTAAAGTGAAAGTTAGATTTTTTTTTATGTACCAAACTCTTGCAGCCTGCTACAGAGGCAGGGTTTTGTCTTTCACTCTGAAAAGGGGGAATTGGGCAGTGCTGTTTCTTTGGTAAAAGAGACTCATTATCATAACTTTCTGGTCATTTAAAGTGTAGGAATCATTATTACAATTGATGTTAGATTGCTTATTTTACTGAAAGATATTTTGGTTTGTTTCCCCAGTCATTTCCTGTGTTATTCTGAGTTGTATTTTATTGTACCTAAAGTTCTGAAAAGTTTGGGTCTGATTCGGTTTTGCCACAATTTTTGTGTTTCAAGGCATTTACTGTTGCCAGAGTGTGTCCGCTGCCCAGAGCCTAAAGTTTTCTCCAAGTTTGAGGAGCTGGAGCAGCACATGAGGAAGCAGCATGAACTTTTCTGCTGCAAGCTCTGCACAAAGCATCTCAAGGTATACCTAAAGGACATTGATCAGAAGTGTTAACAACACAAAGATACAACATCCTCTAAGACAGTAGATCCAACTTCAAACTTAAATCTGCCTTCAGATTTTCTCCCATGAGCGCAAGTGGTACAACCGGAAGGAGCTAGCACGTCACAGAGCACATGGAGACCCAGATGACACGAGCCACAGGGGACACCCGCTCTGCAAGTTCTGTGACGATCGTTACCTGGATAATGATGAGCTTCTAAAACACCTACGCAGGGATCACTATTTCTGTCACTTCTGTGATGCAGATGGTTCACAGGAATATTACAGGTGTGCTTATGTGTTGCAAATACACAGAGAAATGCATGCTTTTATGGTTTATATTTACATTCTGTTTATTAATCATGATACACAATACAAAAAAAGTGGCTACTGAACTTGAATTCAAAGTTTGTGTCCAACAGTGATTATCAGTACCTGAGTGAGCACTTCAGAGAGAGTCACTATCTGTGTGAGGAGGGCCGCTGTTCCACAGAACAGTTCACCCACGCCTTCCGCTCTGAAATCGACTACAAAGCCCACAAGGCTGCAGCACACAGCAAGAACCGAGCAGAGGCTCGACAGAACCGCCACATTGACCTGCAGTTTAACTACGCCCCGAGACAACAGAGGAGAAATGATGGTCCGTAATGGTTTTCCAAGTTTTAGTGGTTGTGGACATCTTATTCATATTTTATAGATGGCCTTTTGTATAGCTCAGGTTAATGTAGTAGAGCACTTGTGTCTGTAGGTATGGTGACAGGTGAAGACTATGAAGAGGTGCGTCAAAGTCGAGGAGGCAGAGGAGGAAGGCCCCAAGGAGGACAGAAGAGCTGGAGATACTCCCGGTGAGTCGAAGTTGGCAATGTAGTTGGGATCCAGTGAGGCTGCAGTGATTTATCTCAGCCGCTTGTCCTTTATTTGCCATACTTGATGGTGAGAAAACAGTACATGCAGTTGATGGAAGGTGCCTTATGTTTGACTATAGAGGCCTTAGCCAACTTGAAGATCTAGTTCTTAGTCTAGTACTACTAAACAAAAGAACAAACTGGAGCAACACTGGGTCATTTGCATTCTTGGTATTTGATGGGCAAGATTTTGAGTGTATCTGATAAAGCGTGTAGAGGGGGTTCTGTCAGCTTCTACCAGAGTGTGAAGTTTGATAATTGTATTTTTGTTACCTGTCCAATTTGACCTCTTAATTCTTTCAACCTGCCTTTGTTGTACAGAGAGGAAGAAGACCGGGAGCTGGCAGCTGCTCGGAGGGCATCCTTGGCCATGCATAGACAGGAGGAGAGAGGACCAGCAGCGCACGAGAGGAGCACTCCCAAACACTGCCGGGAGGAGAGGACCGAACCAGAGGAGCCCAGACATAGGTCTGGACAGATCAAACCAATGAGCAAGCCACCAGGTGGGACAAAGTGTAGCAGTTTGTTTGCATATATTTTCCCATTTGGCTAAGTTAAACCAGATAAATTCACCTCACGGCTACAGGAACTCACTCCCAAGGTTTTTGTTCATCTTTCCACAGTAAGAACAATGAAAAGCAATAATCCAGAAGATGATTTCCCAGCTTTAGGAGCTACAGCAGCCACATCTATGTAAGTTTTCCACACACATTCAAACTGAGATCCTCAACGAACAACATCCTGGCTTCAAGTGTTGATTTAACCTGTGGTCTGTGTTTCTCTTTAGTGTAAAGCCAGCACCTGTGGTGGTGACAGCTGCCCAACCTGCTTTAAAGGAAGATGACTTCCCCAGCCTCTCATCAGTTGCCATGACAACCCCCATGACCCCAGCATACTCTGCCCAACCGAAGAAAACTTCCTCATTCCAAGAGGAGGACTTCCCAGCTCTTGTATCAAAGATTCGACCCCTCAAAGCTGCAGCCAGCAGAAACTCTGCTTGGTCTACTCATACTGCCACCACAGCTAAACCCAGCACTCACCTACCTCTTGTATCTAGAAGTTCTCCTCAGCTTTCATCTGCCTCCTCTGGCCCACAGCCCCTCTCCTCTTCCACTTCCTCATCATCATGCAAGAAGAAGAAAGTAGGGCAGAATGGGAAAGGAGTGTCTACTCGTTCTCCTCCTCCTTCTGACGATGATAAGGAAGGATTGACGCAGCAGGAATTCCGCTCTGTGCCCACCATGTTGGATATCTCCTCTCTGCTCACTGTTAAAAGTGGGAACAGCAAAAACTCTACAGCAATTTCCACTGCTTCAAACCAGAGCTCCAGCACAGATCCTCCACCTTCTAAAGCCAGCAAGAAGAAAAAGCAGCAGAAGATCACAGCTGCTCCCTCCACGTCTGTGTCCTCAGCATCAGGGCTCACTCAGACATTAAATTCAATCTCAGGGGAAACAGCAGCACAGAAGGAGAATGTGCCTGAGAAAACTTGGAGTAAACCTCTTAATGGTGCTGTGACAGCAGCTCTGACAAGTGGATTGGCAAATGGCTACCCTGAAAAGACACAACCAGTCAATAAAGAAGCTGTTGCAGTGAAGCCAAACTCAAGCAGGGACACTTCTGTTGATCAGGAAGAAGAGTTCCCAGCACTCATCACCAAGAACCCGCCACCAGGTACAGCAATCTGACAGTTAACACGTCCCCTTTTCCTGACATTTAACCTAATTTACTCATTTCCATCTTTAGGTCTGTCAGTCCGGGTGGGTCACCTATAGAGTAACTTTGCATGATCTGAAGCCCCCAGAAAAGATTTAGTTGTCTATTACTGGCATTGTATTGGCTACTTTTTCAGTGATTTTAAAATTGGACACAGCTTGGGTGCACATGCTGTAATTTCTTAATTTCTTTTGTAAAGTTTTTACTGAACAAGGAGTGACACAGACTCTAGAAATGAACTTGAAATGCTCCAGCATCCCATATATCTGTGATCGACAATCATGAATGTAATCTGTTTGGTTTTGAGATTTTTTGTTCTTTATTTACTTTGTTTATTTGGCAGGGACAAATGCATGAGACAATGCTTCATAGTGCATACAAAGGTAGTGTTTCATCTCAAGTTTATAGGCATGTGCAAAGTTGGAAGCTAAAAGCCAGTCAAAAGCCAAGAAACGAGACAGCACAGACATGGCAGCAATAAAGCAGCACATGTAAACAGCGTATTGGACATCCCAAACTAAGCTTTATGACTAATGAGCATAAAGTCGTTTAGATGTGTTTTTTGATCCAGGTTCAGGAGCAGTTTTGGATGTGCATTCTACACAATTGAAATATGAACCTTAACCCCCTTTTTTGCTTTTTATATCAGTGACTGCAATTAAAAAGAGAGGATTTGTTAACACTTTGTATTTCAGGCTTCAAGAGCTCCTTTCCAATGAAGGCTTCAGCTCCTGCCCCATCCTCAACAATGCCGCCACCGGGCCTGGGAATCTCAGCCACTAAACCTCCACCAGGCTTCACCGGGATCCCCCTTAACAGTAATGTGGTGGAGCCTGCTCCCACTTCAGTCAACCCGTGAGACAACCTCTGTTTCTCTCTTTCCTTACCTTTTGATCTGTGGACGTTTATTTATAGTCGGTCGTCTTTTTTTTAATTTTTTTTCTAATTTTAATTTTCAGGCCTGCTAAGATGTCGAGCAATGGTTACCTGGTACCAGAGGACTTCCAGCAGAGGAACCTGGAGCTGATCCAGTGCATCAGGAAGTACCTACACAATGATGAGTCACAGTTCAACGAGTTCAAAAACTACTCTGCACAGTTCAGACAGGTACCCACCACATGCTTATCAATATTATCACCCTGAGTTTTTGTACTTCCATCACTTTTTGGATGTTTTGCTTCTGCACTTTTTATTTGCAGGAGTAATCATCACATTTATTAGTTCTTTAGGAGATTGATACTTGAGAATCTGTCAAAACCAGTGGTTAACAATTGTAAACAACAAAGAAGATCACATGCTCATCTGTGGGACCTCAGTTGAATCATTTTCTTTGCTTGTAAATCTCCTGTCTCTCTGTCTGTGTCTGCAGGGTGTGATATCAGCAGCCCAGTACCACCACAGCTGTAAGGACCTGCTTGGTGATGACTTTAACCACATCTTCAATGAGCTTCTGGTTCTCCTGCCAGACACGGGCAAACAGCAGGAGCTCCTAACAGCCCACGGAGATTCTAAGGCACTGGAGAAGCAGTCAGGCACTGGAGGAGGAAAGAAAAACAAGAACAAGAAGAATGCCTGGCAAAGGCCGACCACAGGGGACAACGCAGCAGCTGAGCTGGACTGCCAGGTGTGCCCCACTTGTAGACAAGTGCTGGCCCCTAAAGACTTTAACTCCCACAAGACCCTGCACAACAGGGAGAATGAAGAGTTCCCCTCCTTGCAGTCAATTAGCCGCATCATCAGCTAGCCTTAGTCACTTTTTTTGTCCCTGCTCTGTCTGCCAACATGGGGCAAACATTCTGCTGCCTTGTCAATCCCTGCAGCTGCCAGTGTGAAAACAGCAGCCTGTGACCATTTCCCAGGGGAGCTCGGCGCTTATATCTCATCCTGACCAGACTGTAACATGGTTTGTGGTGTTCTTTTGATGGGGATCACATCACTAGGTCTATGTGAATGGTTAAGCAGTTAAGACACAAAACCCTTCCCCATTTCAACCTCATTTTCACTTACATCTTGTGAAGCTGTCTCCAGCTGGACCTAGCTCTTTGAGTTTATTTAATGAAGGTGGAGAGACCATCTAATGCTTTAATTAAAATCAGTGCCCTCTAATGCAAAAATTGTAATGATACATTTTTCTATCTTGTTTTTTATTTTAATTTTAACAAGAGACAAAATGTATTTTGCTCATTATTCATTTTTGAGTGGCTTAACAATAAATTAACAGAAATCTACTTGTTCTGACCATTTAGCACAAAAAAGTTTAAGTTTAGCTTTTTGAATCACTTGAAATTTTTGCTTCATATAGAAAAAAAGTTGTTTAAAATGTCACTTAGGAAAGTGGCAAGAATCAAAAGGCAGTTCAGGAATTAAAAGAAAATTAGATTTTAGTTTTCTTTTATTCTGTTCATATCATATTTTCATGTCCTAGAGGGAACTTTCTCCAAAATTGTATCTGATCTAATATCACCCACCGTTTCATTTGGTGTACAGGCTGAGTGATGAGTTGGTTTAGTAATGCTGTTATGTTACCCAAGGGTTATATGGAAACTAAAATGGCATCAAAGAAATCAGTATCCATGTGTGTTTTTTTACAGTTATGATCTACCCTTTTTTTAAAGATCAGCTTTTAATGTGATAATATCACTGACTTTAGTAGGGTTTGAGTTTCATGGAAATGTCCATGAAGAAATGCCCTCTTATTTCATATTGCCTTCTACACATAAAAGACATTTTCATTCCAGCCTGCCACAGTCTAGTCTCTTTCGCAGTCTAAGGCCCAGCTTTGACACGCAGGGCGTGCTTGCTTTGTTGTCCTCTCTGTCAGGACACTGACTTGGTCTGTGTGTGTGTGTGTGTGTGTGTGTGTGTGTGTCTGTCTGTCTGTCTGTCTGTCTGTCTGTCTGTCTGTGTTTTGGGAGCAGTAGCATCTGTGTTTGAATGAATGTACTCCACATCATACAGCAGCTCACAGGATTTTCTGTCTGGCTTCAATAAAGCTGTTTTTATCAGCACTGGTTGTTTCACTATGTTAGAGTGGCTTGTGAGACAGTGAAGACTGGGTGGTGACAGCAATAATGAGGTCTCACGTTTCAAGCTGTTTGAGAGTTTCAAGCACTCTTTTCTGTACAGTGAGATACTTCCATTTGACCATGTGATAGCACAAAGTGTGTTTTTTCCCTCACTTAGCTTTATGTTATTCATAAGAGTGTTGTGTATTCATCTTTGCTTGTTACAAAATGTACAAAAGGTGGACCTCCAGGTACCCATCTGACCCTCTGCACTCAAGACTCGTACAATTCCACTAAACCTAGTCAGTCTACAGCTTTTCTCATCCATACCATGTTGTTTTACCTGAAATATCAAGCTAAGATCAAATTTTACTACTTGAATAATAAAGAAATAAAAATAAAGGTTACTGTTCTGAGCAGAGAGGCCACAAGATCAGATTTTCACCTCACAATTGTGACCATAAAATATCAATAGCAATATTGTTGCAGTGTTTTTAAAAAACATAACAGTGGGTACTTTATCATTGTGAGATAGGGCAACTTTGGGAATTTTTGCATTTAACTCTATAATAAAAATGGCCAGTCTTTAGTAAAAAATTACACAAAAGGATCTCAATGAGTTTTATGAGGTGTCAAAGGTTGATCCTGATCCAGACAAAATTCTGGATACTGTGATCCAGAACACACAAAAAGAAGGGTGTCACTGGAATTTTCAATGCTGAAAGATAACCAATGGGCGGCACAGTGGTGTAGTGGTCAGCACTGTCGCCTCACAGCCAGAAGGTCCTGGGTTTGAATCTGGGTCAGGGCATTTCTTGTTTTAGGAACATTATTAACAGTGAACATACCAGTTTAAACATAAATAAACGTTAATAAAAGACACGTAACACTAAAAGTTTTGGTTTGAATCACAATATAAGAGGGGGACATGAGCTGCTTGGCGGAGGTCTGCGCTCTCCGAGTGCTTTTCTAGTTGGTCATGCTTTTATTTCCATTTTTTTCATTTGCACAAAAGTTGATGTGCTGTATATTGTTCTTTCTTTTTAAAGTATTTGCTATTTCCCATAGATAGTGAGTCAATAGTTAAAAAACAAAGTACAAATGTTCAATCAGTAGGTTGCCTGAAAAGGCACAGGTCTTCAAAGTTAAAGAGAAAAAGATTTTCAGGGTTTTTTGAAGTGCTTAATTGTCTCTTAATCTCATCAGCAGCCACTTCAAGCTGGTTTTGAGGTAGTCTGCAACAGTCCTCTTCTCTTCTAAGCAGCTTTAACCAGCTCAGCCATGACTCCACGGTGTCCACCTAGTTAAAGCACCTTATCAATATTTTGATAGAGGTGGTTGATGTCAGTACGGTATAGTTCAGTTATCAAATATTTCATAGAGGTCAATTTTGTTTCACTGGTTGATATTTAGCCTAACCACCCAAAGATTTCAAATAGTAAGGCTTCAGATGTACTGGTGCTCTGGCAGTAGTCTTGAAATAAAGAGAAGTTCTTGTTCGAGCAGCTCAGTATAGCCATTAATCATCTGTGAGCGAACTACTTTTGACAAACTCTCCAAACGCCCTTATTTCTAATACTAATGAAACAGACTACAGAGTAGGTTTTTCTGATGTTTAAGACAGCAAATGAAATCCTCCTTTACTGATTGTTTTTCTACTAACTAATGTATTGAACCATTACCTGTATATGACTACAGACAGCAGGCCTCCATCTCCTCCTATGGTGAGAAGTATTTGTAAGAAACTGTCAGTGATCCTTCAGGTTGGTGCAATCCAGGGCAGATTCAGAGGAGGCGCCCACACTCATAGAAAGTTCAGTGACTCATGTTTAAAGTATTTGTCATGTTTTCTTGCATCATTTCTGTGCACCTTTGCATAACAGGTAGATAAGATATGATAAGAACTTTATTTATTTTCCCCCTGGGGGAAATTCGATAGAGGTAGAGGATGCTGCAGGAGGTATATTTGTTGGTTATTATGTCTCTCTCCATTTTAAAATCAAAGAAGTAAAAAAAATGCACATTAATCAGGAAAATTTAAGAAAGAAAATGTTTGACATGTATTTCAATTGTCTACCTTGTTTGCTTTCTTAAGATGAGAGAGGCAGACTTCACACGGCTCTTACTGTTGTTACCAGGAAGAGCCTTAAAATTGAAGCTGGAATAGTGTAAACAAACAGGAAATGCAGCTTTTTACCACCTTTAATGTTGATATGCCAGACTTAACAGCAAAAGGTGTCAAGTAATTCCTGTTTTTTGCTTTTAATACTGGCTTCCATCAACTTTAAGTATATGCTCACCGTTGTGCTGCACACAGCTGGGCACGTGTAGCAAGCCTTAATTGTCAGGATAATATGTTACTAGGATGGATGTATTTCCAGTTCCAGTATTTCACCAAATACTCTCAAATTTTCTTTTTTTAAACTCTTTACTTTTTTGCATTTTGAACCCAAGTTCTGGAGGAATGTATGGAGGCAGTGCCCTTCACAGGAGTAAAACCAGCATCAGAGCTTTAGTTTATGTCCTCAACCTATGCTGTGATAGACCATATAAATCTGTAGAGATGGAGCCAGTGTTCACACATCAGAGTCAGTGACATCAACAGGCAGTCCGAGACATGTTTTCTTTTTTATTAGAGTGACTGTCCAGAGACAGTTCAGTCCAGAGACATTCAGGTAATAGACAATGACACACATCTCTGTACAGCATTTTTACACTGAAGAGGTCAAACACCCTCAGAACAGGAAGAAAAAGTTTAAAGTAACATGTTCAATGGGGAGCACGCAATTGAATCAGTGTTGACTTTATTGGTAGATGGGGATTCAAATTTGATTAATATTATGGGGGAGATACTGTAACATCCATGCAATGAATTATACATGAATTCACACAACTGATGGCACTAGGGTCACCATGTATCATCACCTTTTTATATCTCAGTCAAACAAAGTGACAGCATGAGCACGGGGAATTCTGATTTTGGTGCCAACTGCCCTTTAAAGAGTGGGTAATTAAAATATTTCCAACATACTGTGCATTCTAGATAATAAATAATCCTTTTTTTAATTTTCATTTATTCATTTTCAGTAGCACAGGACAAACCAGACCCTAGACAGCATCACACACACGTTCCATCTACTTCAACGACATACTGAATTTTTACAATCAACCACTACCACAGTAGTGTACATGGGCCAGAGCACAAAACATAGAGAATGCTTGTATCATTATTTTTAACTACCACACGTACAGAAGAAAAGACTGAAGCACTGAGAACAATAATGAAACCTGACCTTAAAAGTGCCCCAATAGTACTTTACACCACCACCAAAACCCCTTTTTACCCAGTACTACAGTTTACTGGCAACTATCAGACCTGCAACTCAAGATTTAAGGAGCTATACTGCTGTTTTTGTTTTTTTGTTTGTTTTTTTATATTTTAGCATACTCTTTCATACTTCAAATGATAACTAACATTTCCAAAAGCATGCCACATGTTGTAAATAGATTTTCTTCCTTTAGTAGGAAGAGTAAACAATTAACTTTTATTTAACTCTAATGGTTAATTACATGTTTTGTTTTGTTTGTTCAGCAGGTTTTCAGAGCATGAATGGCAGACTTCACCACTAACAATGAATCTTCTCCAAAATAAGTGGGTTTAATACTGAGAAATCCTTACTCTCGTGCTCATAACTCAAATCAAATCTTAGCAACCAACAATGTAAAAGTCAGTCTGGTCATATTAGGTCTTGAGTAACTGTAACTTGAAACTCATAATATGTTAGAATAAGGACACAGATGGGCGATTCTATTCCTCTGCTTCTTTTAGAAATTCCTATTTTTAAAGCATTTTTCTTACTACTTGGGGTTAAAGGGCCACAACATGAAAAACTACCAAGTAAAGTCCTTTGAATGTACCAGATAGATTTAATGGTACCAAAACCCCAGCATCTGAAAGTGTTGCCCCCCATTCTGGAGCAGGACCATCAAAACCAAATACTTTAATTGTTTCTTATTTCTTCAAGATAGATAGATCAATAGATACTTTATTAATCCCAGAGGGAAATTCAAATACACCCATTTAACTCTGTATTCAATGACAGACAGACAGCCTGCTGATGAAAGTAGAAGAAAAAAATTTGATGTTGAGCGGTCTTCACTTTGTTTTATGAGACAGGACAAAAACTCCTCCGCGCTGATACTTTGCGATTAATTTACCTCATTACTTTTTCACTTTGATCTTTTTGTTGCATGCGCAGGTCTTTCAACAGGGAACTTTGTAGGACTCAGGGTAAAATACAGAGGATTTTTTGTCTTACAGGCCCTTGATTATGGCTTTTATTTAATTTCCTTTACAGGAGTTTCACCTAGTATGTAATAACAGTGCAGAAAGAAAAATTTGTCTGGGTGCACATCTTACAAGAAACTGCAACTGCAAGACAGTCGCACAACTGCACTGATTTCTGGCAAATCTCATTGTTGTCAAGTAAAGAATGACACAGTATTCACTAGTCTACTAGTCAACACTGCAGCATCAGGAAAACAGGCACTGACAAAACTCATGATAATAGAGCATGAAGTTGTTGTATAAAACAGGTCATATACAACAACTTCATGCTTTGCTTCATGCAGTCAACATGAGTTTTGTCAGTGCCTGTTTTCCTGATGCTGCAGTGTTGACTAGTATCTGCAGAGGGCGTTGTTCAAACATAAACTGTGAGGAGACCAGGGGCCTATTCTACGCAGCAGGTTCAACCTGTTTGCCATGGAGACTCACCTCGCTAAGAAGTGAACCTGCGTCGTAGAACAGGAAACCCTGAACTTACCCTCGAAGTTACCTTGCTAAGCAGCAATCCTGCTTCATAGAACAGGCCCCTAACGAGGCATCCTACCGGTCAGTTAACATGAAATTTTGATAGTGGCCCTGTTGATAAGAAAACAAACCTGTGATTTTATACTTTTTATATTATTGATGAAATATTTACCAGAAATGTTTTTTTTGTTTTTGTTTTGGGCAAATTATAAAATTTTATAACATATGTGGGATTTCTGCCCCAAACTTTGACAACACATCAAAGAAAATAACTTTATGCACCACGAAAACTTTTTACACCCATAGACACACAGCCATACATGTTAACACAGACCCACACGTATCTCAGACATGCAAACACTTGTGCACAAGTACACTAGACAAGTACAACCCCACCCCCACCCCACCCCACCCCGAACACACACACACACACACACACACACACACACACACACACACACACACACACTCACACACACACACACACACACACACTTAATTACAGGTTCTCTGATGACAAATATGTATACACAGATGCTGTTACACAGACATGGTATCTACACCGAGGGTCACCAGTGACCCTCATCCACCATTTATCCATATCACCATGGCAACAAATTCCTCCCTCAGTAGCAGGATCAGTGAATTAGCCAGCTATACAGACCCCTAACGTCCAACAAACCTTTTGCCTGAGATTGAACCCTTCACCAATCGGATCTGTGGTTATGCAAAAGTGGACATTATTATTGTTGTAGTAATAAAAATACAGCAGTAAGAACACGGGGCAGTTTGGCAGCTTCTAAAAAGTAAACATAAACAGACCTGACTTACCCAACTCACCCCATTTTATCACCTATCCCACATAGGGCTGTCTCAGATAACCACCTACATACATCCCCTGGTGACATTAAGGGGAGTATAAGACATCCGGCCTTTTTGGCATGAGCACAAATAAGGCCGCCCACACCTATTTGGTGAAGGTGAAAACCTAGACTGAAAGATCACTTCATGATGGTTTAGAGACTTTTTTGTTTCAGTTTTTACTATCTGTGTCTCTTTGTACACCTTTACAGTTTAAGCTACTGTTTATATTCATTTTCTGTCACTTTTATATTTTTCTGACGTTTTCTGTCATTTTGTGTCTCTATGAAGTTGTTTGCATTGCCTTGTGGATTTCTATAGTTGTATTGCGTTTCTCTGTTTTCGTTTTTTGTGCGTCTCTTTGAAGTTGCTTTTATGTCTTTTTCATCAGCTATTGCATAACTTTGTTATTTCAAATAATTTGTTTTCATTTTTCTCATCTTTGTAGTTAGTGACTCTACAAAGTGCATTTTGTAGTCCTATTAGATAACTTTGTTGTTGTTTTGTGACTTTGTTTTGTTTCTTGGAAGTTGTGTTTAGTGTATCTGTAGTTTTATGACCATTTGTGTCTTTGTAAAGGTGTTTTTGTGTCTCTTTGAAGTTGTTCTGAGTCTTTGCAATCTTAATGGTTGTTTTTTGTCAAGGTTTTATGTTTTTCTTTGCTTTTCTATGTCAGTTTTTGTGTTGCCCCCTTAAATGGCTTTGTTGTCATATTTTGTGTTTCTGAAGTCATTTCATTCAAAGAGTTTCTGACCGGAGGGGTTAGGCGGCTCCTGTGGTTGCTAAGCCAATTCAGTTATCCATCCATGCCTGGTGCAGAAACATAGCTGATTGAATAGGAATTACATTTGGATTAAAGGTTTCCCCAATGATTAACCTGGAAAAACTGACCCTTGTATAGTTATGTAAAGAAATGTACAGATCCAGCTACTCTGACAAAGTTCAGACGCTATTATTTTGAAATGTGTTTGAGAAAATAATGATCCACTACATACAGGAAGACTATTATACTTGACGAGATGATATGCAAAGAAATTTGACTGATAATTATCGCACATTAAGTTTTACTGATGAAAGGTTCCCACAGGCTTTGATGGAAATGCAACAACCCTTTGTGTCTGAGTAGCTCAATCAAAGACCGATATACCGCTTTATGTTTAAGACAAGCCTGAAATTTGTTAGTACAACTCAAAGACTAGTATGTAATTTAAGACAGTGCCTACATTTGTCAAATCTGACCATAAATTGCATACCTACAGTACATGTCACAGCTACCTACAGACCTTTATAAGAATGTGAGATATTGCGCTTAGTCACAGAACATTGTGATGTTTTTTTTTTTTGTTTGTTTTGTTTTTACAGCTTGTTGAAATCTACTTAAGTCACTGTCCGAAACATATATTGCAATATGGCACTTAGTTGACGTCTAAGTTTGGAAATACGCAGATTCAACACACATGATCACTTTAAACTGCAGCAGGGAAAGAGGGAGAAGTGATCAGACCCGTAGCTAAAAAAAAAAACACATTCCCCGTACTGTTTGGCATGAAGGGAATTCAACACTGAATGAAAGAAAAGAACAGGATGAAGGTGCTATATGTGAATGCCTGCTGCACTTTTTCTGTCGAACGCTGCTTTGTGGTGAAGTCAAAAACCTGTGGATGTCTTCATCTCTTCAATATTTTGTGTTTTTTTGAATGCAGCCTCCTCTTATATATTTCCTACTCTTGTTTGTTTTTTTATTCTCATCTGCTCTGATCTGACACAACTGGATGTGCTAAAATAGTAAATTCCATATGGATTAGAGGTCTAGAAAAGTGCTAAAAATGCTGGAATGTTATGAGAAGAGGAAACAAAGAAGGAGAGACCTATTTTTCAAACAGCTATTGAAAACTCATCCCAGATTAACACACATACAAATGCAGGTGGAACATCACAGAAAGCAGTTTTCTATCAATTTCTCTCTATCCCCTTGCCCAACTTTCTTCTCCCATCATCAGGTCAAACTCTTCTAATAAATGGGAATCTGGTACGTGGGTGCGGAGTTGTTCTCGGTGAATGGCGGGCTTTGGTAGGTCTCTGTGGTCTCAGTGCCACCCCCCCCTGGTGAATTGGAGGGGTACGGCTGGGTGGGAGCGCCGCCGTCCATGTGCTCCGTGGTGAAAAGAGTCATGTCTGTGCCAAGCATGTACTTTTGGACAGCACGCACTGTTAGACCAGCCTAAAGATACAGAGAGAGAGCAGACCGCAACCTTATGAGCAATCAATCATCACTATAAAAATTAGGTGGACTCCACTCTCCATAAAGGGTTGTTTAGGAAAAAGGGTTCAAGCTAACTTAATGCCAATCTGATGCCCCCAGCTATATTAAATTGAGTTAAGCAGCAGTAAGCCCAGCCTAGCTTGAAGTAGTGAAAATAACACTTGTATGGCAGACCTTTTGGGTCACATTAAAGACATTTTTTTAAAGGTTTGTTTCCATCATAATCTTGAGAGAATAAAGTTGTAATGGAGTCATTACATATAAAGAAGAATGTTTGACAATCAAGTTGTTACGTTGCAAGATTAAAGTCAGTTTGTTGTGAGAATAAAATCGTACAAGAGTGATAGTTTTGGTTTACAGTGAGCAGCCAGCTGCCTTAGCAAGGATGAGGAATGTGGAGTGACTGATTAACTTGTTCTTGAAGAGGGGGTATTATGCATTTTTTCAGACTCTATACTTCCTCTTAGATTCCTGTTTACTTTCTTTACCTGGTTTTCAGAAAAGCCTCCTGTTTCTCACTCTGTTGTATTAAAATATCATTATTTTAGCTTTGATCTGAAACTCTTTATTAAGTGGAAATGCTGATTAAGAATTTCCACTAATTATTATTCTCCTATTTAAGTGGAAATGCTGATTAAGCATTTCCACTTATTGTTATTCTCCTATTTCTTTATTATTATTATTATTATTATTATTATTATTCCGTACCTTTTTTGCAACTTATCAACTCCTTCAAACTTTGTGCTATTTCAACCGTTCAACTTTTAAACTGTTCCTCTCCTTCAGGACAAGTGCGGACGTATTTTTCACTTTTCTACCCTTTATACTTTTTGATATTTTTTACTTTTTGTGCAAAATTTTTCCCATTGAAATGAATGGGGAAATCATTCAATTCTACCTTATATTCTTCCACCTTCTCAGCCTTGTAACTTCAGCATACTTTCAGCTACAGACCTCATTTTTTGCTTTAAAATGTTCACAATCTTTTCCTCTAAATATGTTGTCTTAACTTTTTTTGTGCTATCTTCTACAATTTTTCAACAATTTTGCTTTGAGCACCTCATGGTTTTCAGCAAATTTTCAGGCTTTATAATGGGTGTGTATTGGAGAAGCTAAAGCTGATGATGTCATCGCTAGAGTGGAGAGGTCTTCTTTTATCAACAAAACCTAGCTCAAATATATCGCTCCCACGCCCACAAATTTCACTCCACAGCCATAAAAAATACATCAAAATGGAGGAAAATAAGTCCTGCCTCTCACAAAAGAGGTTTCAAATCATTAAATTGTACCCCTTGGCCAGCAGGTGACCAACTGTCCAAAAATGGCAGCGATCCCTCTCATTGACCGTAATGCAATCTTTCTCCCAGAAAATCCTGATCATCACTTAGGCTCAAACCCGTTTAACTCGCTGTTGTGGCCACATTTTTCAGAGTACAGACATAAAAAAACATATCATTGTGTTCATGAGGGGCGGAGGATTCGTACGATGTTCTTATTTTCATTCTGGGATTTAAGGAAATCACGCTATGTGAAAAAGTTCAGAGGCCCTAAATCCACTGCAGTTAGGCAGCTTCTCATTCAAACAGTAGGTCAGTTAATGCCTTTGATGTCTAACACCTGTTAAGAGGGCATTAATTAACAGACACACAAAGACACACACACACACACACACACACACACACACACACAGAAAAACACTCTGACAATGTGTGTGCGTGTGTCTCTCTCTGTCTATAACACCTGCCTGTACACACAGTAAATATGTATGTGCGTGAGTGTCTCGCTGTCTATGAGACCTACATGCACACACTTTGACCATGTGTCTGCATCAGGGCGTAGTCTGGAATCACAGACTCACAGAACTAACTGAGACAATCCACTAAATTTGAATCAGACATGTCTTGAATAAAAGTCTAAAGCAATAACATCTGGTCACCATTCACCTCTTTTCTTCGTCTTCAAAAAAAGTGAATTTAAGTCTGAGAATCACAAGTAGTACTGAGTGGGAGGATGAGGGGGTGGGAGGGATTGGCAGCCATTCATGACATCTTTTTATTCAACTGAATTGAATTAAATTTAGTCTTGAAAGGGTTTCTTTCCTTTCTACCCTCTCCCTTTTTTTTAATTTCTGTACCTATATTCAATTCTGTTTATAAAAAACTTAATCTGAAGCCATACATGATTCAAATGTCTGTACTTAATATGTTCCAATGCTTCCAATAAAAATACTTATGGTTACTGTCCCTGTGATGATTCCTGGTAATATTTCATGTACTAATCTGAATATTTTGAACAATCCAGTATCTCCCTTTTCCTTATTACTAAGTAGATGAAGTTTCTATGAATCAGTGTCATATAGTCCTATAATCTGCCATTGAATTCAACAGTATCTGGCTGTAATTCACTAGAGGTAAGTATTTTCTGTAATCCTGGAGGAAAAGTTTGAAAGTAAGAAGGAAACTATTGCTCATTATGTTCAGGAAAGGTTTATGTTATTATTTTACTGGTTAACAGCACCCTGTATTCAACCAAAAGCCTCCTTTCTCTATCTTAACACTCTGACTTTGTTTTTGCATTGTTTGACAGCCTTACCCAAGTGATTATAGAGAAGAAAGAAAAGGTGATGGCTGCACGGGCTGCATCTGCCCCCTGGTTGAGTGGCAGATCCTCAGGTGAGGTCCGAGACCACTGATTGGCCAGGAAGCAGAAACTTACAAAGTAAAGGAAGGTCCAGAAACCTGTGGAAGAGCAGCAAAACAACAATGAGACTGTTTTTTTTTAGGAACTAAGATAAGGGCAATTTCCAAAATGGTTTTAAAACAACATGACCAGCAGGTGTTGATTTCTCATATCCTGTCTGATAAAAAGCTCTGTCTTACCCTTGGAAATCAAAAACACTCCCACTTCTCCATTATCTTTAACGTGAGTTTCATTTCTCTAGAGAGCAGCTGTCAGACACTGAGAGCCTCGTGACGGCAGGTCAGGGAAACCTAGTCTGTTAGGTGCTGTCTATCAAACAGATCTAAGATTAGCAGGACATAACTTAAGATGTCTGGCTCTGTTGTGTATTTGAACCCCATCTGTTTCCCTAAAAGAACAATCCAACATATCCCTGACAATGACAAACACCCTGAGCAAGTGATTTTATTTACTTTGCTCCACCTTTATTACCGAGTCAGTTTCTTTTT